ACGCTGGTCAGGGAAACGCAACGGTTTCTGTTTCAAGGGACATGAGCAATCATTTGACCAGCTGTGTGCCATGGCAGATGAGGGGATGAGACAGAGAGGGAAAGTCTGTTTAGTTGTTTCCGTAAAAGAAAAGACGCATTTTTCGTTTTCACCAATCACTTTTCTGATTTGGATATTTTGAGTATGTCGGCTATGTATGATGTGGCATAACGTTGATTATTCTTAATTAATGTCTTGATTTGATCGCTATCAACTTCAACTGGTCTGCCCGACCATGGAGCATCGTTCAGTGAGAAATCTCCAGCATGAAACTTTGCAAACCAGTTTTGACTTGTTTGATCAGGCACAGTGCCTTCTTCATACACTGCACAAATTTTTTGCATTTCATTGTGTTGAAATAAAAAAGCATCATATGCTGAAATAAAAAAGCATCATATGCTGAAATGTTGCATATTTTCTTCCCTCTTCAATATGTCTGCAGCCCCACTTGCTGCAGATAAACCCAGTGTGTCCCGACCTGATTCTGAGGCCTCCCCTCTACTTGCTTCTGGGTGAACTTAGGCACCTCCCCTCCCCTCTGTCACAGCTGCTATCACCCCACTTCATGTTTGAGCTAACCAGCCCAAAGCACCTCTCAGTCCATACGGACTGTAGCCAAATGCAGCCTTACAACTACACATAGTTTCTACACATGATCTTCAGAAAGCACACGACAGGACAATAGCTTCCTGAGTGACTCATCCTCTATGAAAAACACACCTCCCCTCCCTGCAACCCCTCCTCCTACCCGAAGTTCGATTATGCACCTGAACTAGCTCTGCTCCCTAGACAGGCTCAGATTGTCATGTGCACAAGAACCATTTGATTGATTGTTGAACTTGCAGGTGTCCAGGTCTTGCTTCAAAAATTATGACCAGTAACAATGATTCAGGACTCAGGCATCTGAATTTGACAAGCTTTCAGAGGGATGGTGATTCAGAGAGTTTATGGATCTCTCTTTGAAAATGATTCAAAGAAGCTAAGTCACACTCCTATTCTGAGAATCTAGTTCTAAGAATCTGATGTACAAGCTGCCCTAAAATCAAAAGGCTGTAAGTTTGGTCCCTAAGTAGTAGAAGAGTTCAGGCAGGGGCCCGGAAACAGGCAGCAGCTGTTCAAGCATTCAGCCCTCCGGGCAGCTTCCCTTTGGAGCGCAGGTTTGTAACTCGAGGTACAGGGAGAAATGAGGGGTCCGTGGACAGGGAAGGGAAAATGGACAGCCTTATTTTTACTGACTTCCAGCTGCAATTTAACATCCTTCAATTTTGAACAGAGGCAACAAACCGATGTGATAATGGCAGCTCCCATGGCTTGATTCCATGGAAATCATCGACCTTTCCCCATTACAGTGCCCTCAAAATTCTCGCATGCCTAGAAGTTGCTATGAGAACCATGGGTAGGTCTCGTTACTTAATGTGTTCGTGAGAAAGACTACATAGATATTATGGCTTCAAAGGATGAGTGTTTTGAACACCACATTAGTGTCCTTTGTAATAAAATAGATTTTACCACATGCATTTAAAGTTATTTAAAACATTTAAAGTCATTTTGAAAGGGGACTCATAGACCTCCCCAGACTACAAAGGAGTCCACGATACAATAACCAGTAAAAGAAAAGACGCAGGTAAAAGCATCCTGTCCTCGAATCCTCACAAGGAAGGGTGGCTGTGAATTTGGGCTCAACTCATCAAAGTACATGGGAAACAAGTGCACTTTGTCTCTCGTGTCAGGTCTGTTCTTCTGTGGTCGCCCTGGAACCAGGAGCCCCAACTCCCAGTCCTAGACCAACATACTGTGTTTGTGAGCATATTATTAGGCTGGCCAAGGGTTCTTTTTTTTTTTCTTCTGTAAGATGGCTCTAGTAGCGCTTAGTTGTCTTTAACTTCATTCACAACAATTTCATTAGATTGTATTGTGATAGCGGTCATATCCGCATGCTTTTAAACAAACATCAAAATTGGTGAATTTTTAGCCCTGGCTGGCATAGCTCAGTGGATTGAGCGCGGGCTGGGAACCAAAGTGTCCCAGGTTCGATTCCCAGCCAGGGTACATTCCTGGGTTGCAGGCCATAACCCCCAGCAACCGCACATTGATGTATCTCTCTCTCTCTCTCTCTCTCTCTTTCTCTCTCCCTCCCTTCCCTCCCCAAAAATAAATAAATAAAATCTTAAAAAAAGAATTGGTGAATTTTTGTGCAGCCATTTTAATATTGAAGATGGGAGGAAATACGCAATGTTTTGGCATATTATGCTTTATTATTTCAAGAAAGGTAAAAATGCAACTGAAATGTACAAAGGGATTTGTGCAGTGTATGGAGAAGGTGCTGTGACTGATCAAATGTGTCAAAAGTGGTTTGCAAAGTTTCTTGGTACTACTATTGATGCTTTGGCTAAATATAAAACAGATGTCATTGTTCCCTGTGCTCCAATCCCTGAAGGTTTTATAGGCTCTCCCACCCAAAAGGATACAAGCTACTTAAATTACATTTACCAATTTAACAATGTAGAATTTAACTCTGTAAATCTCAACTAATGTAAAAATACTGTCTGTGTCTCCAGTCGGTAGGGTTTCAAACGGATACCAAATATGCTCACTTAGAAATATGCTCAGTTTTCCAAGAAGCCCATTTGTAAATGGTTTTGATCTGAGAGGTCTGTGATAACATCTATTCCTCCTATTTGAAAAGTAAATCTATTTGCAGCTTTAAAGGAATGCCATTTTTATAACCCATTGTTATACTAGAACATCCATCAAGATTTACTGAGCTGATGGCTGTCCTAGGGGCAGACTGAAACAGACAGTGGAATACTGAACTTTTAACTATAGTATGGCCAACAGTATTTTTTCCTTTGTAAGTGGTAAATTCACTTCAATACTCATTTTTTTTTTCAAGTTGAGTTATAATGGAGGTTTTTGCATCACATTTAAAATTTATTTTCCTGAAGGTTATTCTCAGCTAGAGATACTGGCAAAGAACGTTGTTTTACTTCCTTAAGTCATTTGTACCATTTACAATAGTTCAATATAGCAATTAATTAATACACAGGCATACCTGGGAGGCATTGTCGGTTCAGTTACAAACCACTGCAATAAAGCAAATACTATCAACATAAAGTGAGCTGAAATCCTTTTGCTGGTCGAGGGTCTTGCCTTCAGTTTGTGAAAATGCAACATCTGTGAAGCTGAGTAAAGGGAAATACAGTACATCGGGGCAGTGATGGAGGGAGGACTAGGAAACGACATAGCCAACTGAAGTCCAGTATTTCAGTTCTCGGCTCTAAACTGTTGTGAATTCCATCCCTTCATGTTGAAATGGTACTTCTTTTTTTAGTGGAAACTGCTTATGAACTTCTCTGGGATTTAATTATGTTGTTGCCTCTGAGTTCCGATGAGATCATTAAACTGGAGAGTTTGTTTCTCCAGATTAAGTTAACAGGGCAGACTCAGGGCACCAGTGACTGGCTGTTGTAACTAGGAATCTATAAATAAACACAAAGAAGGAAGAGATAAAAGGCAGGCTTAGAGTGCCCTTTCAAAGGCTCAGATAACGGGAGTGCTGGCCAATATGTGAAAGCCACAATATTGCATTATGCTTCAATTTTATTTTCACTTGCTTATTGAACCTAGCTTTAAGCCGGATGGGAAAGTAAATTTTCTAATGAGTGGTATGAAATATTTATCAAACCTGAAGTATAATACAAGTTTTGATCATAAGCCAAACAGTTGGAGTATATCAAGTCTCTTCTTTATAGAAATACATACAGGTTTCGGCCCATGTTGTATTCATTGCTGGATGTTAATAATGGGAGGATTGGCTATTGACGTAGAGTTTATGCCCAGAATGTTTGATTAAACTGATCTGTATGAGCTGCTGATCTCCTCTCATAAGACTGGCATAAAATGCTAAGCTTTCTATGTCGCAGTGCACCCATGGATATGAATGTCAAGGTTTTGTATGCATTAGATCTTAAGTATAAATCATCTTGCACAATAGTGGGGCTGTTTATGAGATGGGTTATCCTCTAACACATAGAAGTTAGCATGTAGCATGTACAAAGCACTGTAACGCTGGGGCTCTCATGTTATCTTGAAATAGCCCTTTCAGCTATGAGTTTGTATTCATTTTGCAGAGCAGGAACCTTGAGCTCTGTTCACAAGGATTGTCTGGTTTCCTCACTCCCAGAACGAGGCAAAGCCTAGGATGCTCTGCCACAGCTGTCCCCATCCATGAACGTGGCGTGATGTCCTTGTGCAAAGTATATCAGTGCCTATTGTAGCTTCATTTTGTCCGCAAGATGGAAGTGACCAAGTCTTAGTAATACAACTCAAAGGTTACCAGTGTGATAGAGTGACAGAATCATGACCAAAGGTCATATACACAGAATCCATTTCTACGGTGTTTTGTGTGTCTTTTAGCCTTCTGTTGACCAAAGAGCAGTTTTCCACGATTTGGGTATGAGGATTCCTAGACTTATACTATTAATAGGCTTTTGAGACAGTTACTTTTAAAACTGCAATGCAATAAAATCATTAAGTTAAAAGTGGCTGTATTATATTCTGAATAGTCTATTTTAATAATCATGTTCCTATGAAGAGAATTAGTCATTTATGAACAGAAGATAACACTTAATTTTTTGAATGAATAGATTATATCAGTATCTACTAATGTGAATTTTATTCTTATGAAGAAAAACCCAAAACAATATTGTAAAATAAGCCCTTTAAAAATTAAAGAAAAAGGAAACGGTGTGTACACACACACACACACACACACACACACACACACACACACACACAACTTCTTCAAATGCATTTTCTAGGCATGCACCAAATTTTCAACAGTGGCTGTCTCTGTTACAGAACTGGAAAGGGGGCTCTTCATTCAGAATTATGAAATATTTCGATACATATATTTACTTGGTAAAACAAATTGTTCCACAGATCTGATTTTTTTAGTGCATTTGAATCTTTATTCTACAACACAAGCAACATAAATACAATATCTTTTAAAATATTTTCTCTTTAGAATTTTCATTTTCACCTCAGATAAAATGTACACAAAACACACTGGCGAACTTGCTCACAGAGACCCGTTAAACAACACGTAGATTGTATCAAATCAAACAGTTATACCAACATAGAAAGGAGGGTGGTTTTCAGTTCTTTTTTTTTTTTTAATAAATGTGACCAAACTGACTAAATGATAAGGCAAAACAAAACTGTACTTCCGCCACAAGTCCTTTGGAGTACACGAAACACTTCAAGGCTCCTGGTGAATGGGGTTGCAATGAGACATTGGCATTGTGTAGATGGAATGGTATACTGACTCAAATCATTATGGCTATACCAAGCGTCATTCGTTTATACTTTTCAGCGAAAACAAGTCGGTTCTTTGGCATTATACAAGGAAGGATAGAAAGGACCCTTACCACCCACTGGCTTTATTTAGAGCAGGGACATGGTAGTAGGGGAACTGTTTAGAATTTAATTTATTTAAATGTATTCTTCTTAGAAAAGCACAAAAATAATCTTGAATAATAATTGTTTGGCATGATTAGGGCAATACATTGTTTATTCTTACCTCCCTCCAACCCACCAAAAATCAAATCAAGCAACATAAACAGACACAGTCAGCCTCCCCCTCCAGGCACCGTCTCCTGCCCCATCACGCCATACCCGTATATTCTACCACGAGGTTTCAACTGAGGTGAAACCAAAATATCAGAAGCATTCCTCTTTGTCCACTTTTGCCTCTTCAGTGGGAAACTTATTTTGACCAGCGAGAACTACTTCCAACAAAAATCAGAAGAACAGACAATAGAGGGAGGGATACGAAGTAGCTTGCACGTAACCATGAGGTAGCCATGGACGACCATGGGTGGCTGATGCTGTCAGGGACCAGAGCCTCCCCGACTTTCAGGGAAAACACAATATTTATGTGGTAGTTCAAAAGATTGGCTTTTAGATCCCCCTCCCTTGTTTTTGGCACCAGTTGGTAAAATAAATTGAAAATAAATTATTCTTAGAGATTAATTTTAAAATTTAATTTGAAAATAAATTATTCTTAAAAGAATGAAATGCATATATGACTTCCAAAAAAGGTTATGGAAAACAAAAGTAAAATGAAAAACTTCATTTCCATCCACAGAGGCAAGGATTTGAATCCTTGATACCATTAACACTTTGATATACTTTCTGATCTCATTAATTCTAGTAAATATAGTCATTACTTTCTATTCATGCAAGAGAATAAAGTAATTTAAATGATGTCAGGGTATTTAAGAAGTATTTAGGGAAACTTTATTAAATCAATAAGAATTATGTGTAATTAATATATTTACACATGGGTGATGATTTTAAGGTACTTAATTTTTTTCTCTTGAATTATTTGCTCTGTGTTCATTATTTTTTTTCACATAAAAAGAATTTCCAAAGCTAATTAACTGAATAGAGAGTGAATAACTAAACCAAGGCCCCAGCCATCTTTGAGTTAACATGATTCCACTGTACTCCCAAAGCACGCTGATACTCTTGTACGGTTCTCCCGTCATTCGGAAGATGAGAAAACGAACATGGTCTCTCTTGTGCAGATGAGAGCACCAACCCGACACATCTACTGGGAAGTCTTTAAAACAGGCACATTTACTGCTCAGAAGGGAGTGGTTATGTTTGCAAATTTCTGTGAAGCCATTTGGGAGACTGTTTGCAGGTCTACAGGAAATTAAAATATTAATTTACACCAGACAATTAAGAGAAAAAGGAAGATACATCAAGCAGTGTAATGTCATCTTGAAGTGCTGACATTGTGGTGACTAATGAGAGAGATAAAACTACTGGCAAGCAAGCAACTACTCAAAAACATCTGGAAGCCAGGAGCCAAGGTTACAATGGAGTCCGCATGGAAACATCTCATTAAAACTGTAAGAACAGAAGAAATGCAGACACCGCATACTTAAACTTGAAATCACCTCGGTATAAGTCAAAGGGCCACCAGGACACAAGTGGTTATCCACAGAATCAATGTTTCTAAATACAAAGACGAGAAGCTTGCACTGATCTCACTGCTCCATAGAACTTACACATTCATTGTCCTCGAGCTTGTAAAAAAACAATTGTTGGTGTAATAAACACAGAAACTGGGAAGATTGAGCAGGAATGCTATAGAAAAATCCAATCCCAAGCTGTCTGCCCAAGATCAAGTTCAGTTTTTCTCGAGTGCTTGGTGAGCCAAGCTGATCTTAAAGGTAAGAGTTGGAAATGTTCTCAAGACAGTGGTTCTCCAAGTGTGGTCTCCAGACCCGGAGCATGGGCGCCCCCAAGGAACTCATTAGGAATGCAGATTTCCAGACCTACTGCGTCAGAAAGCCTGGGCCTGGCGACCTGTGTTTTAGCCAGTGCTCCCGGTGATTCTGATGTGAGCTAACATCCGAGGACCGCTATTCTAAAGTCAGGAGACACTAGACAACCATGACATATCTTCTAGAGAGGAACTGACCATACAAACAATTCCTGGTGGTTGAAGAGGCGGGAAGGACCACACCTGGAGGGATTCTCCAGCAGTCGGCTGCAGCTCTGTCACTAAGACGGTCAGCCAGTCCGTCCTCCCCGGAGCCCCCTTGCATCAGGACACAGAGGGGGGATGTTTTGTGCGGTGCTAGTGGTGTGCTAGTGGCTTTTCTTCAGCCCAGAAGTGGTGCCGCTGTTTGTAAGAAAATTGAGCATTGTTCTCAACTGAGTTTCTCTTAGACTATCCCAGGACATGATTTTTTCTTTCTTTTTTGGTCTGTCTTTTCTGAAGTTATAATTGTGGTTTGGAAAGCTATATGGTGTACTAGTCCAAAATTTTAATTATTAGTTCCTTCCACATCACGTACAAACATTACAATACAAGCACAGGAAGAGAATCTCAGTTTTCTACATTGGTCTACTAATCAATGAGAGGAACATAGGATTTTTTTTATGAAGCATAGATATAAATGAGTTCTTTACCAATTTCATAAATCTTGCCCATAACAAGCTCGTATTTCCAATAAAAAGTGCTTAAAAGTAGTCTCTTGCTTTTCAAAGGCCGTGCTGAATCTTACTAGGATCACCTGAGTGGTGCCCAAACACGAGCTGAGTTCTGAGTTTTCCTTCTGCCTGTTTCCTGGTCTGCAATGTGCTCAGGGCTATGTAGGCTTCATGGCACGTGGTTACTGTGGATATTGACCTCATGCACCAGTAGCTGGATCTTCAAACCATTTTGTGTAACGGAGACTTCCTCTCCAGGGTATGCATTTGAAAATGGTTATTTATTTTGCATATTCCCAAACTCAGATGCTGACTTACATATTTAGTATGAAATACTTCCCAGGGAAGCAGGCAGAGAGACACCGCTGGCTACAGGGCACTTTGTTCTGAGTGACTAAGGGGTCATTGGAAAAGGTTCCCAATTTGCACATGTCATCCCAGATGCAGACCGCCCCATCTTCCCCGTGTAGCAGCTGGCCACGCACCCTCTTATTCCGTCATTTCCATCTAATTGGCAGGCTTTCTAAATGACCACTGGAGGCCTGCTTTGAGATTAAAATTTAGATTTTTCTTATAATTGGACACTCAAAATATTGTTATACATGATCTTTCCCTACACAAACACTATCCTTTTTTAAAAAAAACCTTATTAAAAAATCCCCGTAACATTATGGAGCTAAGACATCAATCAAGTATTTTTAACTCATTTGAACTGTGTAATTCCTTGAGACACTCCGGTGTTTACTCCACATTCACAGCAAGGTGTAGTGGAGATAACATGGCCTTTGAATTCAGGAACACCTCTTTGGCAACCAGCTTTGCCACTTACTGGGTATCTTGGGCAAATTTCTCAACCTCTCTGGGTCTCTGTCCTCATCTAAAAAAAGGAGGAAAGCAACACCTGTTTCACAAGGTTACTGTGACAGTAACTTACAGTAGTGTAGGTGAGGGCCTACACGCACGTGGCACTCAACAGACGTCACCTCCTCCCGGCCGTCTGTGACTCTTTCGCTATTGTTTTCAGCTCCAAGCAAAGGCCTGTTTAGTTTGAAGGGACTGACGTGAATGATTTTCCTTTTTAAGACTTTCCTCCACAAGCAGTAGTGTGATGTATTTGAGGGAAGTTGAAGACATCTAGTCTGTAATGCAGTTGAGGCTCCGTCACTCTTTCCACTGACTCAGTATAAGCCTTCTCCTTGAAACAAGAACAAGAAGCCTCGGGATACTGTTATAAAGAAGTTTCCATTTAAAGGGACTTTTGAATCATGTTACCATTTTGTCGTGTCTGATGGAAAGCACTTTAACTCGAGCTGTTATGTATGTTAGCAGCAGCCTTGGCCAGCCATTAAATAGCCTAAAAATGGTAAAAGGTGCCTCGTTTTGCATTGATGGAGAAGGCTAGAGAACAATCTTAGAGGAGAGAAAATAAGATGGTATAAGGAGGCAGCCAAGCATCTTTATAGGCTGCTCAGGAGAGGCGCCCTAGAGCGACCTATCGGCCCCCTCGAATCTGTGCCCTCACGGCCAGGAGGAATCTGATGGAGAGTGTGATGTCCTCGGCTGAGCTGTCGAGTCAGGGATTCTTTTACACTCTGGGTTTCCCAGGTGCTCATGGTGTGCACTGTACGCAAGTATTAGAAAAAGAGAGTACATCTCACCCTGAGGGCAACACGCTTTTGACAGTGAATACCAGCAACCGAAAGCACTGTGCAAACTCTTATTCTGCTTAGACATGTAAATACATGGTAATAACTATTTTAACTACAAAGGCTGGCCCGACCCTGGTCTTTCAGAGACCTCAGGGAAAGGCAGAAACTGAGACACCAGGGGAGTGGGAGGGGCTCACTGGCCGGTCTGCCTCTCTCTAGCCAGGGTTCCTGCTTCTCCCCCTTTCTTCCCCACCCCTGGAAGGATTCACCAGACTCCACTGTGACCTGAAGTCCTGTTCATCGGAGACTATTTGTATTAAGCAATGTCCTTTTTGAAGACTGCAAATACCTCTGGGAAGTGCCGCTGTGACAGTTTTCTGGTTGAACTCTGACTGGATGCAGAGTGCAGGGTACGTTGGGAATGCGGGTGGGCTGAAGACCAGTGTGGGTTGCCACGGGGGTGGGGGGGCTATAGCAAAGGTGTGGGAAGGCACGAAAACCCTCTTACAACACTATAGGTAAAGAGCTATGTGTGTTCTCTTGTCTTTTTATTCTAGGTACCCACGGTCAGGTTAGTGCCAGAGCAGTGTTTGGAAAGAGTACACGGTACTCTTCTTTGCATAAACTAGCCCAGGACCCCAGAATAGGGGGTCGGTGGGAAAACGGATTCTGACTTCTAAATAATTAGCAAACATACTCTGGGACATGACATTCATAAATTGGGCCTGGCTTCCTTCAAATTTTTATACTGTATAAAAAGTTGCTATATATAAACATTCTGTAATTACTAGGATTACTCTCCAGAAGCTTTCCCTACCCCCCCAGTACATTTTGTAGTACTCACAGGCTCACAAAGGAGAACTGCGCTTAAGAGAAGCCATAACCAAAACAAAAACCAAAAACGAACACCTGTGGCATACTGCTTTTGTTTTTTTAAAAAGTACCTACCTGACTTACAAGACATAAAAGTTCAGAACCACGAACACAGCTCATTGCTATCCCAACAATTCATTGCTTGTTACGATCAAATAGTTGATCTGTTTCTAAACTCAAATTATTATCTAATGAATAAAATCTGAAGGCAAAGAGTGTTTTATGGAAGTGAAAAAATGTCTTCTGGATTCTGTAGTGACCTTTACTTGGGTGGCATACTGAAAGATAAAGTTCCTTCTTTTAGATTGCCCAAGTGAATCGGCTCAGTCTTCCCCTTAACCTTGCAGATAAGTTCACCTGTTTTTCAAGAAAGACAAAGTTTACAAATACCAGCACTAAGCACAGTTGTCAACTTCGAATCCTTACTTCAATATCAAAGGGTTGCTGTTCTATTTTTAAAAGATGACTTATTCAATTATGAATGTATTTTTAGGGGCTGGGAAATTATAATGTATGTCATAGCAACTAACTGTAGAATATATATGAATGAACTTGACTGAGGAGTTTTAATCATTATTATTATTATTTAAGAAATATTAAATATACTGTACATAGTAAGATAAAGGTTCCAGATTAACTTTTCCAGCAAAATTTAAGAAAAGAAAGATCCACTTAAAATACTGGCCTGAATAAGTGGACTTCAGACATGGGGTAAGTAGACTTCCCGGAGAGCAAAGAATTTTAAACTGAAACCTTCATTTCCTAGATTTCATTGTGTCTCCTCCTCTAATTTTCTTCCATGACTAGAGCTTGTGTAACAGACACCATAATTTCACATGGTTGTTGTGTAACATTTGAAGATTAAAAGGATTTCATTATAATTCTCCTTCCCACCCCATCCAGCTGTCTCCCTACCCCACACTCCCAGCCCCCTTCCCTGAGAAGTCTGCTCACTGAATGGAGAACTCACTTCCTTTCCTCCGAGGGTGTGGCTATCAAATGGGTTGCATTTCCATGTTTTGTTTTCTTAAAAACCAAATGTTAAACCTTATGCTCAGATAACGGTGGAACATAGAAATCTGTAAAACAAGGGACTAAGGCACCATTTTTTCTTTCCCTTCTTTTTTTTGCCTTGAAAGCAAAAGCAGAGACTAGTGGGACTGCCAGGGTAGCTGGTTAGTCTTCTGTCTCTTGGCAAACATCTGTGTCAGCAAGTATCAGTGGGTACCGTGTGTCAGAGGCTGCCATGATGTGGACTGCACATTCTGCTAGAAAAGAATTTTCTTCCATTACAAATAGGGAAACAAAGGCACAACAGTACCTTAAACGAGAAAGTTGGTGAGTGCCAACCAGAAAATCTTGACAAGTTAGGACAATTTTTAAGTGTTCTGGAATATTTTACCGAGAAAGTCACCCTTTTCTTGATTATGACATCCAAGAACACGTCTCTCGAGCTGTTTTCTTCCCCACCAAATGCACAGTCATGATATAAATCTTTCTCTGATGAATAATGTTTGGGACTAGATGTCTGACTTTATACATCAGCTTGACTTACCAGCAGGTACTTCCTTAGCAATTGCATTAAAAAAAAGGATCAATGCAAAGTTTTCAGAGGAGTGGTCCTTGCACGTGACCCATTTGGCAATAACATGGCAGGTAAAAGCACTGGGAAATAAACTTCAAGATTTAGAAATGTGTCAAGGAACAGAGGGAGACTCTTCTGAAATGATGTGCAAAATCAGAGTGTACTTTGTGTCACCTGGATGCAGGTCCAGAATGGCCCCTAATGCTGATTAGTGAGGGAGCAGCTGACTGTTCTTCGAGACACTGGTGTCCATGGGGCTGGTGGTGGGGAAGATGCTAGGCATACTCTCACCCTGGCTCCCGAACTTCTTCACTGTGAGTCATCTACACGATGATGTCATAGACGCGGCCTACCCTGCCGAGCCACTCTCTCACAGCCTGGCGCACTCTGATGTCAGTCACGTGGCAGGTCAGCTGGCTGATGCACGGGAACACTGCGGGCTGGAGGGCCGTGAAGGTCGGGTCAGGGAGGATCTGAATCTGATTGAGGACGGTTAGCACCATGTTGGTCCACGCCTGAGAGAAAGGATCGAAGAGAATTGTGAGCTTGCTCCAGGGGGTTCAGCTGAACTCTCAGGTGTGGCTAAGCCCTGCCAATTTGCAAATGAGTTTTCTCAGGCTTCCAGTCTGTAATAAATTAGTCTTTACCGATAGGTTGGCATTTTAACTTCATATTACAGAGACTTGTCTAACATGACAAAGACCTTATTTTCAGCTTTCACAACTACAAAACTCTTATTGACTCCTCAGTTTTAAAAACTCTCTTGCTTTTTCATAATGAGATTTCCATAGGACATACAACACTTCTAATCAGCGGCCACTATAGTAATGCCTAGAAAACTTGAAATAGCCTACTTTAAGTTATAAATTTTAAAATCATGAGCAAGTCTCCAAGACATGAAAAACAATTATTAAGATATGCTATTTGTCAGGAGGGTCATCTGTTAAAGAATAATCACATCACAGCTTGACTAGACTTCTGCAAATCTGGCCCATGATTTTTATGGATTCTGAATTATGATGCTGAGTTGTATGCTCAAGATACTTTATTTTTTAAAAAAGATTTTATGTATTCATTTTTAGAGGGGAAGGGAAAGGAAGGAGAGAGGGGAAGGGAAGGCAGGAGGGAAACATTAATGTGTGGTTGCCTCTTGCTTGACCCCTGCTGGGAACTGGCCTGCAACCTAGACATGTGCCCTGACTGGGAATCGAACCACAATCCTTTGGTTGGCAGACCCGTGCTCAATCCACTGAGCTACAGCAGCTAGGGCTTGCTCAAGATACATTAGAGGAAAATAATGCATCTTGCAAGAAATTCTGACCATTTCTAACTTTATGTTCATTCGAAGGAAGCATTTCTGTACAGGTCCATGGAAGCTGAGGGCTCGAGATCGTCTTAACTCATTATGCCTGCGGCAGGAGCCCACAGTTTAAGGTGAACACCAGATTATTTTTAAAGGGCCCGCTCTGACTCCAGATCCCTCTATTGGTTTTTTCCCATCTCTCTATTCTTAAATCGAACAAAACAGTAGCAACACTGTTTTCTTCTCAAGCTCATTTTGGATATATGATGGAATTACAAATATTGAATACAGGAAGGAACAGGAATACTCAGAGCCCTCTGAAGAATGAGAATTTTCATGTGCTCTGGGTGGGTTAGCAAAACTTGAGATGAAAACAATTCATTGGTATAACCATCTAATACTATGCACTTTGCCCTTCCCCTTTTTACAATTCTTCACAATGAGAGAATTTTCTTCAATGCATCTTCAAGTGATAAACTCAGGGCTCCGTGCCAGTTAAAGCACATCCATTTTATAAGAGGCAGCTTCATCTTGTTTCTCAATATCTCCTATAACCCGTGAAAACAATTCCTGAAATTACCTAATAATAAAATGCCTGTCCCCCACTGACACACGGATACAGACTCGCCACGCCTTAGTCTCAGGCGCCCCTTTGACTGGGGACGGCCCGCAGGGACCCACCCACCTGGATCTGTGCTTCGGCGTCTCTCACGGAGACGCTCAGGGAGCTCCCGGTGGAGCCCGAGCGGGGCCTCTTCTCCTGCCGCAGCAGCTCGGGGCCTGCGCTGAAGGAATGCCGCATCTGCCCTTGGTCCATCAAGTGCTGGGGACGCTGAAGCAGCGGGGATCCTTGGCCCCTCGGACCCAGGGGCTCTCCCTTCTTCTCCACTTTGACCTCTTTGGGGAACGTGGGCAGGTTATGCTGCTGTTTCCTCTTTTTGTATTCCGTCATCAGCTTCGAAATGGTTTTGTCAGCCGCCATGGTGTAGATTTTGTTACCCGCGTTCTCCCACCACTCCTTCTTCCTGCCGGGGTCCTTCTTCTCCACCTTGGGGCTCGGGGGCAGCATCAGTGTTTCCCCGCTGCCCACCCGCAGGCTCAGGGACTCGCCCAGGTGATCCCGAGTCTGGCTGCGGTCATCCTCGGAAGGCGTGTCTTTCCCCGAGAACCCCCCGGTGGACGGGGTGGATGACTCGGACTGGAAGGAGGGCAGGATGAAGAATGGGTCGCTCTTGAAGACGGGCGCTTCCTCCAGGCTGTTTTCCAGGTCCAAGTGCATCTGGATGTAGTTATTGCACAGCTCCATGCACAGCTTGTGAAGCCTCTTGACCAGCCACACCCAGTCTGCGTTGCTGATGGGCTGGACACTTAGGGAGGGCATCCGAGCCCTCCACTGCCTCTTCTCCTTGCCTCTCGGGGGGCTCACCTGGGCAGTCTCCTCAAAAATGTCTTCATCTTCGGACGAGCACTGCTGCGACGAGTCTGTGCTTCTCTCATCGTCCTCGAAAAGGATTTTCTTCACCTGCTCGGCCGTGATGGTTTCCTGGTTGGTGAGGACTGCACAGACCAGCGCGTGGAAGTAGATGTTGAAGCTCATCGCCGACTGGCGGTAGAGGTTGGCGGCCCCTCCAATGCCGGACACTTTCTTCAGCAGGCACTTCAGCCCAGGGCTGGTGTCAAACTCTCTGGCTGTCCTGTAGGAGTCCAGCAGCAGGTCAAAGATGACGGCCAGGTTCTGCATGGAGATGTATCTGAGGAAGCCGGCCAGCTTGGCTTCTGGCACTTGGACAGCCTTCTCCTCTCCAGGGGAGGGGCCTTTGACGAACTCTTCTAACAGGATATCATACAAGTTCTGGAGCAACACTTGATGAGAGAGTAAGCTCACCACAATTTCCCTGAAAGAAACACTTCAAGTGGAAAGGAAGGGATTGATTAGTAAGCTTTTGCCTTATATGAGATATTTTAAAACTGTTTTAAAACTGTTGTTTTAAAACAACTCACAGTGACATATGCAAAATTACAAACTAAATTACTTATATTTGAATGCCTTCCTTAAAAAGGGCATTACACACTAACCATTTAAATCATAATAAATGGAATTCTTGACATTTTTTAAAGTCTAGGAGCTACAGAATTATTACAATACTGATTAACGATGATCTATAAGCCTTAGGAAAATAATAGAAGAGTTTTATGACAACTGTTTTATATAAGCACAATTTTGGAATAGGACACATTTTATTTCCTGTTATAGTTATGAGTAATAAATTAACATATCAAATCAAAAAGTAACAATTTCTGTTGAGCTTTATTAATTTTAACTGGATTTTTTTCTTAAACCAAAGTATTTAGAAATCTTATTGAAATTTAGCTTTCTAAGGGCCAAAATCATTTGCCAGGATTAACTGTTGCAGGGGTGTCCAACCTTTCGGTGTCTCTGGGCCACACTGGAAGAAGAAGAGTTGTCTTGGGCCACACATTAAATACACAAACACTAACGAAAACAAAAAATAACCTCATAATGCTTTAAGTAAATTTACAATTCTGTGTTGGGCTGCATTCATAGCCATCCTGGGCTGCAGGTTGGACACTCCTACGTGCATCAGGATCTGGCACAAATAATGCTCCTTTTTAAAATTACAAAATCTTTTATTACAAAATCGTAAGCATGTCATTCTGTAACATAACATCACACTCAGGCACACCATGTGACATATTAGGTGAAATGTTCAAATTGAGGTCCGTCTTGTGCAAGACATTCACGTACCCTACCAACCACTCGTGCGGGCGTTGCTTCTGCTGGACCCTGTATATAAAGGGTTTGGCGCTTCCAGCATGTGACATGAAGGAGAGCCAAACGTTTTTGTTCTATGTCTGTGAAAAATACCACTGGCTTCCTAATAGGGATTGCACTGAATCTGCAGATTGCTTTAGATAATGTGAACATGTTTATTTCTCCAACCCGAGAACATGGAATATATTTATGTTCCTTTGGGTCTTCAATTTTTTTCAATACTCTCTTACAGTTTTCAGTGTACAGGTCTTTTACCTCCTTTGCTAGGTTTACTCCTAGGTATTGTATTCTTCTTGTTGATATTGTAAATGGGATTGTTTATTTCATTGCTGTCTGATAGTTCTTTATTAGTTCGTAAAGGTACAAGAGATTTTTGTATAGTGATTTAGTATCCTGCAATTTCATTGCATTTGTTAATTATTTTTTATGTTTTTTTTATGGAATCCTTAAGCTTTTCTGTATATAAAATCATGTCATCTGCAAATAGTGACAGTTTTATTTTTTTTCTTTCTAATTTAGGTGCCTTTAATTTCTTTTATTTGCCTGATTGCTGTGGCTAGGACTTCCAGCTCTATGTTGAACAGAGTGGTGGGAGTGGGCATCCTTGTCTTCTTCCTGTTCTCAGAGCAAAAGCTTTTAGTTTTGCACCACTGAGTATGACGTTAGCTGTGCATTTGTTATATATGGATTTTACTATGTTGAGGTACTTTCCTTCTATACCCATTTTATTGAGAGTTCTTATAAATGGATGTTGTATCATGTGAAATGCTTTTTCTGAATCTATTGGACAGATGATTTTTCCCTTCATTCTGTGTGTCACATTGATTTGTGGATGGATGTTCAGCCATCCTCCCACATCCCTGAAATGAATCCTGCCTTATGGTGGTGTATGATCCACTTAGCATATTGTTGTATTTGATTTGCTAGTATTTTGTTAAGAATGTTTGCATCTGTGTTCATCAGAGATAGAGGCATATAACTTTTTCTGAGGCATCCTTAACTGGTTTTGGTATCAGGGTAACATTGGCCTCATAAAACAAGTTAGGAAGCATCCCCTCCTCTTTAATTTTTTGGAAGACATTGGGAAGAACATGTATTAAATCTTCCTTGAAAGTTTGGTGGAATTCACCAGTGAAGCCATCTGGTCCTAGACTTTTGTTTTTGGAAAATTTTGATTACTGTTTCCATTTCCTTATCAGTGACTGGTTTATTCAGATTTTCAATTTTTTCATGACTCACTCTAGGAAGGCTGTATGATTCTAACAATTTATGTGTTTCTTCTAGGTTATCCAATTTGGTGGCATATAGCCTCTCATAATATTCCTTTATGATTCTTTGTATTTCTGAGACATTGCCGTAACCTCTCTCCTTGCTGATTTTGAGTCTTCTCTCTTCCCTCGTGAGTCTGGCTAAAGGTTTGTCAATTTTGTTTATCTTTTCAAAAAGCCAGTTCTTCGTTTCATTAATGTTTTCTATTGTTGTTAGTCTCTCATTTATTTCTGCAGATGTTATTTCCTTCCTTCTACAGATTTTGGGTTTGCTTTATTCTTTTTTTTCTACTTTTTTAAGGTATAGTGTTAGATTGTTGGAGAATTTTCTTGTTTCTTGACATAGTCCTGTATTGCTATAAACTTCCTTCTTAGTACCACTCTTGCTGCAACACAAAGGTTTCGATATGCTGTATTTTCATTTGTCTCTATGTATCTCTTGCTTTTCCTTATTTCTTTACTGATCCAAGAGTTGTTTGGTAGCATCTTGTTTAACATCCAAATACTTATAATTTTTCTAGCTTTCTTATTGTAGTTGATTTCAAGTTTTGTACCCTGGTCTGAAAAGATGCTTGAGATGATTTCGATCTTTTTAAATTTGCTGTCTAGATGATCTGTCCACTGGTGTATTGAAGTCTCCTACTAATGGGTTGGCCAAAAAGTACGGTACACTTTTTCTGTGTGATGGTTCTAGTAATGCTTAGTTGTCTTTAACTTCATTTGAAACAATTTAGTTAGATTGTATTGTGATAGCATTAAAAAAACCCACCAAAATTGGTGAATTTTTGTGCAGCCATTTTAAATTGAAGATCGGAAGAAGATATGCAACATTTTTGGCATATTATGCTTTATTATTTCAAGAAGGGTAAAAACATAACTGAAATGCAAAAAGATTTGTGTGGTGTATGAAGGTGCTATGATTGATCGAACGTGTTAGAAGTGGTTTGCAAAGTTTCTTGGTACTATTGACAGTTTGGCCAAATAATTCTTTGCTGTGGTCTGTCTTATGCATTGGAAGATGTTTAGCAGCACCCCTGGCCTCTACCCACTAAAGCCAATAGTGGAAGATGGCCAACGTACTCAAATATCCAAATCAATAAGGTTATTGCTAAAAATAAAAGATGTGTCTTTTATTTTATGGAAAACTAAATGGACTTTTTGGCCAACCCAATAGTTGGGTCTTGTTTTATACACCATCCCACTACTCTGTGCCTTTTGATCAGTGAATTCAGTCTATTTACATTTAGGGTGATTATTGATATATTAGGACTTACTACTGCCATTTTATCTTGTGTTTTTGATTGCTCTGTATCTCCATGGTTTTTCTATTGTGTTTTTGTCTGCTGTTGTAGTTTAGTAGTTTTCTATGCTGACTTTCTCCTTTTTTTTTTCACTGTTTCATATCTCAGTTCCGTGATTACCATGAAGTTTGTATAAAATATACTGTAGATATGATAGTCCTTTTTCTTCTCATAGCATGTTACCTTCATTTGTCTCTACAAGTTCCCTCCTTGTACTCATCCCTTTGTATGTTTTTGTCATCACAAACTATGCCTTTTTGTGTTGCACCTTCATCACCAAACTGAAGAAACTCTAATTACTTTTTATGCCTTTTCCTCTTTAACTTTTGTATTCTAATTAAGTGTTTAATACCCTATCTAAAACAGAGGGGCAGTTTTCTGCTTCTCTCTGTCACCTTACTCAAAGTTTTGTGTGCTGCTGTCTTTCTGTTTCAGGTAGAAGAGCTCCTCCCAGCACTGCTTGTAAGGTAGGCCCTGTGGTGCCCCGTCCCCTCAGCTTCCATTGGTCTGGGAAAGCCTTTATTTCTCGTCATATCTGAAGGATAACTTTGCTGGATAGAGAATTCTTGGCTGGTGGTTTCTGTCTTTCAGCATTTTGAATACATCACTCATTCTCTCCTTGCCCGTGGAGTTTCTGCTGAGAAATAAAATAATAACCTGGTGGATTTCCTTTGTAGGTTACTGTGTTTTTCCTCCTGGCTGCCTTGGGAATTCTCTTTATCCCTGACTTTTGACAGTTTTAATATAAAGTATGTCTTAGAGCCCTGGCTGGTGTGGCTCAGTGGATTGAGTGCCGACCTGTGAACTAAAGGGTTGCTGGTTTGATTCCCAGTCAGGGCACATGCCTGGGCTGCCAGCCAGGTCACCAGTAGGGGGCATATGAGAGGCAACTACACATTGATGTTTCTCTTCCTCTCTCTCTCCAAAAATAAATAAAATTAAAAAATGTCTTAGAGAAGGTATTTTTGCTTTAGAAATTATCTTTTTCTAAAGGGCTTTTTTGTTAGCTTCTTGCTCTTGTATGTTCTTTAAATAGGCTCTCTGTCTTCTCCTCTAATTCTAGGACACCTGTTATCCTTATGTTTTCCTTCTAACGTAGTCAGGTAGTTCTCATACAGTTCTTTCATTTTTAAAAAAACCTTACTTTTCTTTCCTTTTCTTCCTGAATCATTTCTAGATTTCTGTCTTTGAGCTTGCTAATCCTCTTCCACATGGTCACATTTTTCATCTTATTTACTGGGTTCTTCAGCTCCAGAATTTGGTTCTTTTTCAGAGTGTCAATTTCTTTGGTAAAATGCTCTTTCTCTTCATTAATTTTATTTCTGAGCTCACTGAACTGACTGCTATTTTAAATTCTCAATCATTTATGTCACATTCTTCCATGACTTTGGTCCCTGGACTTGGTATTTTCTTTCTGGGCTACTTGTGTGACCTGGGCCGTTCCTCTGTAGGTGCATTTGAAGTAGTGACCATCTTCCTTATTTAGGTACTTTGTGATTTTGATAAGTCAGCAGGTTCTAAGGCCATTGTGGGAGCCATCGTCTGTGTGACCAGGGTGATGGGTACCCTCACTGTGCTCCGGTCACCAGGGTCTCTGGGTACCACTGTGATGAGGGGACGAGGCAGGCTGGGGGAGCAGTGGGTTCTGAAGCCCATTTGGCTTCTACCTGTTTCCCTGTGCCTAGTGGTGCTGCTGTGCTGTGGCCAGGAGGTCCTAGATGTGTCTTCTCTGTGGCTACTGATCTCTCTGGAGCTGCAAGCACCACAATGGGGAAGGGAGCTGGATTCTCAGATGCTGACCCTCCTGCCCTCTGCCAAGCTGTGGGGGGCCACACCCTATCTCCTCCAACGTGTTTGTTGGGGCAGTGGGCTCAGCTGCGGCAGCCAGGTCTGCAGGACCACCCCTGCAGACCTGTCTGTCCCCCTGTTCTGCCTCCTCTAATCGTTCCAACCCGCCCACTTTCAAAGGTACTGACTCGTGGCTCTCTCTGGCATCCTTGTGTGTTGAGTGGAGGAGGCTTTGTAGAGTTATAGGTGTCCGACCAGTTGAGATTGGAAAAGAGACACAAAAGGGTAGTGTCACTCTATCATGGCACTGACGTCCCTGAAAAAGTTATTTTTTTTAACCAGCAGAAAAGAACAGAAATCCTTCCCTGCATTTAAGGGCTCACCTTGCTCCTCCCGCAGCAGTTCCCTGGGGGAAACAGTACGCTCCGCAAAGAGGGAATGAGGAAGCAGCGAAGAACTGTCATCACACCCCAGAAGCCTTTCTAGCGCACCATGTAAGGAACTTTGTTATTTTTTGTGTAAGACATACATGAGAAAGTTACTATTTTAACCAGTTTAAAGAGTATAATTCAGTGGCATTCAGTGGTACATACACCATGTTGGGTAACTGTTGCCACTCTATTTCTAGTACTTTTTTCATCACCCCAATCAGAACTTCTATTCCCGTCAAACACTAACTCTCTCTCCCCACCCCTCGGCCCCTATGTAAGTCATGTCTGGTAAGTTACTTGAGGCATTAGGGGCCCCGAGTGTGCATTCTTCTGAAGCAGAGGGCTCCCGAAGGTGCCAGGCTGGTCCAGGGCTTCCTGTGCACAACTGTAGGGGCCTAATTAAGGGCAAATCCCCCTATTCCTGTGTCTGTCTCCCTGACTGCACCATCAAGTCCTCACGGGCCTGGGAGAAAGTCTGGTGAGAGTAGCGCTACGTCTCAAACAAAACAACACTGGTCGTCTGCACAGGCGCCTGAACAGACCACCGCCTGGAAGGAACGCTGTCCATGAGAAATGGCTCTGACATGTCATCGTCATCCCCACCACCCTAGCAGCCCGGACCCCTGATGTAGGAAGCATAGCCAGAGGGGTGAGTTCAATCAGTCTTCCGAAGGAATAAGCACCATAGCCCCCAGGGCATTTTCTGGTACCGTCCCTGAGAAATGGGAGGCCCTGTGCCAGCAAACGTTTAAAAAGAGGGCTGATGCAAGGCCATGTTTGAGTAATGGACCACCTCTATCGACCAAGACACTCCTTTTGACGGTTTAGGATATAAAATGGCTGACTGTGCCTGCAAAAAAGGACAGGAAATCCCCTTACTTCAGGTTCATGCTAAGTGATGCAGTAATAAAACAGTGGATAAAGAAGCAATAGTGAAGAGATCAAAATTTTAGCAAGGTATCCAAAAAGTAAAACAACGGCTTATAGACATGCAACTCGTAAGAAAGATCTGAAGCAAACAAAAATCGATATGTAATCTTTCAATTTGTGGCACCCAAGTGTTTCAACCTTGTTCTCAGCCCACCCTTCACGAAGGGGACTGTGACATACTGAAACTCACACCTTCCCGTTCCGCTTCCGCTGCGAAGCACAAAGGGGAGCAGGTGTCCAGACCGGATAACTGAGAATGAGCTGCGTAAGAAGTGGCTGGCTTGTGAGACAGTGGGTTTGGAGTGCACGTGGGTTTTTTCCAATAAATATTGTGAATATATTTTCTCTATGATGATTTTCCCAATAATATTTCCTTTTCTTCAGCTTACTTTATTGTAAGAATACATATACAAAATATGTGTTAATCAACTGTTCATATTATCATTAAGGCTTCTGATCAAGAGTAAGCTACAAGTAGTTTAATTTGGGGGAGTCAAATGTGGAGTTTTGACTGTGTGGGAGGTTGGCACCCCTAACCCATGTTGTTCAGGGTCAATGGTACAACCTAAAGCTCCATTAAGATGATGTGAATTGTGTAAAGCTTAAGGTTATCAATGTCAAACTGACTTAAAAACAAAACCCAGATTTCTCTTTAAGAGTTGCAATCTGGATTTAATTTAGATGTATTTTTTTCTCCATGGGTGATTTCCATACGGACCTTTGAGGAAGCAGCTGACTAGCATACACAAACTTCTCTTGGGTCTAACTCATCTTCTACTGCAGCCTGTGCGGACTTCACCTGCATCAAACCCAAGAATGTGAAATGCTCAAGGAATGCTTGGGAATGCTCTAGGCACAATGGCCTCTGCTAAAAATGTTCATGTTTTTGTGTGTGCGCTTTACTTTATTTCATTGAGGGGCTAAGTATCCGTTAAAAATACCAAGTGAGCCGATGACCCATGTTGATAAACTTAAAATCTTAATGTCTAAAACTTTTAAGCCAAAAGCATAGAAATAGTAGACTATTTTCCTGTTTGACTTATAATGTGAATTCAGTCTATTACTCCTTTCCCCCACTTTTACTTCAAAAACTATTTTCAGCAAGGTTAATTGGGTGGAAGGGAGCTAGAAATAAAAAAAAGAAAACAGGAAAAAAATGGAAAGTCTGAACTAGACCATTGCTTCAAGGATATGAAAAGGAACATACAGCATTTGGTACTCAAAACAGAGAGAAATGATATACCTACAAAAGCGTGTGACTGGCAGGAGAGGGGCTAGAATGGGGAGGGGCACGCAGAACATCGGTAAAGTTCTATTTCTGAAGGTGGGTGACAAGTTCATAGTTATTTTAGTTTTCATTTATTCTTTCTCACTTTTGAACTTTCCACATACTCTTTTGCATGCACCACACACCTGGCTAGCACAACCACTTCAGTGCAATTTCCAGGTACAGTTTTTAAACCACACTGCTCTACTAAGCTGCTGACTTTTGGAAAAATCACACACTCTCCCTAACATGGAAACAGTTTTGATTCTGGCTCCACCACTTCCCAGTTGTGTGCCCCTGGGCAAGGGGCTCAGCCTCTTTGCATGTTTCCTCAGAGCTAAGCAGAAGTGGACATACCTGGTCCCTAGACTTCACATATTGTGTTCAAATCGTTACCATCATTACAATTTGTTTGTTGGAAGTTTACACATGGAAAACTTCAGTCATGGCCTTCACCTTTGAGGTCAGGAGTTCTTAGGCAGGATGACAGTGCAGGCCCATCTCGTTTTACTGCACTTCACAGATGCTGTGATCTTTAACAATTGAAAGCAAGACCCTCTACCAGCAAAAAAACTATGCCTTGCTTTGTTGTGCTACTTGCTTTATTGCCTCGGTGCTGTGGAGCCGAACCTGCCAGATCCCTGGGTCTGCCTGTATCGAAGAAGGACAGGTTTCTGGTGGCAGAGCACAGATCTTCTCTTGTCTCCTGACAGCTATTTTGCCCGTGAGAACTTTATGTGTTTCTCAATGATGCAATACGGATCACATCTCAAATTACAATTATTAAAAAAATACCATGTGTATGATGCCATGGACACACTGAGATGTACCCCTAGCCCACAGTACCTCAGAATGGGTGACCTCTGGAGAAAGGTCTCTATAGAAGCAATTAGATTAAGAAGAGGTCTTTGGGGTGGACTCCAGTCTGGTATGACCGGTGTCCTTATAAAAGAGGAGGTGAGGACACAGACAGGCATGGAGGAGGACCCTGTGCAGGCGCAGGGAGGGAACACCCATCTGGAAACCTAGAGGAAACCAACCCTGGCCGCACCTCACCCTCTGCTTCCAGCCTCCAGAACTGGGAGAAAGTAAACTTGTTGTTCAAGCTGCCCAGTCCGTGGTACTTTTCTGTGGCAGCCCTGCAAACGAATACATCTGAAATGTGGGAAATACGGTTAACAAGCTAACAATTTCCTATGAAAACCTTTGCTACATGACACTGCAGATTTCTGTATTCTCAGGGAAAGCTTGGACTACAATGAGCAAGCACTGGGAAGAAGCGGACTTTCCTATTTGTGAACACCCTACAGCTGGACACTTCGCTCTTACCTTTTCTTGGTGTGTCCGTTCGGCTTTTCATCGGGAGGCAGTTCAATGATGAGCTGACAGGACTGAGCATGGTCGAAATTGTTCGGAGTCTTTGGTGAGCACTGGGTGTCCAGCATAAACACCTGTAAGGGTGCACAGAGGGACAGTTCAGGGCTCCGCCACCGCCCACCGGACTCGGAGATTAGCTGGGTGGCTGAGGCAAGTTGCTTACTCTCTCTCCTCATTTTCGCACCTATAGAAATGAGGTTCATAATGGTTTCCTACCTCGGATATTTGTCAAGAGAATTAAATGAATGATTCATGTATTATGTAGGCAGAACATTAGAACAGAAGAGCAAATATTCAATAAATGTTGGCTGCTGACACTAACAATACCACTACGTCTAGCACGTGATAATGCATTACACTCCAAACAGCAGGCACTGATGTTTAATATTAATTAAAAGTAAATAAAGAGGGGCTGGGTTTGTAAAAGAAATTCTGTAGTTGTGACATACAAAAAAATAAAATAAAAGAAGTTAATCAGGACTTTGCCCACTGTCTGGAGAGTAGGTGGGCTGCATCAGCAGTCCTGACAGGAGAAGTGACGAAGAGTAACCACTTCCCGAGTTCTGACCTGAAAGATTTCATTGTACTTGATTTAACCTACCTTCACTACTTCCCTTTGAAAATAGGAGTATTTTTAAGGAACTTTTTCTGTCCAAATTTTGTAGGTTATGGAATACCGGGTCACATGAGGAGTAAGTATAGGAGGAAGGTTTGGGACTGAGGAAGAGAGGGAGGTATCAGGGAGTGGAAGGCTCGCTGAAGGGTCTCCGCTGTTCTTCCCCATCAATGATCTGTTTCTGAACAGAGTCCACTGGCATTCCCTCATCCCCAGTGAGCGGTGGGGCGTGGCTGGAAGACCACTGCATGCTCATGGGAACGTTCTTTATCTAGCCGGGTGTCATAGCTTTTTGGAGAAGCCACCCCCTTGGAGGACCACCTTTCACTTCTCTAGAAATGATTATCATCACTCCTAGCCAGACACATTATAACTTCCGACATGTGTCCGAAGAGTGCATGGTGAACCTGCATGGGGGAAGTACATTTTCATTTTACTGATCAGCTACATTCAACTCAAATTCATTAAGACAAGTGTCAATGTTAAGCTCTGTACTCTGACTGGGAGAAGAGAAAGATAACAAGTAAGTTTGCCATCCTTACACATTCCTAGTCTAGCAGTAACAATAATATCTAAGCAAGTACTTATAAGCAGTCCAAGCAAACTGAGCTAGGTATGAAGTGGAAAGAGGACATGATTTGATCTGGAGGACACAACAAACAAGGATGGTAGGAAGGACCATAATGCTGCTGATTGGGTGCAAGTCATTTCTGGTAAAGAAGGGTACTGGCAGGAGGTACAGGCCCCTATGGGAATGAAAGACAGCCTGGCGACAGAGGACCTTCAGGAGGGACTCCCAGCAGCATGCCTTCTAGAGCCCCTGGGATCAAAAGCCCTTACCTGCTGAGCCATGGCTCGGATGCGCCAGTACTCGGCCTCCGCACTGGGGGAGGAGGAGGGGGCCGCCACCCTCACCTGGCAGCCTTCCCCACTGAAGCTCTCGCTGCCGCTGTGGAAGCAGCCCAGCAGGTCCTGCGGAGAAATGGCAGTCATTCGCTGGGTGCATCTGGGGTCGTGGTTCCTGGCTCTGTCTCGAGTCTGACAGTGTCACTGTGTCTGGGACAAAAGTACTGACCCCACTGCTGCTTTCTCTCCCTCTGCAAGGTTTCAAGTGACACCACCTGCTAGGAGGAGCAAGGCAGAGCCCAGGTGGCCAACCTGCCGGGGCACTGGGGAGCTGAGGACTGGACCCTGCTAGGAGGAGGCGCTCTCCGAACACTTTACCTTCACAGGCTTGAGCGTGGCGGAGAACGCGTCCTGCAGCGCGCAGCAGGCCAGCCTCCACATCTCTTCTGTGAACACGGGGCCCGCCGTCACGAGGACATACCTGCCAGATGAAACTAGAGGTCTGAAAGCCATACATTTTACTGCCACAAACTTAAGTCTTTACAGGCACATACACATATTTATTCCAGTTTCCTTGTAAGTCTTGCTGTCTCTCATCACTCTTGCCTCTGGGCCATCTAGTTTTTGTTGTCATATTACTACTTCCTAACCCATTTTCATGTAAAAGTGTCAACAGGTCAATGTTTAGACATAGGCTTGCATGCAAGACTGTGTATATTCCATATTCAATTCTCCATTCTAGCCCCATTGTCCACAATTCCTCTAGAAACAACAAACCAAACAATGAAACCCCTGCCATCACTTGTAATTCTTATCTCCATGTACTTATGCTATTCGCCTGCTTGCAAAGTCCCTGCTTGTCAAAGAGCTTCCCTGGGGAGATCTGATCAGGTGTCATTACTACAAAAAGCCCTGGTGACCACCCTACTCCCCTACTGTCATTTCTTGGCATTCACAGCTGCTCCTGACTATTGTGACATTTCACATGACTGTCCCTTTTATGTCCTTTAGAATAGGCTGCTCCCTGAGGTAGGGACCTTGGCATCTATCTCTCTCTGTGCTGCAGAGTACCGTGTACAATGCCCACACAATAGGTATGTGGCAACCAAACACTGAAATGAAGATGTAAGCGCACACTCATTTTTATAAAAAATAATCTGAAGAGTAGATTGTTTCCACAAAAGATAATTTAACTCCCTGGGATTTTACAATAACAACTCCAATTTCGCAGAGAGCCAAGAGCCCCCCTCTCACCGGATACAGGAGCAGCCCACTCTGGAGATGGTTTCTGTGGGCTTGGCCACACAGGCGACCAGCAGCTCGAAGAGGTCCTTCAGCATGGTGTTGATCATGCTCTCGTACCTGATGTCTGCAGGGGGAGCAAAACAGGGTGTCACTCCTCACCACGCTACATGAATGGCTGGAAATGGCGACTACAGCAAAAGGGGAAAGTCTGAGGGATTAAAAAAATACCTGAGTGATAAAATAGGTATATCCATTTTTGCCATATCAAGATGAAATATGTGGTTCACTTTATGTGTTGATGTACATTTTTCAAAGTTAATATATCATTTATCTATGTAGAATAGAACATGATTATTATGTAGCCTGAAAACTAGCTAGTAAAAAATTAAAATTCTTATAAAAAGGAGGGAAAAATAAAACATACTTCCCATACTGCTGATAGTTGAATTAAATTGGATTAAATGCTGTTGGAAAACAAACACACAAAATTTTCTCTTGTTCTACCACAGTCCAAATGTTACAGGGTGCAGCCAAGAGGGGGGACCCCAAATGGGCATTTGAAATGGGGTCCAGAACTTAAGGTGTCCAGGAGATTTTAAGATGTCTCCATCCCCCCAACCCAGGGTGTGGGTTGGGGGAAGGGACAAATGGAGCAGGGCCATTGAGATCTGTTTTGCATAGCAACAGCCTTGCAGCTACCCTCTGGCATGGTCATGTAACATATCTATAGCCTTTGGCAGGTCGCTGAGATATGTTAAATAGCTGTGATCATCTCTGAGCCAGGGGCATGGAAGTAACTTCCCCACCAAGACATGACTGGGGGCAGATCCCCCAAGCTACAGCGCCTGCGTGGGAGCTTGGAGAAGATTGGCTCCAGGACATGGGCCACACCTGCCCAGACTCAAGATGGCAGCCCAGTAAACCTGGAAGGATACGAGTTCTGGCATGTGAAGCCGAGTGTGGGAGGAGCTGGAAATGAGGCTGCAGAGGAAGATTGGCCACGGGGATTGAAAACCCAGACTTGGCGGCCATTGAGGAGAGAACCATGCGGCTTTAGCAGAATGGGGAGGACCTCAGCCATTGAGGGAGAACCATGCGCAGCCCTGAGAGAGGGAGAATCACGCGGCCTGGACAGGGTGGGGACCCCCACAGCTTTAGAAGGGGAACCACCACCTGGTTTTAGCAGAGATCCCGGCCACTCAGCCAAGGGTGCTGGGAACCCAGGGAGGTCTCCCAGTCGAGATGGAGGACTAACTAAGAACCAGAGGACTGCCTGAGCCATGGACTTCTATTTCCTTTCCTGAGATACAGTACTCTGGACTGGGCAAAGGGGGAAGGAAGGAAGGACTGTGTCTGTTTGTGGGTGTTTTAAGGGACTTTAGGATTTTTGATGAAGACATTAGGTCACTACTTGAAGTCTGTATAGCATTAAATAAACATTTCCTTTCCTTTTCACGAATTTCTGGCATTGAGAGACGTCTTTCCTAGGGCGGCGGACATAACGGACCCAGGGCCTTCTTTCAATAATAGTATATCGTCCCAGGCCCCCCTTGTGTTCTGTAACACAAACCCCTTCAGTCTGGCTTCAGTCTCCACACTCTCCCCAGGCTAAAGAAAATGAGACTTCCAAAGATCACATTCCGTTTGCCCAATTCAAGGAATACACCAGTGTTCTTTCCCTCAAAGTCCTTGTGATGCCACAGAAGCAAATTTCGGTAGAATCCTCAAGGGTCTTGGTTGTGCAAAGCAAGGGTCCAGGTGGTCAAGAATATCTACCCCCAGGGACACAGTGATCACTCACACATGGAAACATCCATGTCTCTTCTTTCTCAGTTAGGTTTCCTGAGATATGTTAAATAGCTGTGAGCCCCTTCCCTCCCCTTCCTTCCTCCAGCCCCCAAATCATTTTACTAAGCTTAGTAGAGACACCGCTTCCTCTCTTTGCTTTTTGACTTTCACTGGGGGTCCAGTTCTCATGAATTTCTCTAACCCCTCCAACAAGGGAGCCTCTCACCGCCCCCATACTTTACAGTTCTGCGTGCCTTTCCCTTTTGTTTGTAACCTCGAGCCAGCAGCAATATTCCTCCTGCTCCCAAAGTTCCAGATCTTCCCACAGCAAAGTCATGAGCTGGATGGAGCCTGTACTTCACTAATGTTGCTCCACTGGTACCAGAGTGGTCATATTGCCCTGGTGTCTGGCTTCAACACACTGTCCACTCCACACTTTCAAATCTTTTTTTCAAAGTGCTGCAGATATTAAAAGAAACTCCTAACCTGTTAATTAACTTCTTGCCCATAACGTCAGCCTTTTCTAAAAAGCTGCCTCCTCCATTTAGCCCCCACCCCCAGATGAAGCAGGACAATAGGATATACCCCTCCCTCAGCTCCAGGCCACAGGGATATTTGTTCTTTTAAAATGCATTATATAACTGAATTTGCCTTGCCTCTCCTAATGCACTGATATCCTAGACCTTATCTGGCATTTTATTGTTGGCTGCACATACATTTTAAATATCCCATTGGATCACTGTGTACAGGACACGTAGGTACCAATTTTCTTTTTGACAACCTATTATTGGAAGGCTGGCACTGACTACGTAATTCTATTTTAATAATTTCCTGGACAAAAATCATGCACTGGTGAGCATTAGGGATTTACTAAGCACTTTTAGACAATGTGGCTGCCCACTAAATAAATATTCCATGCCAACTGCACTACAGGTACCTGAGTGTATGAAGCTCTGAATGTGCTCCACCACCAGCTCACAAGACAGACCGATGGCGTGCTTGAAGTTGGCGGAGGCCACGTCCCAGTACGAATGGTCCTTATGGCTACGGCGGAGCCAGAGGGACATCACAGGAAGGAGAAGATGAACAACTGCATAGATCCCGAACCCTGGCCCTGAAAAAGAAAAGTCAGCATCAGAATTGTGACCTCGGCGACTCTCCTGAGATACCAGGGAAGCTCTTGGCTGGTCTCTTGGCAATGCCAATCTTCTCTTCTGAAGGAGCACCCCGCTCTCTGAGAAGGTGCAAGGAAAAACCACTTACCGTTGCTTGCGGAATATAGGTTTCCAACAGCAATTTTCTGATTTGTTTCTGCATTATTTTAGTTATCTAGTGCTATATGAATGCATTCATAAAAATTCAAATAGTACTAATAAAGCTTAAGTGTCTTGATCTACTACTTAGTGGCCAGATATAAACATACAGATACATGTGTGGATTTAACAAAATACCCTTAAAATATAAGTATATGTTTTTGTGTGAAACAGAAATATAGAATATAGTTTTTATTACTTTTATATAAATGGGATAATGTAAATCTTAGTCTACATGTTGATATTTTGCTCTTAACAGGGTGTGCTAGAGATTATTCCCTGTCAGAAAATTTAGAGACTCCTAATTTTTAATGCCAATACTATTCCATTGTATGTTTACACAACAGTTAACTTATCCATTCCTATGTGGTGGGCATTTAAGGGGTTTCTCTATTTTGATTTATACACAATGCCACAATGAAAACCTCTGTGACAAAGATAAATTTTTAAAATTCTTATTACAAAGCATTTAACTTTTTAACTTATGAGAGTAGCTATTATGATTTTCCTGAAAAAAAAATTCCAATATAAACTTTACAATAGATTTTAAAACAGTGTCAATTATCAAGTCTTCATTAGTTAATTTTAAATACAAAACCCTTCTTATTACTATAAACTACTGGTTTCTTTTGTGGTTCTGATTCTGTTAGTGAAAACTAAAATTTTCTGTAAAAATTCCCTTAGTTTTGGGAAAATGTAGATGAGAAAGTGTGTATACAAACCTGAATTCAGAACAAGAAATCACTTTCTAAGGGATATTCTCTTCCTGCACTGTCAGGGTGCTAGGTAATCACTAAATGTCTTTTCCCAAATCTACTCACCTGAGACCTTCATGCAGTCATGGTGTTGCTGGATTAATATTGCATGTAGATTTGAGTGGTTTATGTCGGTAGGAGACATGGTGAGCCCTACTGACAGCTCTATGGCCAAGAGTCTGTGGGGTCCAGCCAAAGAAGGAGGTTGTATTTATGGAACAGAGTAAAGCCACTGCCCATGAAGGGACTGGTACTACAGCCTTGGCCTGATTATTATGGGGCTCCAACACACTCAACTAACTGGCCACCATTATTTGTAAATGGACTGGTGGGAGACTTGTAAATAATCATAAAGCATACCTTAAACATCACTGCATCATAGTCAATAAATATTTATTTGAGCACCTACTGTGCTGTCTAGGGTACAGCAGTGAAACAGGTAGGCACTTGCAGAAATACCTTCCGGGAAAACATAGTATGTATAACACCCGCCCCAAATGACAGACATAGAAATATTCACCAGGTGTTTTGGTAACATCTCTCAACAGCTCGAAGAGTAAGTCCAAGGTTGGCGGTTGGTGCTGCCGTGGACAGTTGGACACCGCTGCTGTTAGCTGCTCCAGCAGGATGATCCAGACTTCTATGAGACCTGGAAAGCAAAAACCAGACCTCTGTGAATTTTGGTGAAACATAATACAGAATCACTGCGAGGTCAAGTGTAAAAGAGGTCTGTAAACTGCCACGTGCTCTCTGCAAGGGAGGCATCCCCCTGTAAGGCCGCCCTCAGGGCCTATAAACGGACTGGTTGTGATTTACCTGTTCTGACAAAGTCAAAGGGGAAAAAAACAACACGCAAATTTCTTCCTTAGTCCTTTTCAGGAAGAAGGTAATATGGTTTGTAAATTCTACGTGAAATGATTGTCAGATTTCTTGGGAGGTGATGATAGCAAAATAACATAATGTCCTTTTAGCTCTATCACTTTAGTCAATCCTTTAAGAATATTTATTACCTCATTATACACATAACAAAACACCATTCTCACCATTTTCATGTGTGCAGGTGGGTGCTATTCATTACATGCAGTGTTGCACAACCATCATGGCCATCCATTTTCAAAACTTTCCATCCCCTCAAACAGAATTCTCTACAACAGTGAAGCAATAATTCTCCCCTCACTTCAGCCCCTCTGGTAACCTCTAATCTACTTTGTCTCTATCTGATTTTATCCATTCTAGATATTTTATGTGAGTGGGATAATAAAATATTTGTTTTTTTTTGTATGTCTGGCTTATTTCACTTAGCATAACATGTATATCAGCATTTCATTCCTTTTTATGGCCATGTGCACACCACATTTTGTCCATTCATCTGCTGGACACCTGTGTTGGTCCCATATTTTGGCTGATGTGAATAAGAGTGCAGTGAACACTGGAGCATGTGCTGAGTCGCTCCTTCCAGTTCTCTTGGGTGTACACCTGCGAGTGCCGTTACTGGGTTACGTGGCAATTGTTCAGCTTTCTGGAGATCCACCAAATGGTTTTCCGTAAAAGCTGCATCATTTTACATTCCCATGAACGTTCCAATTTCTCCACATCCTTGCCATCACTTATTTTCTGTTTTTTTTTTAAACTATCACCATCCTAATAGGTGTGCACTAGTACTTCATCATGCTTTTTTTGGAGTGACATTTTTCTAATGATTGATGATATTGAGCATCTTTTCATGTACCTATAGGCCATCTGTATATCTTTTTATGACAAATATCTGTTCATGTTCTTTGCATACTTTAATTTTTTTTCCATTGATTTTAGAGAGAGAGAGAGAGAAGGGAGAGAGAGAAGAATCAATTTGTTGTTCCACTTATTTATGCATTCATTGTTTGATTCTGGTATGTGCCCTGACCAAGGACCCAACCCACAACCTTGGTGCATTGGGACAAGCTCTAACCAACTGAAACACCCAGCCAGGGCCTCCTCACCTATTTTTACAGTGGGCTGTTTGTCTTAGGAATTCTTTATATATTCTGGATATTAAAACTGTACCAGATATATGATTTTAAAATATGCTCTTCTGTTCTTTAGGTTGTCTTTTCACTTTCTTATAACATCCTTTGATGTATAAAAGTTTTTAATTTGAAGTCAAAGTTACTTGTTTTTTATCTTTTGTTGCTTGTGCTCATCCATTTTCTTTGCCCTTTCTAAAAAAATTTGTCCCATTTTTTCCAAGGGTCATTCACCTGGTTTCTACAAATTAATTTAAATTTACCTGCCCCCATGGTAGGTGGCAATTCTGGCACCGTCTCAGTCCTGCATACGTACAGGTCACAGGGTCCACGACTCACAGGCGGGGAGACGACGCTTACGGTGTCGACAGGTTCATCTGCCCTGAGCGGCACACCCCTCCGTGCACCCTCTCCCCTTTCTTCTGAGAGTTTCATTTTGAAAATAACATACTAACTTTTAGTGCTCTTCATTACTAGGTGAGGGGGAAAGCATGACATTCTCTTCGTAAGATCCAAATAGTTTCAATTTTGCCATTTATGTAAGTACTTACATGAGCCAACATTTTGGCACATCACTGTCTTTGGAAATATCTGAACCTACAGCTCAGAAAGCTGTGCAGACAAAGGACTCAATTTCCCTAGCTTCACACAAAAGGATGACAGTAACATAAGAAACAACCCAGTTTATTTCTAATTTTCCTGAAAAATAAAATTGTATCAGAAGACTACATTTTAAAATATTTCCATAAAAAACTACTTCCCCAATATTAAATGTCCCTATTAACAGGAGACAAAACCAAAGTCATGGACAATAAATATAATAAAACCAGGTGATAAGAAATTCTTATGAACCTTAAAAATACAGGGTGGGACAAAAGCAGACTTACAGTTGTGAGTATGTGAAACACGGAGTTTATCCGTATGTTATTATCTATGAAGGGCCATATTATTGGAACAGCCATGTGAACAACTGCAAGCCTACGGCTGCCCCACCCTATATGCAGGTGTGGACAAGCTAATTTACAGAAAATCCAGAGGACAGAGAAACAGGTTACATGCCACCATGATGGGGGGGGGGCAACCAATAAAATCCAAATGGAAAACTCTACAGGACAAAGCGCCTCCCTTCTTCAACAAATAAACTGCAAAGGAGTTAAAGAATTGGAGAGGAAAATCTACAGATTGAAAAGGATTTAAGAGACATATCACCCAAACATATAGCATGGATCTTATGTGAATCCTGATATATATAAGAAAATTGGAAAATTTAACGTAGATATTTGATGTTATTAAAGAGTTATGGTTAATTTTTAGGTGTGATAATAACATGGTCATCTGTCATCTTTAAAGAATACATACTAATATCTGATATATGGATGGCCCAAAGATATGAAAAATGCTCAGCATCACCAGCCATCAGAGAGATGCAAATTAAAACCACAGTGAGATACCACCTCACACCTGTCAGAATGACCATCATTAACGAATCAACAAACCACAAGTGCTGGCGAAGATATGCAGAAAAGGGAATCCAGTATACTGTTGGCGGGAATGCAGACTGGTGCAGCCACTGTGGAAAACAGTATGGAAATTCCTCAAAAAATTAAAAATGGAACTACCTTTTGACTCACTGATTCCACTGCTGGGAATATACCCCAAGAATCCTGAAATACCAATTCAAGAGAACTTAGGCACCCCTGTGTTCATAGCAGCACTATATATAATAGCCAAGTGCTAGAAACAGCCTAAATGCCCATCAGTAAACGAGTGGATCAAAAAACTGTGGTACATTTACACAACAAAATACCAAGCAGCAGAAAAAAAGAAGGAATGCCTACATTGTGCAAGAGCATGGATGGCACTGGAGACTATTATGCTAAGTGAAATAAGCCAGTCAGTGAAAGACAAATACCATATGATCTCACCTATAAGAGGAATCCAATGAACAAAAAAAACTAATGAGCAAAGTAAAACCAGACACATAAAATCATGGAACAGATTGACAGCGGTAAGAGGGGAGGAGGGAGGTGGAGACTGTTTGAAAGAGAAGAGATTAGTCAAAGAACGTGTGTGAAGGACCCAGGGACATGGACAGCAGTGTGGGGACCGGCTATGGGCGTAGGGGGTGGGCTGGATGGAGGGCGGTGGGGACGGAGAAGGATTGGGACAACTGGGACAACAGCATAAACAATAACAAAAAATAAAAACAAAACCAAAAAGTTAAAAAAATAAAGAACACATACTAACGTCGGTGATTTGCTTTAAAACAATGTGAGAAGGAGGAAGTGGTGGGTGAGGGCGATGGGGAGTGAGCGTGCGTGCAGATGCACATTACCTGAGGGTGGCTGCAAGTTCATACTAGTTGAAGCTGGGTGACGGGCACATGATGATTCACTGTAACACTCTGTCTAGTTTTATTTCCATAGGAAGGAAAGGCAATTTGACTTTTCTTTGGAAACCAGAGAAATGATATCTCAGAATATATCAATGGTGAGAATTAACTGTAAATACTAACTTAAAGCTTTTACTTTTATTCTTTTCTCTGACTTAGCTATGTTTCCTATATAATTATACCTTTAAAGCCCTCAGTGAATTTATGCTGTGGGAAACTTTTAAGTGTTTGGCTGAGCTATAGTCACAAGAAGATGGGCTACCTAGAAAAAATGGTCTAATGGTTTACATAAATGGGGAGGGAATGCTGTTACATACATACAAACCATTTACAACTATTTTAAAGACTGTATTATACAGATAAGCAACATTAGCTTCTGCTTATAATTGTCTGGTTAGAGATTTACAATGCTAACTAAAAATTATTCCTATCTAATCATTAGAATGAAACCTATATTAGGCAATATCCAGCCAATTTCCAACATTTTAATTATTCTCTACATTAGGTTTTCCTATAGTGCTTCCTCATAACTCGTCTGAACTAGTGAGGCTTTCTTGTTTATAATCTCCATGGAACACTGTAAATCTTTTAGCCACCCTCATAAATGAATTTGTAATGGAACAATAAAATAGGAGAGAAATGAAACACAAACACGAAAGCAAATTTAAGAGACCACACCTAAAAAGTCTTTTCCTGAGACTTGAAACAACCCATTCCCAGATATGAAACCCCTTTTAGGGTGTCATTTCTATTTCTACATCTAGGAACAAGACAGAGTCCTCTGAGAAGACAGCAAGCAGGAGCATGAGTTAACTGGCCTAAGAATTAGCCAAAGTCACTGAGTGAACTCCAATGCACAGGAAATTACATGGGAACTAATTTGAAACACATTCTTTAAAATTATTCTTTTAATGAGTCTTCAGCTTCACCAGTCACAGATAGATTCTTTCTTCAGTAATGGTTTAATTTCCCCAGTCTCTAACCAAATAGTCCTGTGGGAAGTAATTATATAATGATTGTGTTTTCTAGAAGGAATTAGAGACAATTACCAGCCAATTTAAGTACCAATGCACCAATGCAACCACATTCCAATTTGCTAAATTCAAGAGAATTCTGACTTAGAAATTATATTTATCAGAATCTGCAGACCTGCACTGGTTGTAGAAGGAGCGTTCCCTCTAAAAAGAACAGATTTGGAGGCATCGATTGTAAAATGTTTTTGGAGCAACCATGGACACTTTGGGTAGGCTTGTTCTCTTAGAACCATAAACAGTAACAACATAACTGGACCATTCATGATCTAGAAGCTATTTACTTCACGGCTTCAGCCTCTGAGAATGCATGCACAGCGAGCAACCTGGCTTCGTCCAACCCATTGACTCACCGGTGTCATCGTCGAAATCAGACAGGACCGACTCCATTCCATCCTCACTGCTCGCCGACTGCTCCTGGAGCCTGCGAGGCAAGCTGGCCAGGCGCCCGCTAAGGAATATGGGCTTCATGGGCATTTTGTAGATTTTGGCCAATAGCTGCATAGAAAATACCAGGTTTCAATTACGTGTGGGAAGAAACTACACTCTGGGTGTTAAAGAACACTAAAATTATATACTAGTAATCGAAAGGGGAGAGAAAAGCACAAACGCTGCCATTGGATTTAAAGTTGGTTGGTTGTGATTTGGCTTCACGAGGCAGCTCACAGGGGGTATCTGTCCCGGGAAGCGGATGAAACAGCGTTCAATGGCAACAGAAAGGTGGAGGGAAAAAACACAATGAATACTTTTTCAGCATCTCCATTGCCTGTGAGTTTTGTAGATTTTTATAAACCCACCAAGGGAGCTGTGACGCGTCCAGAGCTTCTGTCTGTGGGAGAAAGGTCTCCGAGGGTCACTGAGAAGAGAGACTGCAGGCCAGTCAGATGGCAGGCTCCCTTTTCCCCTTCACGTGAGCCCACGTCAAAGAAGCGGGGTGGGGGATGGGCAGTGCAGAAAGGAGGGCTCTGTGGGCGAGGCCCGAGACAAAGTATGGGGAGCAGAGCTAACAGACTGCCCTGGGCTCTTTATTCCCCTTTGTCCCCTGGAGGCCAGTCCCCTGGGATCTCTGTCACTGAAACAAACTCCCAGGATCCTTATCTTCACAAATTACAACTCAGCTTGCTGTGCCCACACTGTTCTAGAAACCAGGGAAACAGCTGTGAGCAAGACAGACAAAATTCCTGTCCTGTGGGTTTTGCAGACGATAATCCTTTATGATAAATAAAATTTCTGAGATCAATGGTACAGAAAAAATTAGACAGGTGGTACTACAGAGAGTGACGGAGGTGTGTGTGGAATGCCAGCAGGGAGCTGGTGGATGCCGAAGCCCTCGTCTCTCTGACAGGTGAAGTTTCAGGTGAGATTTGGAAGAGAAGGAGTATCATACAGACACCTGAGGAGGACAAATCACAGGCAGAGAGAACAGCAGCGACCCTGGGTGCAGTGAGCTGGGTGAGTGTCAGGGGCAGAAGGGGAGTGTGGCTGGAGCACCGTGACTGAGAGGAGAGGAGACGAGGTGGAGAGGGAGCTGCAGTCCTGTCTCGTGGGGCCCTGTGGGAGAAATCCCAGCCGTGCATCCTTTCTAAAGCCATGGGCTCAGCACTGTCATTGAGGGGTGAGAAGAGCCCGGGCATACCACCTGAGAAGACAGGAGAAAAACTAGCTGCGAGAGGGTGTCACTGAAGCCTGGAGGAGAAAGGGCTTCAAGAAAGAGTATCGTCTCATTCCACTGGTGTTTGATGTGGGTGAGGACGAAGCGTTATTGAACGGAGCATACTTAGGGTTACTGTCCATGTGGATTTCTCTACTAGCTCTTGATTGAATACATCCCTCTAACAATTCTTTGTCTCCCTTCGCTGTCTCTTCATCCATGTTTTGGTACATCAGAAAGATCTCCTGAGACTTCATGACTCCACCCTCTACAGCCTGGCACAAATGCAGCAATCGTGGTAGTTCTACTGAGAATAACTGAGAAGTTCTGGAGATCTCAGGAGCCAACTGCGTGTTCTAGTATACCGTTACTAGTTTCTCTCTCTCCTTCATGGAAGGGGTGGGGACAAAAATGTGCACTCCCCATCTAAGTCCCAGTCGCCTCAGAGACGGCAGACAGTGTTTCTTACAGGCCTCAGCCAAAGACACCTGCAGGTGTTTTGCAAGCCTGTCCTGAGGCAGGATCAGGGCCTGGGCTCCGAGTGAGCATCCCCTACCTGAGAGCAGCGCCGGAGGTAATCCAGGGCAGGGAGGCACAGGTCTGGGGACGTGGCTCCGGGTCCCGGGACGCAGTCTCCGATCTCCTTACAGTCCACTTCCCCTGGGGGCAGCGCACAGGAACAGGGACAGTGTTATCCTTGTTTGTGCCCTTACAACAGACGACCTATTCATTCACACAGTGTCAGTTCACCCGACGTCTACTAAAGCAGAGAAAAAACCCTTTCAGTCAGTTTGTCTCCCTGTGTGTGTACACACTAACACAGTCGGGATCCTCCTGTACATCTTATTTGGTTGAGATCATTTTGTTTTGTCACTTCTTTTTAGCAACCAATGAGCATTTTTTCTCTATTCTGCCACAGAATTTGTTCCTGGGCATGCTTGTTCACTTTCCTAGGCCGGCTGTTGATGGTGTGACTTTTAAAAAAAAACAAAACTGTATTGATTTGAGAGTGAGAGAGACATCGATTTGTTGTTCCACTCATTCATGTGTTTATTTGTTGCTTTTTGTTTGTGCCCTGACCGGAGATCGAACTCGCAGGCTTGGCTGGCAATTTGGACAACTCTCTAACCAAGTGAGCTACCCGGCCTGGGCCGGTGGTGTGACTTCTGAAGCTCTGATGAGGATGTTCCCGCAGGTCATCCAAGCGCTGGGCTGGAATGAAGCACCAAGACTCTCCATCTGGGAAAGGACCTCATTTGCTGCCAGTGCTCAGCACTAAATAGTGATGATAAATGAAGGCTCTGGGAAGATTCTAAACATCTGGGGTTTGGGGATGGAGACTACGTAATTGAATTGAAATTCTTTCCTTTAAAAAAAATCTATCTAGAGAGTTAACAGACCTGTAGAGGGCTTCTGAATTTTCTATAGGTAAACAGTAGTTGAGAATTATCATTTTTCTTCTCATGCAATGAACCTATTCTCAACTTTTAATACAATCATTGCACAGCACTGTAATTGTTTCTAATTATCTATAATTGTGGCAACTAGCACCCTCCCCTGTGTGTAAACAGACATAATTACTAAGCCTTAGTTAAAATTCAGAAGCAGACAAAGAGGCATTTTTGCCTTAAAAATGAAAAGATAAACATTTCTTATGTTTTAGATCAGAGATTGGCAAACTTTTTCGGACAGGGCCAGAAGGACAATACTTCAGGCTTTGCAGGTAATACTGTCTTTGTTGCAGCTTCTCAACCCTGTCCCTGGACCATGAAAACAGCCACAGACAAATGACCATGGTTTTGTTCCAATAAAACTTTATTTATAAAAAACTATCAGTGACTGGATTTGGCCATAGTTTGCAAACTCCTGGTTCAGATGCTCACACCTTACAGTATAAAAACACAGACTGGGTCAAATTCATGTTGAAATAACCAAGTGGGAATTAAAAATAAACTCATTCTCTAGCTTATTGATCAAAGTGAGTGCTTCAAAGTTTATTACCGAGGCTGCCGTGGTGCATGTACAAGTCTCTGCAAGTGGCGCCCCCTGGAGCCGGGGCAGCGCCCAGCCAGCACGGCTCTCCTGGGGGCTCGGACAGTCCACTCCCCGCAGCACCACACAAATAATTCCACCTTGTAGCTCACAGAAACAAAAAAGGACTTACCTGTTTTAAATATTCTCCACATACACACTGATAACTCTACATCTTTATTTTCAGGTCTCAACTCCCTCAGATAAAATCTCAAATTTCTAACCTGCAGAGAAGCATCTCCACTTGAATGGCTCACTGGGACTCAACACGTCCACATGCCCCAAGAGGGAACTCAGTACTTTTTCTTACCCGCCACCGCTGACCTGCCCTGTGTTTGCATCTCCCAGGTCTGGGTAACACCAGTCCTCACAGGGAACTTGGGGAATGGGAGTCAGCCTCGGTTCCGCCTCTCAGCTGCCTGTTCATTTCAGCCTAAATGGCTTTTTTTAAAAACTAGCCTCCATGACAGTATTCATCTTATTAAATTGCACTGATTGATTTATGTGTCTGTTTCCCGGAGTAGGCTGTGAGCCTCTCCCAGGCGGGAAGCATGTTTTATTCATCTTCACATCCCATCGCACGCACAGGCCGCAGGCGCTCCACTCCTCACTGGACAGCGTGCCAACAACAATGCTTCCTACGTGGAGTACGGGTCTGAAATAATAGAAGGGGCAGGTGTGTGCTGGTCTCTGGCTGGTTCCTGGCACAGGGCTCCTCAAACCCTTGCCACGTCCTCGGTGAGAAGAGCACTAGGAGCATCCTTCCTTCTGTTGTGTGGTCTTTGAACCATGCTCCTGGCCTAAACTGCTCAACGTTTCCTGGTAGGAGAGTTTTTTTCTGTTTTAATGAGGCGACCCTTGTGGGCTCCTGGATGGGGGCTGCTCAGCAGAAAAACCAAGTCGTAATTAGAAGCCTGGAACTTTCAGCCCCTCCCCCCATCCTCCAGGAAGGAAAAAGGGGCTGGAAATTTAGGTGGTGATCTATCGGGCCGACAGGATGAAGCCTCCATAAAAGTTCCAAAATGACAGGGTTCAGACGGCTTCTGGGTTGGTAAGCAGGGCTCCAGGCTGGGACGGTGGCACCCCACACCGCCATGGGGGCAGAGCGTCCTGCGCTTGGGATCCTCCACCTATGTCTCTTTCTGTTTGGTTGATCCTCTGCATCCTTTAGCATGTCCCTTGTTATAAAATATACTGGCAGATGGAAGTGTGTCCCTGAGTTCTATGAGCTGCTCTATTGAAAAAGAGAATCCAAGAGGGTGGGAGGGAGTCATGGGCAGCTACAATTTTTAGCCAGGTGGAGCGGGAGTCACGGGTAACCTGGAGACCAGCGACTTGCATCTGAAGTAGGGCACAGCCTCGTGGGACTGAGCCCTTCACCTGTGTGGTCTGGGCTAACTCTGGACAGTGTCAGAATTGAATTGAAGGACACCCAGCTGGTGGCCCAGACACCTGCTTGGTGTGGGGAAGACCCCCCTACATCTGGCGTCAGAAGGGTTGTGAGCATGGCAGCAGTGCGAGAGGAAAGGCGACACGCAGGAGAATGAGTTTGTTCCTAAACAAGAACTGAGTTTTCCACTATTCAATACAAAGATTCATACTTTAAGGTGTTCTTATAATTAGGACACTAAATTATATTTGGCTTCTATATAACACAGAACAGCATTTTAAAAAGTCTTTCTTTGGTATTCAAAGAAACCTTCCTTGAAGCCCTGCATGTAAAGTCAATAAGCGAGTGGTTGCTGTGGCTGCCCTCCGCTCCGTCTCTGTTTCTCAGGGTGAACGTAGAAACAGGACAAGACATGTGATGACAGGATATAACAAGGCCGGTCTGCAGGTCAGACCTGGGGCCTCCAGCCTGTCTCCTGAAACTTGTGCATTGTTCCTGCTCCCCAGAAAAGGGGAATATGGTGAAGTCACCTGGCTTCCTTGTGTCCAGCTTTCTTTTGCAAAAGAATTTGTTGGTTATTTAGCAAGAACATAAAAGAATATTATGAACCTGTAATTTTTCTTATTTAAAAGGCTTTCAGGCCCTGGCCAGAGTGGCTCAGTTGGTTGGCTGTCATCCTGCAAAGTGAAAGGTCGCAGGTTTGATACCCAGGCAGGGCACATACCTGGGTTGCCAGCCCAGTCCCTAGTTAGGGCGCATGGGTGAGGCGACCAACTGATGTTTCTCTCTCACATCCATGTTTCTCTCCCTCTCTTTCTCCCTCCCTTCTCCTCTCTCTAAAAATAAACAAATAAAATCTTAAATAAGTAAATAAATAGATAAAGGGCTCTTAGTCTCCACACCTGAGAACACTCCATGGTGAAATTCTCCAACTTGAAAACCTAAGTTTCCCCTAAATCTCTGGTTTTGTGAACGCCCCTCCCTTCCACTTCAGGGATGGACTCGTGCTGCACAAACGCCCGCTGCAGGAGGTCACGTCGTGTCACAAGAAGACTCTGTTTCGTGAGAGCATTCCCAAGTCAGGCACGAGTCAGTCAGGTAGCTCCTGAAACACAGGAGGCCTCCGAAGAGGGGGACTTTTACACTCCAGAAGGTTTTATGATTAATAAGGCCTGGGGGAGACATTTTTAATTTCTGTTTAGGAGCTGGGAACTCAAACTCTAATTATGTGACATTGAGGAGAATAGTTTCCTGCCTCTGGGTGACTACTGAATACTAAATATTTTAAGGTTCGAAAAGAAGTTGAAGTAAAATAACATATAGATTGAAAACATGCTGGATTACAATATTATTCCATGAACACAATGAAGAATATCAACCTTGGACAGAACCCCAAGCTGCTTTCCCAGCGAGCTCTCTGTTTCTGAGTACACACCATCTGCTTCCATCCCAGGATGCTCAGCGGGCCTGTCTCCAGGGCTTTCCACACAAAGCTATCTGGGAACAAGTCCCCAGCTGTCACAAGGCATGAGAAGAGGACTCCACTTACCCAGTCCTTTGACAAACTTCATAAGGCACATGATGTAACTAGTGGCTGCATTAGCAAAGACCTGGATGTTGTCGGTATTGAGAAAAGCTTCAAATACATCAAACACTGGAGCTTGGCCTTTTCCTGAGGGAGGAAGATTATAGAATTGTAAGGAAGTTAAGTCTCTACCCTTCAGGTTGCCCAAACTCCCAGCACCTTCCACAGGGCCTGGGAAAAATCTGTAGCAAAGCCAGGGTCTTTTGAATGGACAACTGGCCTGGCTCCCATGCTGTACTTTTTAGCTTTGCCTGCAGGGGGAGCTGCAGGAAGGCTACGAAGAGCTCAGTGGGGAGAAGAGAGCGAAGCTTGCTGGATGCAGGGCTGAAGCAATGTGCAGGCTACAGGGCGGTGAAACGTAGGCCTCTGAATTCTTCTGCACACATAATTATAGGGAAGGGGAGGTTTGGATAAATCGTTGATGCATATACTAATTTATTCACACCTGTGCAGAAAAGCGTTCGCATCAAAGGCCTGAGACTGCTGTCCTTAGAAAGGTTTGCTTGCAAGGTTGGCCTTTGGCTGGAGTCTGGGAACCTGGCTCCCAGAATATTTCTGAGCAATAGTTAATCAACAAGGGTAGTTCACTGTGCCTGGACTGTGTAAATAATGTGGTTTATTCTGAACACCTGTGCTCCTTCAGGGAGCCTGGAATTTTGGTATATGCTAGACAGAAGGTGCCTCTGGGACCCCCACCCCCTGCTGTCAGCTGGGTTTCCAATGTGCTTTCCTGGGCTAAAACATTACTCTTACACTGCTGCATTTTTCACTGCTGAGGGGAAGTGTGCTCCGTGGGACGCCCCCCATGCAAAGGTGAGAGCACAAGGAGGCTTATACAGGGGTTCCCCCAGATTCTGACGGCCTTATCCATACTATGTTGCCATATTACATCTCAGCGGTGAGCAAGGTAATAAATCTGGGCCATGTAATAAATCTTAGCATAATTATAGGCTGAGTCCTGAGCCCTTCTGGTGGGTGTCTGAACACTGGCACCCCTGACACAACTCCCCTGGTTGTGGGCATGCTTTACGGATGCCCAGCCATGTCCAGCCAGACCCCAGCCAGATCCTGAAGTTAGAATCTCCAGTGTTAAGATAGGTCTCTGCTTCTTTCTAGCAAGTGGATAACATTTTTCATTTTGGCCTTAGGAATCAGCCTGATACAGATAAGTGTAAGTGAAACAAGAGAAGTCTTAGCCTTTTATCCAAACTGACAGTAAGAGCAGGGCCTGATAGTGCTCAGGGCTCTCGCCTGCTGGCGAAACTCAGAACTCCTGTCCCTGCTGCACCAGCTTATTTCCTGCTGATAAAGCACTGCTGAGTGTCAGTGTCCCCTGCTGCTTAATTTCCTGTGATAGCAAAGAACTTGGCATGAAGAGCTAATGCCCTACAGCAAAACCAACCAGGTATCCTTCCCACTATTACCATTCCTATTCAAGTCCCTTCCAGAGCAATCAGGCAAGAGGAAGAAATAAAGGACATCCAAATTGGAAAGGAAGAGGTAAAATTCTGTCTGCAGATGTCATGATCTTATATACAGAAAACCTTAAAAGACTCTAACAAAAGTTGTTTAGAACTAATAAACGAATTCAGTTGCGTTTCAGGATGTAACACCAGCACACAATCTTACCCATGGAGTAATCACCAACGAGGTAGTCCTTCACCTCAGACTTGTTCCCACTGTGCACCGTTTCCAGGGCACTGAACAAGGGCCTCCAGCCCGACTGGATTTGGGAGGAACACACTTCAACCAGCTCACCAATGGATGTGACAACCTGGCAGAGGCAAAGGAGGCCGCAGTTAACACCCTCTTCTTAAAAGATGCAGGAGAGTTTAAGGGACAGGCAATGTATTTCTCTGTGCCCTATTTCTGGGTTAATTTTAGTGAAAGAGAATGAACAGAACCCAGAGAGGCTCACACAAAAATCTAAATAAGTGCTCATACTGCATTAATTGGCATTTTACTAAGGACGAATGTCGGACAACTTCACAAGCTTATTATTAGCTATTTGTAAATATCTTGCTGTTTTTTAGATTGGGTTTTGGTCTTCTCTCTACTGTCTTTTTATTATTTTAAAGTTATCTATGTATTTTAGATGCAAATCCTTCCTGAGATCTATAATCTGCAAATATTTTTTTCATAACCTTGGGCTTCTCTTTATTTTTTAATGGTGTTAAAAGAGCAAAAGCTTTACATTTTAATGAAGTCCAATTCATTGACTTTTTTCCATGTGTATTTGCGTTAATGAGCAAAGGGTGGCAGGGTGCTCGGGAACTGCTCAGAATGTGGACAGTCTCATGAACCTGCGTGTCATCCTTGCGCGGGGGCCGTGCTCATCTTCTCTGTGTTGTCCCAATTCTCGCATGTGCTGCTAACCTGGGCACCATCAAGTTTTCTTTTTATGGACCATGCTGATGTCATTTTTAAGAAATCTCTGCCTCACTCAAGGTCTCAATGACCATCTCCTATACTTTCTCCTGGAAATAGAGTTTTTTTCTTAGAGTTAAGGTGATCATCCATATTGAGTTATTTTCGTATATACTGAGAGGTAAAAGTGTAGGCCATTTTTATCGCATATGTTCAAGCACTGTTTTCTGAAAATAATATCCTCCCCTTCTGTTGAATTCCAGTGGCTTCCTTGTCAAAAATTAATTGAACCTAAACATGAGAATTTATTTCTGTACTCTATTTAGTTCCATTGAGCTATAAGTGTACCTGTACACCAATATCACACTACATGGATTACGGAAGTTTCAAAATCAAGTAATGTAAATTCTCCAAATTTGTTCTTTTTCTAATTTGTGTTCTCTATTCTCAATCCCTTGCATTTGCATATAAATTTGAGAGTCATCATGCCAATATCTTTAAAAACTCTGCTTGGATTTTGATGGGAATTGCACTGAATATATCAATTTGGAGGAATTTTCTCATTTAAAAATACTGTGTCTTTCAATCCACGAATAGACTATATGTCATTGTTTATTTAAATCATCTTTAATTTTTCTTAGCAATATTTTATAGTTCTCAGTGTATAGGTCTTGAACCTCTTTTGCTAAATTTATTCCTAAATATTTTTATTATTTTAATGATCTTGTGAATGGAACTGTTCTCCTTATTTCAATGTTTGATCATTTATTTCTCAGATATAAGAACTCAATTGATTTTAGTATGTTAATCTTATATCCAGTGACCTTATTTAATTCACTAATAATTTTAATAATTTTTTGTAAATCCCTTAGGATTGTCTACATACAAGGCCATGTTATTTATGTATTAAGAAAAGTTTGCTTTTCTTTTCAAGCCTAGATGCCTTTCTTATACAATGCATAAAAGTTATAATATTAAATAGAAATAGTGAAGATGGAAATCCTTGCCTGGTGCTGATCATAGGGAAAAAGCACCCAGTCCTTCCCCACTAAGTGTGACATTAGGTGTAGCTTCTCAAAGATGCTCTTTATCCAACTGAGGAAATTCCTTCTACTCCTCATTTCTTTGAAGTTTTTTGTTTAAATTAAAAAGGGATGTTAAATTTTGTTAATTTCCAAAACTATTTACATGATCATGTGGTTTCAATCCTTTATTCTACTAATAAAATATGTTACATTGATTGATTTTGAGCTGTTAAACCAACCTTACACTCCTGGGATAAATTCCATATGTAACAGTGTTTAATCTTTATATATTGCGGATTTAGCCTCTAATAATTTTTAGTTTTTTAATCCTTACCTGTGGATGTTTATTGATTTTAGAGAGAGAGGAATGGAAAGGAGAGGGGTGAGAGAGAGACAGAGACAGAGACAGAGAGAGAGAGAGAGGGAAAGAGAGATCAATTGGTTGCCTCCCATACATGCTCTGACTGGATATCCAACCCACAAGCTAGGTATGTGCCCTGACTGGGGATTGAACCCGCCACCTTTCAGTATACAAGATGATGCTCCAGCCAGCTGAGACACCCAGCCAGAGCTCTAACAATTTTTAAAGAATTTTTTAGGTTTAATTTCGTGAAGAACATTGGTCTATAGTTTTCTTGTGGCTTTAGTATTAGAGTAATATTGGTCCCATAAAATGTGTTTGGTAGTGTTCCTTCCTTCTCTATTATCTGATAAGAGTTTGTATGAGGCTGGTGTTATTTCTTTCCTGAACAGTTTATAGATTTTTTACTGAAGCCAACAAGGTGTAGATAGTTTTGTGGCAAGATTTGAAATGACTAATTCAATTTCTTTACTTGATATAGATTTAATTGGATTTTCTATTTCTTACTGAAAAAGTTTTGGTTATTTGTACCTTTCTAGGAATTTTTCCTTTTGGTTTAAGTTGTTTTACTTGTTGACATAAAATTGCTGATAATATTCTCATAATTCTTTTGATTTCTCTAGTGTCTTCAGGACTGTTTCCTCTTTCATTCTTGACTTTGGTAGTTTGCAGTTTCGTTGATATTCCCCTGTTTTTTGTTTCCCTATTTCATTGGTTTCTGTTCTGGTCATTATTTCCTTTCAGCTTCATTAGATAAGCTCTTCTTCTAGGGTCTTGGGGTGAAAACTTAATGATTTCAGATCTTTCTTCCTTTCTAATGTGAGCATTTGCAGGTATAATTTCCCCTGCATTCCATAACTTTTGATATGTTGTTATACTTTCATTTTCATTCATTCAAGATATTTTCTAATTTTCCTTGTGACTTCTCCTTTGACCCATGAACTCTTTAGAATTTTAAATAGTTTCTTTGGTTTCCAAATATTTGGGCATTTTCCAAATTTCTTTCTGTTACTTATTTTGAATTTAATTCCATTGTGGCTGGAAAACATACTTCGTATAATTTTAATTCTATGAAAGGTACTGAGGATAGCACAGCATCTATCATGGAGAAAATTCCATGTGCACTTAAAAATAATCTGTATTCTTTTGTTATGTAGAGTGTTTCAGATCCATAGTAATCTACCGTCGAGTTGTTCTACCAGTTACTTAGAGAGGAGTGCTGCAATGTCCCCTACAATTTTTGTATCGTGGTAAAACTATGCATAACATAAAATTACAATTTTAACCATGTTTAAGTATACAGTTTAATGGCACTAAGTACATTCACCTTGTTGTGCAGCTATCACCACCATCCATCTCCAGAATACTTTCCTCCTTCCAAAATGAAACTCCATACCCATTCGACAGTAACTCCCCACTCCCCTGCACTGAAGTTCTTACGTTGTCTATTTTTCCTTTCGATTCTGTATTTGCTTCATGCACTTTTAAGGCTTTATTGTTAGGTACATAGACATTCATAATTGATGTGACATCCTAGTATACTGACCCTTTTCTAATTATGAAATATCTCTCTTTGTTTCTAGTAATATCTCTTGCATTAAAGTATATTTTGCCTGACATTAATAGAGTGACTGCAGCTCTTTCATGGTTAGTGTTCCCATGGAAAATCATCGCTAGTCCTCTTACTTTCAATCTACTTGGGTTTTTGAATCTAAAAATCTGTCTCCTGCAGGCTGTGTATTGTAGTATCTGATTGTTCTATCCTGTATTATACACTCTGCCTTTTAATAGAAGTTTCATCAATTCATGTTTTTTAACATCTTTACTGAGAGAGAAATATATAATAAGATTTACCCATTTATAGAGAATAATCCAGTACTTTTTAAGTGTATTCAGAGTTGTACAAGCATCACCACCATTTGATTTGAGCACATTTTCAGAAGTCCCATCCCCCAACCTCAGCACCTGTTACCAGGCACTCCCCACCCACCACTCTGCCCTCGGCCCCTGGGCATTCACTCATCTACTGTCTGCACAGGTCTGCCTGTTTTGGACATTTCATATAAATGCAGTCTTATGACATATGGCCTTACACTGTCTTCTGGCCTTCATTCCTTCCGGAGAAGTCAGCAGCTGTGGTCCCTGTGTAGTACCGAACTGTTCTTGTTACTCTGAAGATTTTGCCTTCGTCTTTGAGCTCTTTGATTATAATGCATCTTCTACGGATCATCTTTGTGTTGGTGTTAATTGGGGTTCCTTTATTTTTCTAAATGTACGTACCCCTGTCTATTTCTTCTTCTTCTGGACTCCTTTTACACGTACACCTGACATTGTCCTGCAGGTCTCTAAGGCTTTATTTATTTTTCATCAAAATTGATTCTCTCTGATGTTCAGAATGGATACTTTATATTAATCTACTTTGAATTTCACTGATTTTTTTTTCTTCTGCCATCTCCCATCTTGCCAGTAAGCCCTTCTAGTGCATTTTTCATTTAGTTATTGCCCTTTTGAACAGTAGAATTCACATGTTTCATTTTCTGATTTCTCTGTTCACATTTCCATTCCTGAGTCCCTATCACCATCTACCATTAACTCCTCAAACACACTGATGATAGCGAAGTCTCTGTCCCCCACCTTTAATACGGGGACACCTCTGCGGCGGGTGGTTCGTGTTTACTGTTCTTCCCCCGAGTATGTGTCACTCTTGTTTCTTTGCAGGTCTCATAATTTTTTTTCACTGAAAATTTGACATTTTAGATAACATAGTATAGCACTGCTGGATTTTGACTCCTTTTTCTGAGTTTTCTTAAAAAACAACAACAACAATAACAACTAAGTTACTTGGACATAAACTGTGGAATCTGTCTCTTCCTGTAGTGTCAGGCAACAATGTCTCTGCTCAGTTTCTTTATTATTGTTTTTTAAGCCCAACTTTCCAGTGTTTGTCCCCATGTCAACACGGGTTAGTCAGTGGTCACGGATGAGGTGGGCAGAGACTGTGCTCGAACACACATCTTGGGCCTTGAGGGCTTCCGCCTTCCTCCAACCAGTCTGTGTCTGTAGGCGGGGGAGAACATTCACAGTGCAGCCGATACTTTAGTCTCCCTTGTTTTTTACTTTCCGATGGGACTTGCATGGTCTACCCTGTGTGGGTCCATGTTTCAATCAGGCGGATGTGTGAGGAACTTACCTAGTTCTTCTGAGAATCTCTGGTTTCTAGGTTCTCATGACACATTTCTTACTGGTTCACTGCTCACTGCAATGGCAGGTTAGCAAGGCTGCAGGATTTTTCCATTCATTTCCTAATGAATCCACCACTTTGAGCTGACAGATCAATGATCTTTTTCCCTTTTCTCCAAATCAAGTGTGTCCCTCACAGCAGGAAGGCTGACTTGCCCAGTCAGTCCCGCACTGGTCAAACTATTATTCTTGTCAAAAGCTTAGCCGTAAAGGGAGACGGTGCAGTCTTCAGCTAGATGGTCACAGACTCCCACTGTGCTGAACCATAATTCTAGCAAGAACTATTTTTAAGCATAAATGCTACTCAATTTGTTGTCTGCCCTTGGTCAATTTCCAGAGCTCTGAAATGGTTGCTTTGGACAATTTTGCCCCCTCTAATCCTTGATTCTTGTGAGAATTCACTGACTTCTTTACGCCACTATAGCTGAAGCCCTTCTTGTTCTGTATCTTTCTGACAATATTTCAGTAGGGTTATTTTAAAGTTGGTCTTTGATAACTCTGAAATTATCTGGATCCCTGGAGGAGTGTGTATGTGTCTACGTTTACTGACATTTTGTTTTCAATGGTATGTTATTTCCTAATGAGCCTGATTAGTTTTGATGGAATGCAGACATTGTACCTGTAGCATTAAGAAATAATGATGTCACGTTCTCGTTAGGGATTATTTGAAGTTGGGTATTATTTTCTGCTAGGACTAGTCTATTTAAGTTTCACCCTTCCTCCTAGGAGATCCCATTCTCTTCATGATTCTAACCCAAGACGTCAAGAAGTTACAGATTGGCAGGCCCCAGGCTTCCGTTTGTCTTAGCTGCTTAGTCCTCCAGCTTCTGAAATGAATTGATTCCATGTTAGGAAAAGCAACCCCAAGTACCAGGCTGGGCGCCTGGGTGTCCTTTTTCTCCTAGATCATGGCCTTCAAGTTATTCAACCTGGTTGTAATATTTCAATGCTTTCCAATGAATAAAAAAAATTTTTTCCAGGTTTTTCTAGTTGTTCCCATGGAAGCTGATCTGAACTACTTAGTTCACTATTCCTGGAATTCCTCAACCTAGCCTTTCAGTATGAACTCATATCTTCATTCTTCTTTTGTTTCATTAAAATTATTTAATATTTTGCATTGAAGATACCAATATTTCTATTTCTAGGCCTGATTGTACCATATTATAGTTTCAGTAGCTCCCTCTGACCTTGTTTCCCTATGTGTTTTGTGATATTTTTTAAATACTGTGAACTCACATCTCTTGGAACTTCATTTGTAGGATTATTTTTTGTGGCCTGAGTTGAAATTCCTGGGGGAATTTTGCTGCTTTGTATGATGGCTGTGTAAAGTTCCTAGACCACCAAGGAACCACCAAGGTGGTGGTTCCTAGACCACCAAGGACCACCAAGTGGTGCATTTTCATTTACTGACTCCACAGAAGGGCTAGCTTATAATTTTAATCCCGGAAAGTTACTTTTTTTATCTTTACTAAGAGCCAATGTTAGAAACAGCCTGATCAAATTCTCAGGGAGGGAGGGTGGCACTTGCATTCATTTCTAATTCAACCTTGGCCCAAGAGAACACCAATTTTAAAGATTTGTGTTGAAATTTGTCTCCTCTTCTTGTGGCCTCAAGAATGTGATAGCGGCTATACCTGGTGTGGCTCAGTGGGCTGGGCATCGCCCTGCAAACTGAAAGGTTGATGGCTAGATTCCCAGTCGGGGCACATGCCTGGGTTGCAGGTCAGGACACTGGTTGGAGACGTGCGAGAGGCAACTGATCGAAGTTTCTCTCCCTTTTTCTCTCTCCCTTCCTCTCTCTCTAAAAATAAACAAATAAAGTCTTTAAAAAAGAATGTGATAGCAGAACCCAGTTTCACCTGATGGCAAATTCCACCACAGCCAAAGCAGTCTCAGCACTGCTCACTTCTGTGTCTCCCCCTGCTACTTAGTTGTGGGCATCTTAGTATTCCTCACTTTCTTGCCGGAGTGCCAATGTATTTAAAAAGAATTTTAAGCCTTTATTTGACATTTTTAGATTTCAGAGAGAGAATCTGTGTTCCTAGATTACTATCATGCTGGTTATGGCATCTCCACTTAGTTTCTTCACCATCTGTGCACCAGTTGAGGGTATGGTTAAGAGTACAGACCAGGAAAGCCTGACTGACTAGGTTCAAATCCCAGTTCCCCTAAGCACTGGATCCTCAGCTAAATTGGTTCGCTTTACTTTTCTTTTTTTTTAAATTTTATTTATTTATTTTTAGAGAGGGAAGGGAGGGAGAAAGAGAGAGAGAGAGAAACATCAATGTGCACGGTTGCTGGGAGCCGTGGCCTGCAACCCAGGCATGTGCCCTGACTGGGAATCGAACCTGCGACACTTTGGTTCACAGCCTGTGCTCAATCCACTGAGCTATGCCAGCCAGGGCAGCTTGCCTCTCTTTGTCATAGATTCCACATAGAGGATTATTGGGAAGGTGAAATATGCAAAGTTCACAAAACAGCACCAGTCTGTGCACTCCATAAGAGCTAGCTGTGATGATGACAATGCTGGTTACCATGACACACTGACCTGGTCTTGCACATCCTCGTCGCACAACTCTAGCTGCATAATACGCTCAAAGGGTCGGAAGAGTGCTTCATTAAAGTGGAAGTGAGGTGGCTCATTCCAGTCAGTGAGAACCTCTGTCAGTATATCGTGGATGAAGGAAACAGCCTTCTGAGACACATGTCTTTCCTTATGGCAGGCAGCCTGCAAGATTCATGAGAGAACAGAACACCATTGGAACTTCAGGCAAGTCAGAGTCTGGTTTCTGAAGGTTTTCCTAACCCACCTCATTGCAGGGAGGTGGATGCGGCAATGCTGTTAAAGAATTCTTCAATGCATGCATACAGACTAACAACACACTAAATTGCATATTTAATAATCTAACAAACTGATTAGACACAACTCCAATTAAATGTTTCTAGAAAAATCACAGTGTCTAGTAATTTCTTCTTCTTCTTAAGAATATAACATGACAGTTTTCTTGGATGGCATAGAGCATGCTGACTATACAGACATCAGAACTGCCACGGTCTTGTCTTTCTTAGCTGTGCCCCAGACACACACAGGTCAGAGGAGTCATCGGTCCCTCAGGGAGGTGGGCCAGCTGCACCAATGAAGCTCTGACGAGTTGAGGGCCCCTGCATCCAGCCCCATCAGTAGTCCCCTCCCGCCCTGACCCTGGGCTTGGATGTGTGGCTTGCTTTGATAATAGCAAATGTTATAGAAGTAGGGAATTGTAAAGTTGTTGTGATTTGGGGTTGGTTCTCTTGCTTTCCTTTGGAATTCTAAAAATGCCACGAGAATGAGCTGGGGCTAATCTGCTGGAGGCTGAGAGAGCCTGTGTGTCCAGCCTCCCCAGTCAAGGCCATCATGACCCAGCTGACCCCAGGTGACACGTAAGGCCAGCTGAGGTCAGCCAAGGCTGGCTGAGACTGGAAGTTGTGCCAGCCGAGCCTAGCTCAAGTTTCTGACCCAGGTGTCCATGAGGTAAATAAACGGTGGTTGTTTTAAATCCTAGGTCTTTGAGATGGTGAGTTATAATGTAATAGATAACTGATATACTGTTTCTCCATAACTAAGTTATTATTCTCTATTCCTTTTCCTTACTAGAATGTTCTCAAGTTAGTGAATTAAGTTCCCAAGACATACTTTATGACATATCTCTACCAGAGAAGCACTAGAGAGCTATTAAGAATAGTTATCCCTGCAATACAAAGCAACAATTTTCCCACCAACTTAGAAGTGGCCACTCAGCATCACTGAGCTGCGGAGGCGGAGAGTTGCTCTATGATTTACCATATGAACTGCTTTTCCCAGCATTCACTCTGTTGGGAAAACCAGGATGCACGGTTCTCCTACCCAGAGGGTACCGCCAAGACTGCAGTTAGCCATTAGAAAAGGGAGACTGGCGGGAGCAAAAGGCACTGTTGGAGTCACGGACAGAAGCAGAGCTTCAGGCTCAGGTTGACACCAGGTCATAAAAAATGAAAACTGCCCACCTTGTAAAGGAAGAGGGTCAGAATGAGACCAGGGCAGTGCTGCCCTTTGGGGTGATTCTTCAGATGCCATGAGGTATAATCAGAGAGCTATGATGCCTGTGACTGGGTGATGGTAACCTTCTCATTGCACTGTGGCCACACAGTGCTGTGTCCACACATGGACTGGGGAGCCCTGGGCTGGCTGTGCCGGTGGAGTTCCCTGAGCTTGCCCCTCCCCCAGCATTCACCTCCACCAGGTGCGGGGCCACGAGGCTCCAGCAGCGCATGACGTGGAGCAGCGGCCTCGATCTGCTGCGCACGATCCTCAGCATGGCGTCCCCGAGGCGGAACAGGTGCAGGGCACTTTTGCGGTCTTGGGTGGACTTTACTTCTCCTACGGGGAGAGACCATGAAAGCCATCAAGCCCAAACTCAGAGATGGTTTGACCCGTTCAAGCACAGAGAGAGGATGGAAATCGAAGAACTGCACTCAGACCAGAAGGATTATTGGGTGAGTGCTAACCAAGGCAGGCGAGGAGCCTGGATTCGAGAGACTTAGGTGGTTCACTCAACACGGCCCGTCCTGCCTCTCCTCGTCACCACGACATTCCCAGTGGCTGCCGTGACAAGTGTGAGTCACGCTTGTTGACAAGGGAAGATGGCGCAGTCGCTACACAGGTGGGCTGGGGAGTCAGGCTGCCTGGGCACAAATCCTGTCTTCACCATTACAGCAGGGTTACAGCAGGCCAGAGATTTATGTCTGATCCACAGTTTCTCATTGTAAAAGTGGAGATGACAAGATCCATTTCTTAAAGTTACTTTAGGGATTAAATGTAGTAATACTCATAAAGTGCTTAACACAGGCACATACTACCTGGCCCACGCTCTGAGCAGTCATCATGACTATTGTCACCGTCATCTTGCACGGTCACCATCCACTCTGCCAATCCTTAGTGGCCCCTGTGAAGCCCTTCCAAGCAAGCTGGGCCCCTCCGCTACCTGATAACATGCTATCTAGACAGATCTGCTTTGCTCAGTACAGTCCTTGCCCACTCTGATCTTGCATTCTTTCTCTTTAATAAGCAGAAGTACATATTCTCTCATGGAGCCTACAATATACACATCAGCAGAGGTGTGAATCCACATTCCTTTCACATACTACGTTAGCTTACAAAAGATAGAGATTTCATGGAGGGTGTCTATTCAAGAGATACTATTCCTTTCCTGAACTGACAACTAATTACATAGAAATTCAAATATATTTTAACTTGATAAAAGCCATTAGTATGTATTTTTTTTATTGCTGTTCCAGTGCAGTTGTCTCCACTTTCACCCACCTCGGCCCCCTGTCCCACCCAACCCCGCCTCCCACCCTCGAACCTACCCTCTTTGGCTTTGGCTTTGCCAGGTTCCCCTTAGTCTTCCCCACTCCCTGCCGACCCATGGCCTGTTGCTTCCCCTTCACCGCCTGCCTACAAAATACTGATCATTAGCAGGCTCTTCCAACCACAATGCTTCTAATTAGCCTTACCATAGCAAGTAAACTTCAAAATGACAGTAGTAATAACCAGCGACATTTACTGAATGTTCACTGTGCATCAGACATTGTGTTGGTTCTTTGCCTCTTTAATCGTTTTAATTTTTAAAGCAAACCTTAAGAAATAAGTGTAATTACTGCCATTTTACAGATTAGTAAATCAAATACCAGAGAGGTAAACTGACTTGTGCATCTGATAAATGGTGAAGGCAGCATTTTGACTCATGTCTGATTGACTTCTCAGCGCTTCCTCTCCTGGGTCTGCTGCCTCCTCCTGACCCTGCTCATCGCTTTGTGTGAGCTCAGAGCCTGGTGAATTCTCCAATGCAAAAGACGCGGGAGGTGGCCCTGGGCTCAGAGGTGCTCCAGAAGTCTGATGGTTCTGGAAGGTCGGCCTTATATAACTAAGGTTTTAAAGTCCATCGAACACTTGCAGGGAAAGGACAGTGGTTCTCAAATTAGAATCTGCACTGAGGATCAAAAGGCCAAAAATATTACACTTAGAACTTCAGATCCTAAAGATGGAAGGGACCCAGAGGTTGTGCAGTCCGACCTGCCACACAGCTCTGAGCCCCTGTCGGAATTCATCGGGATGAGGTACTCACTGTTCTAGCACCACCACCCCCTGTCAATGGACAGTTGCATTTCTGAGCAGCCACCACCCATTAGGGACCACAGGACAATTCAGTACAACTCTATTCCCTCTTTCAGAGGTGGGCCTTCAAGAGGGCCTTCATCTGGCCTTGTGCATGAATACAATCATACTGACCCACAACTAAAGGGTATGCATGAGAGCGTTTTTTCTAGGAGTGGCACGAGATTTCTCTCACCCTTCCATTTCTCTCTCCCACCCTCGTTCTGGAATCAGTAGGTGCTTCTGCAAGTTGTCTGGAGTGAGGCAAGTACTGCGGTCTGTGATATGGAGAAGGGTTCCCACCCTCACGAGAGCTATCTGCACCCTGAGTAGCCACACAACTTCTATGTCACGAGCCCAAACCTTAGTAGAAACACCTAGCCCAGCTCCAGTGGTAACACCTGTAACAGTGGCAGCGGCGACACTTCCACTCCTAAAAAGTCATCCCACCACTCACCCAAACATACACATGATGCCCTAAAACTAGAAGACAAATTAGCCAGGGTGACCGTGTGCACAGGGAATATGGACTCCAGTCTCAGCCAGGATGCTGATATCACAGATCCGGGCTGATTCCTGCCAACCTCACGGCACGGCTTCTTCCGGGAAGGAATTACCTGGCATGGCCAGCGAGTAGTCAACTGTGTCGGTAACAGAATGGAAAAGCTGGGACTGCGACGCTTTCTTCAGCTGGTAAAGAAAACCTCCCAAAGCCATGAGGTTCAACTTATCTGTAGCATCTTCAAAGAGCCTGGATGAGACAAAAAGATTTGTTTCTTGGAAACAATTCAGCAAAGCCTTTAGGGCAGAATGATTATGGTAATTTTGTTGGATGTGATTAATGAAAATGTTGTGTAAACATTGTAAGGAAATATATGGTATCATTATATCTAGTGTGACTGTGTACAAGTATGCTCTGACTCTGAGAGTTTAATCTGAAGGGCACAGGCTACAGTTAAAAATAAAATCCTTGTATCCCAGGGCATAGCTCAGTCATTGGAGGCACTCAAGAAAAAAATTTGCTAAGATGTTGAAAGATGGCAGAGCATTGCTCCCAGGAACTGAATAAATGGGAACAGAATTCTTTGAATTAGCTGCAATCTCATGAGCCACATTAAAGAAAACCCCAGTAAGTTAATTAAGGCTTCTGTTGGGCCACAGTTGATGAGCCTAACACTGGGCGTGGCTCTGAGGACACCAAACCCATCCTGGAAGCTCCCTGGGGCAGGGGTGACCGTCTTCATCCCTCTGACTCAGGCACCTGCAGCCCAGTACACAGTGGAAGCTCCCACATCTACTGGAATAATGAATATTCCTTCACTTAATGGGCCTTACAGGTTCTCGTTTTTCCCACTCAGCCGGCACACACATTCCAGTAGGAGTGAGGGAGGAGGAGCTGAGCACAGGTAGCAGGGCTTAGAGGAGGGGCCAGGTTCGCTGGCATTCAGAACGCTGGGCTCAGGAGTGGGTTTACATGGCACACCAGGAATGAGGCAAGCCGGCCTTCCCCTGGACTTGGGTCATCCGAGGCCTGCCCTCCAATCCTGTGGTGACACCAGAAGCGCAAGCAGCCCCTGGGTGCCACGTGCTGGGTAAGGGAGAGTGTCTCTAACAGAAACTGAATAACAAATCCCTTTTGAAGGAGTAATCTGAGACACAAATCAGGGAATTAATCATTCATAAATTATTGTAACAGACACATTTTTCTTGCTGTACTGTAATTCCAATTTTAACACCATTTGGTATCTGGATCTCATGAACCATTTCTTTTTCTTCTTTCCTAGTAAGAAGAAAACAGCGGTGAGTGTTACATCCCACCTGACACCTGTATCCAGATTCCACAGTACTTTCCCAGCCACCTTGTTGGATAAACGGGGAAAAAGAGATCATTGCATTGAGTTAGTTCATATACTGGGTTAGCAGATGAAGGGGAAACTGAGTCTCAGAGCAACTGCTTATACACATGACCTTGCAGGTGGTTGGGGTCAAGGCCAGGAAAGAAGCGGTGTCCTGAGTTCCAGCCAGTGAGTGCGCTTCCCACTTCTCCACCCCCTGCTGTCCGTCCTCACCCTAGGAACTTCACTGAGCCTGTGCAGGGCAGTCTGGGAGACAACGACAAAGTCTGGAGAGAGAAGTGAGGTGGTCTAACATGCAACTGGCAACCAAAAGCACTTTCAACATCAAGACTGTCACCAAACATTTGGTGTTATTGTTGATTTCCCCCCCTCTCAAACTTAATGTGGTTTGGGGCGTCATTTAACAACATATCACACTCTGGGGTGTGGGATTTTAAAATATTAATTATCACAAAAATAGTGGATGTTTACTATTTGCCAAGCTGTGTCCTCAGAGCTTCAAGTGCACTCATTCACTTAACCTCATGGCTACCCTGTGGGAGAGCCACTTCCTGAGCCGATTTCACGATAAAGAAAAGAGAGGAAGCTGCCTGAAGTCAGGGAGCAAGGCGCCCTGCCCCCAGAGCCTCCAGTCCAGTCGCTAGACAACAGCTCATTCTAAGGGTGGGGCGTGGCAGGAGAGAGAAATTAGGTTTGAACAAAACGAAGAGAGGTTTACATGGCGAACACATCAGGTTGGCCCAGCAGTGCTTTTGAGACCGGAGGAGACAGATGGAGGTGTAGCCAACAGGTGAGGGGTGCCGTATGGTGGGCAGCCCCGCTGGGGCACGGTGAGGGGGTGGGGTGTGCACACACACCTGTCGGCCTGCGTGGACAGCGTGAGCACGGCCTTGGCGGCGCTGCTCCCGGTCATGAGGCTGCCCCCGCGGAAGTCACAGGCCCGGCCTCGGCCGCCTTCCCTGACGAGCTCTTGGATGGAGAGGGGCTGGATGACGGGGGCCATGCTCAGCGAGCTCTCCTGCTCCGGGCTCTGCTCCGGGGGTGAGCCCTCACCCTCCAGGTCCCCGAGCAGTCCAGGGCCGCCGGGTGCCTTCTGGGGCTGGCTGATGGTCAGCGCGGGCTGGGAGGTGCCATCGCTGAAGTGGGTGTGCTCCAGCGTGCCCACGTACTCACACACCCTGGAGAGAGTCACAAGCGAGCAGCTGTTGAAAGTTGCAGCTCAATCAACTGGACCAACTCTGTAAATCCCACAGTGAGAGAGAAAGGAGGTGCAGCTAGTTCTACAGTGCTCCCCAAATTCTCTCCTTCCTCTGGTGGGTGCCACCTCTCCCCGGCTGCCCTCCCTCACTCTACATACTTCTGAGTTGGACCAGACAGCCTGGCAGTGCGGTGAGGATTCCTCAACCTCCCCCACCCCTTACTGGGAGAAAGGTGGGCAACAACGCTCTGTTCACCCCTTCCGTCCTGGCCAGCTGACGGCTTTTCTGGAGTTGGGCTGTGTGAGTGGATTTCCCCAAGGGGTCCTCCTCCTCCATCCCTAGTGCTCTGGTTAGGACTTGGCAAGTATTTCCTTGCTTTGGGGGGCCTAGGAAGTGTGCGCATGGCTGACAGGCCCTATGACCACCCTGGGCCTCTCTCAGGGGTCCTGCCCCACCGTGGCCTCCCTGCTCCTGACAGCTCCACAACTGTCATGGTAAACTCGGAGAAGAGTCACAACCTACGGCACAGCTACCAACTTCCACACTGTTTGTTCCCAACAGAACCCGGGATTGAGATGGTTCATACGAGGCCCCCCACCCCAGAATAAATCCAGTCATGGTCAGGACCATCCTGGAGAATCCACTGTGATATTCTACAGACAATTTTTATTTCATATAAATTGCCTGGCTATAATCGAAGTCTTTCACTTCTTCCCTTTTTGCTTGTGAGAGCAACAAAGAGGGGACCAGCCTTCACCCTGGCTCCTTCTCATCGTGCTCCTCTCAAGATGGGGTTTTCAAGCCCTGAGCGATCTGCATGCTTCTCTCTTTCAAAGGGGACAAACACTCATGACTGTATTTGCCTTTAGGATATTAAACTGAACCCAGATCTGGCCCGTGCCCTGGGCGAGCTGGGGGTGACTGCCCAGCGGGAGGCGTCGGGGGCTCACCGCACCTGCTGAGGAGGATAAGCAGCAGCAGGTGCAGCACTGGACCTGGGCCTGCGAGGGAGCGGGCGGGGCTCCCTGCACTGTCCCGGGTCTGCGCAGTGAGTGCCAGTGCCCGGGAAGGCGCACTCTGTCTCGGCTGCAGGAGGACTATGGAGTCCTCTCCCTGCTGTTGTTTTACAGGGGCTGTGCACTGTGCAACTGGTGCGGGGTGGAGGGGTCTTTTCCCTTCCATGCTACAAATCTTGGAAACAAATTTTCAGTCCGTCTTTAGCACAATGTACTATTCTATTTTTTCCTTTCTCTAGCTAAATTAAAAGTAGGCATCTTGTACTTCATGTGTCCATGTAAGCTATCCAAAATCCTATCCTTTTTTAAATGAAGAGGACATTAATAAACATAACAGCAAAGTTATACGGCTGACACATGACCAGCTTTTAGATCTGCATAGTATTCACTTAACTTACATGACTTTTATCCTCCGCTACTTAAGAAATTGTTTTTTTTCCTTTGTATAATACATCTGCCTCTCACAGCCAATGTTAATAATCTGTTCATAATCCCCCAAATCAAATTCTGCCACTCTGTGCTCTAAGACACACATTCAGTTGGGCCCCTATTCCCTCTTCTCTTTTTAATCCCTCATTTGGGACTGACCCAAACTCTGGGGGTTATTGCCATCTGTTCAAGTGCTGGCAGACGCCGGTGCCCGGCCCTTCCATTGCCCCCAGGCTCCCGAGGCAGGGTGGGTGCCACGTGGGGCGGTGGTCCCATCATGCACCTGAACACGTGTGGCCAGCAGTCCGGGTTGTGGCTTCCCATCTCCAGGCCGACGCTGAGGATGGCGTCCATGCACAGGACGTGGGCTGTGTGCAGTGACACCCCGTGCAGCTTCCCGATCTGCTCCAGCTTCTGCTCCACTTTCAGTTTCACTGTGCCAGAGAGACATTCGTGAAAGTAACATTCCGAGAGAGGGAGACAGGAAGGACGGAAAGGAGAGAACGTGCTCCCATGCAAGGGCAGAGGGACACAGTGGACATCACTGGCAGCAAGGTCCCCAGGGGCAGGTCCCTGTGGTTCATCATGCACACTGCCCGACCCTCGGGCCCCATGGACACTGGAGACGCGAGCTCCGTGGCTTCAGAAGTTGGATGGAACCTGAGCTGGTGGGTGCGCGTCCTGCAGGCCCCCCACCACGCTGAGCCTGGGTCAGGCAGGGCACTGTGGATGGGCTCCACGTGCGGACCTCAGCTACAGCCATCTGTGCCCAGACCCCTCCCCTGCCCAGGTATTCAAACTGATAACATGGAAGAATCTCTGATGTTCTGCAAGTTCTCTCAGAGATTTGGTGTCACCCAATCATGCTGATATCACCTAAAAAAGCATGTGCCTTACACTCCGAATGCCAGGGCAACTGTGTTATAACTGAGAATTGCCCTGCCATCACTTCCCGAGATTACATTTATCCTTATGACCTTCAAATAATACATGTTTATGGTAGAATACTAATGAGAGAAGATGCAGAAGGAGACTTAAGATGTCAATTATGCATGGCAAGGCCAAACGACACTATCCTCCATGGATAACGGTGCCAAGTCTCTGGAATCCGGGCCTGGTGGGGCACCTGGGCCACGGGCCGGAGCCCAGAAATAAAAACGGTACGCTCGCCTCAGAGGGAGCCAAGCGGTGCTGCGGCTGCCTAGGGCAGAGCGACGCACAGCGAAACATTTGTCACATGCGTGCGACACCGACTTTATTTTTTATTTGAATATAACTCAAATACTAGTTTTGGTTTTAGAATTTTAAAAACTTTCAATGTAAGGCTTTTTATGTAGTTTGTGGTCGTACGTCTTAAGTAAAATTGGGATACCCTTTCCTCGGTTAACACTGGGGTCCGGGGTCTGGGGGCACTGCTCTGCCTTCACAGGGGTCTCTACCTATTACTCAGGCCTGAGGACCACTGGCCTAGCCTGGCTTTCCCAGCCTTTGAAAATGTGCCCAGGGTTCCTGCTGCTAGCTGTTTCATATGCCTGATACAAAATGTGAGGGTGAGCTGGACCAGGCCTCCCATTTTTCCTTCTGTTTGCTGCCCGCCATTTATCTTCCTTATTAGGAAGGCCATTGTCCTTCCTTATACTTAGATAATCCTCCACTTCATTGATTAACTGATTTTAACAAGTGAAAATCAACTCTTGCCCGCATTCACAAAGCTCGAGTTTTTCTCCCACAGGAACAAAGTCTTCCTGAGCCTCAGCTCAGGGATTTCCTCCACCTGTTCGATTTCCCTTCAGGAAACTGGCCATTCTGCCTCCCCTGCTGTAACCTGCGATGTCCTCAAAGGTGCACTCTGTCCAATGCCAAAGCCAGTGGCCAGATGATGACAGAGGTGTGCCTAGCAAAGCCAGGTGGACCTCTGGTGTCCCACACCACGCCTGTTAGCAGCCACATGGAGTTTCCCAGTCACCAGCGGTCAGCACGTCTCTGGTGGCCAGCGCGTTCTCTGTAAGCAGTCTGTTGGGTCATCTTTGTAAAACACACCCAAGCCTGTGAGCCAGTGGGATCTCCTCATCAGTGGGAGACATATGCTGTGTATCACACATGGCTGGAGACGAGTGTCTGCTCTTGCACATGCAGGTGTGTGCACACCGCACATAAGACACCAGGTGGATTCTGACCCTTCGGGTGTTACCTTGTGCTATGGTATCGCTGGGTTCTTGGACTTCCTTGTCCTCTTTCTCTTCCTGGACACAGGACGCAGCTGCCATTTGGGCAAGGGCCGAGGCGCAATTAGCTGCAACTCCTTCAGAGGAAACAAACAAGTTACCCCTTAAACTGAGTCTATTCTCCACCCATTCACTTGTCTGAACTCTCCTAAAAGACAGGTTTCCCAATAGGGCCATTCCTGGTACATTCTACAGGGATCTGCCTCAGGCCACAGTCAGAACATCTACTCCCCCCAGATACCTAGAGCACAGCTCAGCCGCGCTGCCTTCCGCAGCCCATCTAGGCTCATGCAGATGGCGTCACGTTCCTTCTGGTTCTGCTCTTTGATGCCTTCAGCTCCCAGAATGAAGGCCAGCCCTTTGGAGCTCCCCGCCATGCGGCCAGTCAGGGGGGTTGATAAAGTGTCAATCAAGTTCTTCCAGCAGCCAACCAGAATGTAGCGAGCAAATGCCACACCTATAACGTGAAGGGGCATGGGTCACTTTCCTGAGACAGAAACAACCTGGCAATGAATGATAGCACGAGATTTCTTTCACCATCGAAATAGCAATACTGAGCTGTGTGCAATTCTACTATAGGCAATATAATTTAATGGATTTCACTTTAAGCTTATAAATAATGAATGTTCCATGATCAACTGGATGATGCTAAGTAACTCCCACCAGGCACTTGTCCTGTAAAGACAAAATCTTAATTCATTGATGTCAGTACTGGAAATTGCCAATAATGATTTAACTGCTAGTGCCACATATAATACACGTATAATATATGTATATTCATAAACTCGTGTCCCTTACCTGCCACTGTGGAGTCATCAATTCTCCTGCCCTGGGTGAAGGGAGACTCTGTGGATGCCGAGGCCATCAGCTGGCCCCCGATTGCACTGCTCTCTAAGCCATCGATATCTGCCAAGGAAAAGGAGCAGTTTTCCTGGATTAGAGCAGTCCAGTCAAAAGCAAACAGCCACCATGATACTCGTTTTTCCCAAAGAATACTCCTTGCATCTGTTAAGTAATAAGTATGTAGTAACCTTTTATTGAGATATTAAAAAATTTTGTCTCATTCATTCAGTGCGGTTTTCTTTCATTGTCAGAGCATTCTTCTGTCAGGCTGCTGTATATTTTTGAGTTGAAAAATATAAACTCTTGTCTTCATTACAAAATTTGCTGGTTTAGACTATTATCTTTGAATACTTTTATTCAAAACAGTGGCATTATTCTCAAATTTTATGTATACGGATACCTCAAGATGGATTTGACTAGAATAAGTCTCTTTGGTCCAATAACTGTAAAACCTAATTCCAAAGTACTATAATAATAACTTAATAATAACAACACTTTACAATTTTCACAGTGTTTTCATGTAATGTTCTTTTCATTAGATCTTCCCAACAAGTCCAGGTGGATAGGCACAGCAGGTATTAGTTTTCCTGTTTTGCAGAGGGGGAAACAAATACTCAGAGGAGGCAAGTCGCCCCAGGCCATGAGGCTGGTAAAGGAGGGAACGAGATTTAGCAGTCCTGCTTTTCGACTCCAACCTCGGCCTCTTCCCATGACACCAAACTCCAGCGCAATACGGGATCCTAATTCACCTTGTTTAAATTTTTGTTAAACTCTCATCCACAGAATCAGCTCAACGAACCAACATGCTGGCAAGGAGAAACTCTCATCCACAGAATCAGCTCAATGAACCTAACATGCTGGCAAGGAGAAACTGGCTTGGGGTTGAGACAACTAGGCTTCAGCCTTGGCTCTGAATGAAGCAGCCTGGTGGCCCTGAGTCAGGTTCTCCACTCTCTGGGCCCCTTTCCCCAGCAGGACGGAGGCAATCGTGGGAGGAGTGGCCATGGAGTGCAGGCATCTGAACCTGGATGCAGCTAACACAGCTGAGCGCAACACAGAGGGGAAGGGGGAGAGGGTAGCGTAAGCTGACGCCTTGACTTCAGAACTTCACCCGCAGCCCAGCAGGATGGTGTTTGAAAATGATTTCACTATATCTTTGATTCTTACACTGACTCTAAGAAGCCTAGAGACTTCTGGCAGGACATCTCTTTGAAAGTTGCTAAGAGGGTAGATCTTAAGAGTTCTCATCACAGGAAAAAAATTGTAACTACGTGTGGTGATTGATGTTAACCTAAATTCACTATGGTGATCGTTTTGCCATATACACACATATCAAATTATTATGGGTACACCTTGGACTAAAACAGTAACATACATCAATTATACTCCAATAAAACCAGAGGGTAAGAGCAGAGGAAAATATATATTACTACCAAAGTGGGAACGGATCAGTTTCATGAAATTAATATGACTTATGGTCAAACAGTATAATGAGAGTTGTCAGAAATTGCCATTTATCAAAGTTATAATGTTGCCAGTGTGCCAGGTAAAGGACTGACAAATCCAAGTGATGCAAAGTTTATCGGATCACTGAGACTCCACAATTCTACAGGACACTCGGACAAGACATCGGGGACAGCCACAGTAAGTACAGTGTTAAAGATGAGATGGCTGCTCTAGCTTTTCCTCGCACACAATGAGAGATGCAAGGGAAGTCTCCAAGCTCCAGGTTAACTGCTGCTTGGATTCACTCGTCACTTCATAATTGGAATTTGCTGCAAAAAAATCATAAGGATTAATTTTGTCTCATTCTTATGAAAAGCCTATCTGTCTGCCATTAATCTAAGTTCGACAACTTCCTGATGAATGCAGCAGTGGAGTTCACTGTTCCGTTAGAGAGGAGATGGCTGATGAGCTGTGACGGCTGATGAGGCGGCGACAAGGGGCAGCTTGTTGTCCGTCCCCTCTTACACCTGCCGAGTGATGCCTCTTTTCAAGGTTCAAGCAAGAGATTAATTTGGGCACAAACTTTGGTATTTCAAAATTAATATTAAACCTGGAATGTTTGGATCTTCGCCCAAATTCCAAGGCATTTCTAAGCCCTGGACAAGTACCTTTGATCCCTGCTGAAGAGAGCTGATGAAGATGGATGGAAACCAAGAACTGCTTACAGGTAGAATGAATAAATATCTCACAGTGAGATTAAATGTCTCTCATACTTTTCAAACAGATGTAAATGTTACCATGATTAATAAAATGTAAATCGGTCACTTGTCTAGTGATTCTGATGCCCATGGCTCAGGACCCAGCCTTGCTTCTCCCAAATTCCATCCTAGCTCTGGAATCAAGGACTCCGCTTGCTGTGGAGAGACCTTGCTCTATGTCCTGATTCCCTGTCTCAATCCTGAACAGCCCCGAACTCCTCATTGTTGGGTTTCCCTGCCAGTCGTCCCCTCGGCCACCTTTGTAAGAGCCCCTGACGGCAACCACAGGCAACATAACATACCCTCCGGACAGCAGATCCGGCCTCCTCGCTGGGCTGTGCTGCCCCAGGCCAGTCCTGCCCCCTCCTGTCAGTGTGCCCTGCCCGGTGCAGAGCCATGCGGAGCTGTGTGAGGACAGGTGGCACTGCAGAGAGGGCAGGGAAGGCATCGATGTAGGGCCATAGTCCACATATTCGGTCAGCTGGAGCCAGTGACAACACTGCTCAGATCAGTTCTGGGTCTGGGAACTCAGACTGAATACAGGACAAGCCTGGAGAGCCCCTTATTAAAGCTACTGACGACCAGACCAAACTTTTGAGCACTCCTTGATCATTACCCGACATCACGGTTAAGCCGTGCAAAGCTGTGTGTGAATGGCTGCTTTCACCAAAAATGTGCTTAATGCCCACACCCCACAATGCTCTCTGCGGTCTCATGTGGCATTTCTGATAATTAGGTAGGATTTTAAAAACTCTGGACACTGAAGACTAATATGCTGGGTAACTACTTGACATTATTATTATTATTTAATCCTCACCCAAGGACATGGTTTTTTAAAAACTGATTTTAGGGAGGGAGGGAGGGAGAGGGAAAGAGAGAAAACTGATGTGATAGTGAATCATCGATCAGTTGCCTCCCATATGAGTCCTGCCTGAGGATCAAACCCACAGCCATTTTTCAGGTGTAAGGGCAACCCTCCAACCAACTGAGCTACCCGGGCAGGGGTACTTGACATTATTTTCAGTTCCAATACAGCTGGGAAGGGAAGGGAAGACCTCTGACAAGAAGTGGGAATGAAGCCAAGTTTAAAATCATATCATTTCACATTATTGGCAAATTTCTAGTGGCACTGAATGGTAGAGCATCATATAGATAACAGTATCTATTAGTACATGAGAGTTCTCAGGAACAGTTCTGGGCTTTGTGCCCAGAAAGTACTTCATGTCCCAGAAAAGGCTAACAGTCATCCACCAACAGCTGTAAGTGCTAAGTAACTGCTAATCTAATGGGGCACAGTGGGCTCCGCAGAGTCCCACACAGAAAAAGGACAGAAAACTCTTGTGAGGTGAGTTCATGACAACTTTCCTGAAATTACAACAGACTTCCAGGGCAGTTTCATGGTGCTGTTTTAACCAAACACCACTGCTGCCCTGAAAGGGGGCTGGGAGAGTGAGCCGTCCACCCCACGGAGTGGCACGGAGCTGTGCAGGGAGCCACTGACCGGTCAGCATGGTGATGAGCGGAAGGCTGTTGTCCTCCGGGCTGCCCCAGTAGCCAGCTTCTCCCAGCATGTTTCTGTCGAGCACCTGATGGTAGAGTTCCTCGATCCAGGTCTGGGAGAAGACCATCACCACCCCGCTGTTGTGCACCTGCTTCATGAACTCTTTCTGCAGAGAAGATCACAAGACGAGGTGACTAAATTTGGTCCCCTGCAGACAAAGAGCTTCCTACACTCTGCCGTTGCCTCTTCTCCCCAACCAATGTCCCCTAAGTCAGTACCAACGAGAAAAACAAAAGCTTATTGACTGAGGGAAGGAGGAAACTGAGATGGAGAAGTCCCCAAACTTCATGAAGTTTCTTTCACATATGACATCTTGCTAAGAAGCCCTGTTGAAGGATTAGGGATGCTGCATTTTGTATTTGTTACTCTTTGACATGTGGGAGGATTAGAAACTGCACAGAAACACTGAAGAAGCCTCCTTCTCACTGCCCAACAGCAGCAGAGATGGAACGTGCTCCCTGAAACAACGTGGGTGTTTCAACAGATACTCCTACTCACGAAGCCACCACTGACCAGGGAGAACTTACACTGTATCAAGCACATACGTGATGACTGATATCCTTCATGTACACCATGGATTAGGCTCACGAACTGATGACTAGGTTACACCACCAAGTGGCTTGCTCTGGCAGGGGAGCTGACTGCAGGACAAGCACCATGCTTCTCACCCCATACCTTACAGGAGGTGCTTTGTTGCTTTGTTGTTGATAATGAATAAGCTTAGCTCTGGGTGATGAGCAGGTCTGGGTACATTTCGGAAGACAATGACAAGTTTTTGTAAAAGACACCTTCATTTTCAGCAAAGGGGACCATTCTCTGTACCTCTGCTGCTACTTAACATGCTGACCATGTGTTTTTGAACATGTCTCATGTGTGAGTTTAATATTGCTGCCGGATGAAATCACTGGGCCGTTGGCAGGCAGCCGTTTCCAGGCACCCCGGGTTGCTGCCATCTCGAAGCAAGGTGTGGCTCTGCGGCTCGGTGTATACAAGTTGAGTCATGTCTCCTCCCACTCTCCACAGCGCCATCCTTCACCGGGCACTGATGCTCGGCTTTCCAGCCCAGAGGCCACAGCCAGCCCTGGGAGGGTGCAGAGCAGAGGGCACACTCACCAGCATGCCGGGCGCCAGGGCGGGCCGCTTCCGGTAGTAGTCCCCGTGGGAGAGCTTCAGGTTCAGGAGCAGAGCGCAGTGCGCAGCTGCGTACAGGCTGTCCGCGTTCATCAGCATCTGCAGGCTGAGGCTGCCGTTCCCGTCAAAGCCCGGGGAGTGCATCATGCCTGAGGGAGAGCACCGAGAGACTTCAGAGGCTGCCAAGGGGGCGCTTGGCAAGATCGGCTTACGGAGAGCCACGAAGCAATCCTAGCGAGAGGAAAATGCATGGCGTAGGACATTTCTGTAAAGCAACGACAGCCAGCAACGCCTATCTCTGGGGACAGCTACACACCCCAGACTGATGGGGCAGAGCATACTCTCAGGAGTCCATCTACCTGGACAACTCTTGATGCCACTCACCAGCTACGTTGGTGTAATCACTGAAATCCTCTAAGTCAGCTTCCTTAGCCAGAAGGGAGCAGAATATTTGACTACATGTATCTCCTGCTCAAACTCTTCCATTGGCTTCCTATCACAATAAAATAAAACCCCAGCTCCCCCCTTCGCTCTCCTTCCACTCCCTGCAGCCACGCTGACCTGTGCTCCTTTACCTCACCAAGCCAGGCCTGCCTCGGGGCCTTGGCGCCGGTTTCTCCCACTTCCTGGGATGGTCTCCCCAGATCTCCAGATGACTGGCTACCTCAGTTCTTTCCCCCTGAATTGTCAGCTACTCAGAGGCCTTTCAGCTCCATCTAAAATAATGACCACACCTACTTTCCCCCCACCTTGATTTTTTTCATCGCCTCAATGGCATTTATTCTACCTAGCATTATATTCATATATATATATATATATATATATATATATTTGGAACTTTTAAAAAAGATTTTATTTATTTATTTTTAGAGAGGGAAAGGAGGGAGAAAGAGAGAGAGAGAGAAACATCAATGTGTGGTTGCTAAGGGCTGTGGCCTGCAACCCAGGCATGTGCCCTGACTGGGAATCGAACCTGTGACACTTTGGTTCGCAGCCTGTGCTCAATCCACTGAGCTACGCCAGCCAGGGCTATATATATATTTTTTCTTTTTTATTGTCTGCCACCACTACTATTGTCTACTGTTATCTAAGATCTCTGAGAGGGTGGGACTTTGTTAGTCTCCTTCACGAGAGAATCCCCAGTGCCTAGAGCAGTGCCTGGGGTATACTGCAGACCCTCAAAACAATATTCACTGAATGAATGAATAAGAATCAGTGAATTAGGTGCAATTATGCATGTAGGATATTTAGTACAGTAACTCTTTCTAAAAGTTCTTCAAATTTGGGGTAACAAACTATAGGAACTACAGCCTTTGGCATATTCTGGCAATTTGTTTTTTTCCCCCAGTGGTTTATGAAGTTCATCTTCTCCCTCTGTTACCAAGATGGTCTTTACAAAACAAGCTGAAAGGATGCAGTAACTTTTAGCACCTCTGCAAGTGTATCTGCGGAACAAATTCCCAAGAGCAGAATGAAGACATATATTAAATTTGATCGATACAAGCAAAATATCTTCCAAACAGTTTTATACGAAACCTTCTTTGTACCAACTATGCAAAAGTAAGAACACTCTTCTACTCACCCAGCATACTGGACACCATCAACTTTTTGAAATTTTGTAATTAGATTATATGATTTTCTGGATAACAAATTTCTTTAAGTCTATGCTACTAATTTTCTGATGATGGAAGTTACAAGAAACTTTTCTTAGTGATTTGGAAAAAGGCACAAAGAAAATGAAAATAATCTATAACCATACTATTCTGAGATAAGTATTAATATTTTGATGTTAATTTTGAATCTTTTAAAAATTATATTATGACCATTATCCATATCATTAAATATTATTTCAAAATATCATTTAAAGGGCAACATAAAATCACAAATAGATATATGATAACTCATTTAACTTTTCCTTTATTTGGGGGCATTTAGGACATTTCTAATATATTTTGCTGTGAAATTAATACATTTTGGTATACAAATCCCTACTTGAGTTTCTGTTTTCTTGGTATAGGTTTCCAGGAGTCCATGAAGAACCAGCTTTCTATGAGTGTCTACCTGTCAGGACCTGGAAAACTGTCACACAATTGCTGAGCTTCAGTTTTTCCTTCTGAGATTGGTTTCTCACCAGGGCAAACTGACTCCAGAGGTTTTTGTGCTCTTCAACAGCATCTTTGATTTTCCCAGCCATTCATCCACCCCTCCGCCAGCCCACGCTCCCTGGTATGGTACAGGGTGATGGTGAGAGCATGGTGTCTGGAGCCAGGCTGTTCATATCCTGGCATCACCACTTCACAGCTGTGTACCTTGGGTAATTAGTACTTAACCTCCCTGTGCCTCAGTTTCTCATCTGTAAAATGAGGATGATAGTACTGCCTACCTATGGAGCTATTATGAGCATTTAAGTGAATCAATACATGTAAAACTCTTAAACAATGCAGGGCATACTGGAAGTGCTATGTTAGTGTAAGCTACTATTATTATTGCAAATACATATATACATGCTGAAAAATGACTCTAAAACATGGCACCAAGATATTTCAGAGACAATCTCTGGGTGTGTATTTTTTTGTTTTTATTTTGTATTTATATTATCATATTCTCCAAACTTCACATTCCATAATGCCAGGGTGTTGGAGGAAAATTTTGTTAAATTTCCCTGCATACAAAATACTCTCTTCCTTTATTAAAGCAAACCTACAAACCCTCATCCCTTGAGGCTCATGACTGAGCACCACTGACCTAAGGAACTGCAGTCTCAAAGTACAGTGCTCATGCCCCTCCATTGATGGCTGTGTGAGGTTAGCTCTTGTTTTTAGTCCTCAAGGAGCCACCATACACAGATGCCAATTCGTTCCATGCAGGATCAGGGAGGCATTTCAGCAGCTACCACAGCTCACATCCACTACCATCTTCATAAAACCCACGTGTGTCTGAATGTTGTCAAACTCCCCCACCACAAGAAACTGTAACTGCTTTAAAAGAAAAGGCTCCCGTGAATTGCATGGAAATAAGGAGGTTCGTTTCAGCTGTGTGTTAGCTGTCTGAGAACAGGGGTCCCTGAGAAACGCCAAGTAAGTCTGATCTCAGCCAGGAGAGCAGACCCTGGTGACAAGTCAGGGAAAAAGGCTTGGTGGGAAGTCTGGGCAAAACAAGGTTTAATGCTTTTTACATAGAGTAAATAATGAGTAAAATATCTAAATTATGACTTAAGGAGACTCTTTGCCTCCTCCCCTCCTCCTGTTTTCACTTTTGTAACTTCCCCTTGAGGGAACAAAGAAAGCCTGCCATCTTCCTCATCTCAGATGGGTACAGATGTTTCTCTTTTACTGATCTTTCGTCTTGGAGAGTCAGCACCGCCTCCGTGCACAGGTGGACTGGGCCAGCACCCAGTGGCTTTGGCTAAACCACGGTGGCAGTGAATGTGATCCATTAAACCACAACAGGAACTGAGGAGAATGAGCCATTAGTGACAGGACCACAGAGTGATGGGTCTGTAATTTGGAAAGAGACCAACTCATAATTGGTAAAAGCATTGTGGAGTTGACTGCAATAAAAACAAATTACTAATATACTTACAATCACTAAAAATTATACTTGGAAACAACCAAAAGATTCTGACATCTCTTTTCAATGTATTGATTTCTACATGTAAAAATTAATGTCACAACATACTGGGTTTGATGGGACATTTTATAGACCTCTAAAATATGAGCAGTTTGCAACATTTATGGGACCACATAAAACATTTTCTCAAGCCCTGTTTTGCATGTACTATACGAATTGATTTAAAAGGCACAAGAACACAAATGTGAAGACTTACTTTAGCTTCAAATTTTATTTAAAAACTTTGCTAGGATTATGCTTCATACTTCTCACAGGAAATGAGGAAGGGCCCTTGGAAGTCAGTTACGCTGGGCACCCTGCTGGTGTCAGAGACTTGCTTGTCATTACAGGGAAAAACCTCCACATGGTTGGTGACCAGAAGTGTCTACAGGGAAGTGTTCAGTGTGACTAGTAAAGGGAAGAGCACAGAGTAGGAAAGAACTGGGTCTTCCCTACATATAAAGGAAAAAGCTGGGTTTTGCATTTACAAGCACCTTGCAAGAAAATTATCTTTAAATTCATCACTCACAGTGTGAGAGTCTATGTCCCTATACTGTTTTTTTTTCCTTCCTCCACCAAAATTCTAGGAGCCTGTCTTCCACCCTTCACTAGAGCTAGCATTACTCTCCTGTGTACTCTGGCCAACATTCCCCAGCTCTCCTGTTCAAGTGTGGTCTGGGTCACAATGTTCACACTTGACAGAGAGAAAGGGTCTGAGGTTGGAGAAGGCGATGTTACCAAAGTACACTGGAGTGTCACCCAGTTTGGAAGGTTGGAGCACACTGGGGAATTCAGAACACATTTGGAAATTCAGAACCTGTTGGGAGGACAACCAGCATCTGATCCAAACCCCCACCTGACCCGAGAGACCTTATTTGGAACATTTTGCACACTGATATACCAAACGTGTGTTCAGCATGATTTTTAGACACTGAGACCTAGAAGCATTTCAAGAATTCAGTGTTCTGAGAATCACAGATTTCCATTTTGTTTCAGTCAGCAGTATCTTTCTAGAATGCAGTTGCCTCGTATTCTTTATTTCATACAGTATACATTTATCACCTTCCAAGTGTATATTCCAGCCATCAACTGCCTACAATTCAAACAAACCACCACCAGTAAGTTTTACATTCCTTCACACTCTTTAAATATAAGAAACCTAAAGATTCATTCAGTTGCTTGGAGGACTTCAAACAAGTATGACAGGCATTGCCCATTCAGGCAAAAGGATCTAAATATTCCTGATGACTACATAGGAAAAACCGTGCACCAACCTGAGCAGAAGGTGGAGGCGAAGTTCTGGAGGGCCGCGTCCACCTCTTCCACGCTGGGCAGGGCCAACAGGCGAGGGAGGAGGCTTTCGAGGGACTGCACAAACAGCCGGGCGCTGTGCTGGTCGGCCTCCTGGTTCTTCAACAGTTTGAGAGACAGAGCTGCGGTCCGCAGGGACCTGTGGCCCAGGCAGTCCCGAGGGGTCTGCTCCTCATCGGCCAGCGAACAGTTGTCCGACCCGATGTCAGACACGTCGGACCTCCCCGAGTCCTTCTCTGCTGCCATTGAGTACTGGTCGCAGGAGTCAAACTCCGTCCTAGAGAGGTCCTGGTCGTCCACGCTGAAGTTGCTCTCGCTGTATCTGGACCCGTAGGACCTCATCCTGCAGTCCACCGACAGGAAGTTAGTTATGTCGGGGTAGGCGACCGTGTGGCTCCTCTGAACGACGTCGGGCTGGTCCACTGCTTCTGGTTCTGTGCCTTTGCTCAGCGTCTCCTTGCTCTCCTGGATGGCTGGGGACTTGAGGCTGTTCTTGGGGTTTTCGCAGTGGTCCTCGGGTGTGGTCTGACCCAGCTCTCCCTCCAGAGTGGTCTGGCCCGTGTCCGTGGTCACACTAATGCTGATGTCAGGGCTCCTCTCGTTCCCCGACTCCCACGGCGTGTGCTCTGAGGACAGGACGCGCCGCTGCCAGCGGAAGTCGGCCTCATTGATCTCCATGGAGTCCCTGCTCGACTCGGCCCCGTCCTTCAGCTCCTCCAGGCGCAGGAGCAGCAGCTGCACCTGACCTTCGCTCAAGCCCTTGCCCTGGCTGAGCTCGTCTAAGGCCCCAAGCAAGGTGCAGACACAGGACACGGCGGCATAACAAGCTTCGATGCCACCCTTGATGCATGCTTCGGTCATACCATCCATGATGCTGAAAGTGTTTACAGGAGAAAATGGCATTGATACACAAGACATGGAAAAGTGCTCCAAAATGAGCAAGCACTGTTAGACTGGTGAACAGTATAGTATGTAAAACGTATGCTCTGATTTACCGGAAATTAAATGGCCTGGGCAAACAGTCATGAAAACAAATGCACGCAGGTGGGCAGAGAACAACCTCCGGGCAAAGCAGCCCACCCTGAATCAGGCTCTCGGGGCTGGCTGCTTTACCAGGGTACAAACAAAATTCCATGTGGGAATTTATAATCTTCACAAGGACAGGCAGCGAGTGACCTCACTGTTGTGCTATGTTTGGTTTTCAAACAGAAAATAGTTAATGGCTATGAGTATGGGAATGTGTACATCTTCTGTAAGACAAACATATTCCTGAATAGATGCATGTGAATACAGCTGTTACAAATCAGATAATATTTAGTTTTCCAGGGGGGAAAGGAAATCCTAGAGCTGAAAGGTATCCTATAACTAAAGGAGGATTCCTATAGCTACTGTAATTAATTTGGAAAGTTTTTCCCTAAAATAACCCCAATAAATAATTTTCATACATTTCATTTTGTACATTGGATTTTTTCAGTCAATGTGAAAAATTGTATGAGTATAATAAATTGGGATACGACTTCTCATATGGTCTGTGGGTACATTATTAAGTAGTCACATTTCATATAGTGTAGATTCATAACATTTCAGGGATTTCAAAACAAGGTCAAGAGTATTCAGAGAAGCAGTGTTTATCAAGCAATATAAACCTAAAAATGAGAATGCATCATACAGTTTGAGAAGATCCAGATGAGACTTTCTTTTTGAAATTGATCTTTTTCTGGTTTCGGGTTCAGTGGAGCTGGGTCCTGCCAAATCGCAGAGACGCTGTGGGCTCCCGAGTAGCTATAGTAAAAAGTGGGGGAGATAACGGAAGAGTGAGTATCACAAGGCACAAGGTTTTAAAACTGTGAGATCCTATGAACCTGTACTTTCTACAGAGTGATATGGTCTAAGGAGAAGCACCAGCAGTCGGAAACCAAATCTTAGGAAAACTGATCTGGGTGTTCTTCTTGACGCAGAGTACACGTGGGGTTCCTAGCTCCCCATTCAGGGCTGGCTTAGCCCAAGAAAATGCCCAAGGATGGTTTCACAATTTTTATAGCACAGGAGGAGAAAGCACTTGCAGCACTGTTCTCCAGTGAGGCTGACCTCTGATATCCTACACTATACTCTCTCAGTCTGATTTTGCTATCATGTTGGCTAGCTTTAAAAAATGGGTTGACAAATATTCCCTCTTCCTACTCTCTGGAAAAGTTCATGTGTCAGAATTACTCATTCTTTGAATGTTGGTATAACTTGTTTCTAAATCTATATGGGATCAGTAACTTTTTTCTAATGGAAAGATTTTAACCACTGATTCAATTTCTTTGAAGTTGGGACCATTTAAATGCTCAATTTCTTCATGAGCCAACTTTTTAAAGGTTGTGTTGTTTCTTAAGGTTTTATCAATTTTATCTAAATTATCAAATTTCCTGGCCTAAGGTTGTCTTAATACCTTCTTTAATGTTTATAACATCCATAGTTATGTATTTTTTTATTTTTATTTTGTTTGTTTTTATTCATTCTAAACTATTTGATTGCTTTTGCCAGGAGATTTTAAATTTTCTTAGTCTTTTCAGAGTCCTGGTATTTTTCACTTTATTGATTTACTACATTATATTTGTTTTTTTATCACATAACTTTCTGCTCTTATCCTTATTTTTCCTCCTTTCTGCTTTCTTTTAATTTAGTCTGTTCTTCTTTATCCAACTACCTAAGTTAGAGAGTTAGAACATTAATTTAAGGCTATTTTTTTAATAAAGGCAACTGAAGCTATAAATATTCTTCTATGTACTGCTTTGGCCACATCCTACAAGTTCTCATGCATACAATTTTCATAATTGTTCAGTATTAATTTTTATTCCTACATGGTAGAAGTCTTTAAGGAAGATTTCTATTTGAGGCTAAATCAAGAAAAGACTGGTTAATTAGGTATATTGGAACAGATGCCTATCCCTATGTCTATTATTTTCAAAGTATATTGTATTTGTTTGGAAAGGTATTTTAAGTTAAAAAAGTCATATCTGAAGGGACACTCTTCCTTTCCTCTTTCCATATTTCTTTTTACCCCAGAAACTGGGAACTTCTATTCTCTTGGAGGCACAGAACTGAAGCTTCCACTTTTTTCTTCACATTCTATTTCTTTGACATTGAACCCAACCCTCCCCCCGCCCCCACAGACTACCAGGCTGGCATCCAAGCGAAGTGGCTGGGCCTGTGGGCCTCTAGCTGCCCCAGCTCTTACTAGAAGGGTAAGTGCATTTCGGAGGGAGCAGAGGGGAAAGTATCACTTTCTTAGAATCCATTACACTCTCTAATCTAGCTTTACCAGTAATAAATTAGATTATATAAATTCCCACATTAATCTTGTACTTATTACTCAGTCGTTTCCAAATCTGGGGGGAAATAGGACTGAATGGTTAGGCTTCTGAAGAACCCTCGACAAATACCTAAAGAGAAGGATGATGAGTTTAATGTCAGCTTCTTTGGTAGGAATGAGGGATATGCAATCAGTGGTCGGGGGTCACGGGTCTGATAAAGATTAGAGAACTCCTTCTAAAGCCGAACCATGGGAGAGAGAAAAGGAAGTCAGGTGTGCTTTTTGATTACTGTTCTTTCTTTTTTTTTTTTGCAAAAGTGAGAACAGAAAAGAAAATACCCTTTGAGAAAAATAACTGTCCTGTATGTCTTTGATTAATAGGCACCCAGTGAACGTGGCAGAAGGACAAATTACAAAGAGAACAGGAAGTAACACACCAAGTGTCCAAAAGGCTAAACAAACATCCTGGGTGCCCAGTGGTTTCCTTTGTGTGCAGAAGCCCAGCCCACTTTGGTTCCTAGGTTACCAATCTTCCCGAATTGCTAGTGCTGGCACTGTAAGTGGAGGCACTGCGTTTCAGAACCACCTGGCCCACGTCAGTCTGCTGTGCTCACCGGGTAGCACTGCCTGGGCACGCTGCTCAGGTGCTGGCGTCTAATTCCAGCCTTGCCCTGCAAAATAACCCTGGGAAGCTAGAACATCTACGGAAAGGGGGAAAACACAACTACTTTCCTTTGAGTAGTAACGAAGTCATTTAAAATGCATCTAGATGCCTACATACCCTGTGGACAAAGTATTTACTTAGCATTCAGGTATCAGGTGGCTCTACTGTGGGCAGCAACAACTCCAGTGCCCGTCAGCTTCGAGGGGGGAAGAAAAGTCGCTGCTGCTTACTAAACACCCTCTTTGTAGATAAGTTGTTCTCAGCTCTGCCACAGTCAACATATATTAAATGCTTACTCTGATTCAAGCATGGCTGTGCCAGGTACCCGGGGAAACATACAAAAGCAACATATGCAAAAATATATTTAGGAGATGAGACGTTTGGTCCACACTGAACTGTGAAACAATCAGTGTGTTGCCACATATAATCAATTGTAAGTGAGGGCATGGGCTTTTAAGCAGAGCAAAATCAGTGGTCTGAGGCAGCGGAGCATGACGGAGGAGGATTTTGACAGCAAAGAGGAAGCTGCATTTAGAACACCAGAGTTCCTGTTTTAACTACCACTCACAAGGACTTGGCACTCGTAACAACCTCTCATGGAGCCTTAGTTCTCCATCTAGAAACTGGGCAGATTACCTTCCTAAGGGACATTGTGAATGAGCTAATGTGAAGTGCCAGCCATGTCCAGCCTGTTGTAACCAACCACCCAGCTTTGGTAAGCGGAAGAGGATAAGAGGACCCGGGGACAGGGAGTCCGAATAGAGGCAGGACAAGTGGGAATTGAGAAGAGCAGGCTTGGTCAGATGGAATAAGAGTGGTCCTGGTAAAAGACAGGAAATGAGAAGAAGACAGAACAGTCTAGAAACTGAGCAGAGTCATTCAGACTTGAGAGGCGATAAGGAGCCATTAGAGAGTGGCAAAATTGTCAAAAGCAGTGATTTCTGAACCCGAGTCCGGAAAGACAAAAGGAAGACAGCAAGCAGGAGACAGATGAGCTGGACCTGGTCACTGCTCTGGGCAGGCGGGAACGAGGGCCAACTACTTCCAGCCTCCATGCTTTGTTTCTCTCCTCCTTAGGGCAGCAATAAGTGCACCAGATATTTGTTTAGCACTTTATACTTACAATGTACTTATACAAACTTTATCACATTTTGAACTTGAACCCTTTGGAATATTACTACTATGTACAGATGAAAAAATTGTTCAGAGTTAAATAATTTAGCTACTATAATGTAGGTGGTGAGTTAGAGAGAATTTGAACCCTGGCTCTTAAACTTGGGCTTATGAAAGGGGTCACTGAGCTGGCCTCAGCAAGGGTGGTCCTAGAATCATTTGCACTGTCTAAGTCAAGTCCAGTAGTAAGTGTGGTGGAGAAAATGACCATAGGTTTAGGCTCAGAAAGACTAGAGTTTGCATCATTTCTCTCCTTCTTTGTAACCTTGGACAAATCCTTTGACTCTTTGAAGATGTAGTTTCTTTGCAGGAAGGAAAATTCTTTTTTCCTGACATCACGTTTCTACTGGGAGGGACATCCCGTGGAATAAAATTCTGGGCCTCTCTTCTCTCTCTCTCGTGCTTCTTGCCAGTAGAGGGGTAGTCTCTGATCTGACTGGTGAATTCAACAGGAGCTGAGCACATGCAGCCAGCTTCCTCCTCTCCCCTTTTCTTGGAGATCTGCCTACATTTAGAAGAAGTCCACTTCTGCTCCCCAGGTTACAAACTTAACAGGCAGGGCCAGGTCCCCACGGGAGGGCCACTGCTGTCTGGATGGTGAGAAAGTAGCCTAATCTCACTCACTTCCCAAACTGCATTGTATTCACCAACCTAGTATTTATCAGTTATTAAACCTGACCCTTTGATCTCCATTGCCTGAAATGATGATGCTCAACGTTGCAAAGTTATCTTGAATATTAAAGTGAATGTATATGAAGTGCCTGGCATAGAGTAGGTAAGAAACAAAAACTGGTTATCATTGTGTGCCCACAGATTTTCTTAACCAGCAGTTAACTCAGGTTCACTTTTTCATTTTTAGAAACATTGGGTCAGAACTTCCCGTTAGTCATTGCTGTCAAATCTCATTACAACGACACCAAGAGGCATTTCAAATTAAGCTTTCTAGAAATGGTGAGTAGCAAAGGTTGCTTCAAATAAGAGAGTAATCAACAAGGGAACTGTGTCACCCTGTCATTTCTGGGGTTAGGTACCAAGAGCAAACGCAATTTGACTTTCACAAACAAGTTTGCAAATACAAAAATGTTGATCACTTTTTTTTGATAGTTGAGAGAAAGCAGATAAATCCCCATTTGAAGCACCTTCAAAATAACCCCAATTCCTCTTCAAAGCCATGAAGAAGCACACTGGGATGATCCGTACAGGCTGAGCAACCTTTGCATTCTCGCGGGGGTCCTGATGTTTGGGAGATGGGAGGCCTAAGAAGGGATAGGGCAAGGGGCTCTCTTTCACTAACCAGAGATTAGTAATGCTCTTTTTTGGATAATGTACAACCTGGGTGTACAATTTTGAAATCCAGTTTTGGCAAAGTGAATAAATGTATGTATCTGCACAAATAGCACTTAACGGAGCAGAATGAAATCTAGCCCAGGGCTCAGTTGATGCATGCAGTTTAAATGATCAAATAGCTTTGCATCAGCAAGCACTTACCACTGCCCCTGATGCTGGCTCCCAACACATGCACATAGGCACGCATGTGCCTATATGTGCGTGCACACACACACACACACACTACTCAACCCTAGAGAGACTGACTACCTGTTATGGGATACATTGTGGGAGCAATTAAGTTCTAGCAGGTGAATGGCAAGCACTTTCTGAGTGCCGCCTGCTTGCAGAACACTGTGCTCAGACGCCTGGGCATGCGCCCTGGCATTCTTCAGTGCATCCCTACCTCCTTCATTACTTTGATGGCTTCCACTCGGTGCTGCGGTGGGGGGTAGAGCAGCACGCGGTGATAGAGGGACTGGAGCACGGGCTTCATGGAGTCCACCGACCCCACCAGCCGGACCAGCTCAGCTGCAATGTAGTAGATGGTCCGAGCCACAGGCCCACTCAGCGCAGGCGCAGTGGAGGAGCAGCCTGAGCCCCGGCCATGGTCAGAAACTCCAGGAGATGTGGAGTCCGAGTCCACGCCGGCACTTGCGCTGCTGTGAGCGGAGGTGATGGTTTTGTCATGAATTGGATTCCCCAGGATCACAATGAGAGCAGGGCAAAGGTTTTTCCTGGGAAGAGATGGGGAGAAAAATAAGTTTCACTACAAGCCAAAGGATCAAATGTGAATATTACTGAGTGCAAATACCAGACGCCACACAAATAACTGTGAGTTGGGTTCTTTACTGCTCCTGTATTTGGCTATGTCCTGCCCCAGTGCTCCATGTCTCTCCATCAGTGCTGGGCATACGAACAAAATACTTCCTCTCATAAGTCAAGCTAGGGTTAACTAAAGAAAATATGATGAGAAGCATCAAGAAATCATCTTGCATAAAGAAATAGACTCAAAATGTGAAATGGCTCAGTTAAGAAGTTTCACTTCACTGTGAGTAACAGAATTATTTTGAGAAGTGAATTTAAAATTCTGACACATGTCATTCACATTCCTCCCTGTGGATAATAAGCCCGGAACCCAGAGCCGCCAGCTGGCTGCCTGCAGGCCCCGTCACTCGTGTGAATCTCTGACTGTGACTAAGTGACTGGTATTCCGGTTGAAATGGAGAATGTACCAAGAATAATGTTCAGAATCTCTTGCCCACCCGCTGCATAACTTTCTGGAGCCTCGATATGCTTTTAGAACAAATAAATGACTTACAAAACAATCTCCTAGTATCTGAGTTGTATGCTCCTACAATGTAAACAAAATGCAAGAGGGCCTTGGAGGCCTATTTTGTTACAGTAATCATCAGTTTCTCTCTGGGGCATGTAGGCAAAGCAACTTCCCTACTTCCCCCCGAAAACATTTACCCATAGGTGAAACCAGTGGAGCGGTCATGGGCGCTGTGGGAAGGGACCCACGGGCACAGCTGGAAGGAAGAGCCCCTCGGGTTGGCGTGGGGGCCGTGAGGGCGGGTGCTCACCAGATCAGGTCGGTGAAGCCTCTGTGCAGGTGCATGGAGGAGGAGGAGCTGCTGAGCACAGACAGAATGCACTCCAGGTACAGAAGCTGCAGCTGCTGGTTGTCACTGCAGAAGAACACCGGCAGGAAAAGGCAAGATTACGGAGGAGGTATGGAAACATTTGGCAAATGTTTGGTGTTACAGAAATGTTCATTTGGTGGGGCGGGGGGGTGGCTGTTAGTGTTATGGGTTGAATTATGTCCCCCCTCAGAATGTGACCGTATTTGGAGACAGGGTCTTTACATAGGTAATCGAGTTAAAGGGAGGTCACTAGAGTGAGTCCAAATCCCATGTGACTGGTGTCCTTATAAAACGAAGGAATTTGGAGACAGAGGAATATAATGTGAAGAGATGTAAGAAGGAGGAGGCCCTCTACAAGCCAAGAAGAGAGGCTTGGAATAGATCCTTCCTTCCCTGCTCAGAAGGAACCAACTCTGCTGATAGCTTGAGCTCAGACTTCCAGCCTCCAGAACTGTGAGACAATAAATCTCTGTTTTCTTAAGCCACACAGCCTGTGGTACTTTGTTACGGCGGCCCTAGCAAACTAGCACAGTCAGGGTGGTTTTTTTTATTACTGAATTTACTTTTTAGAACAGTTTTGGATTTATAGAAACACTGAACATGAAACAAAGTTACCATATCTCACTCACCCCTACACATGGTTTATCCTCTTACTAACACCTTACATTCGTATGGCACACTTGCTGCCAGTAATGAACAAATATTGATATGTTATTAACTTAGTTGCACAGTTTATTCCAGAAATGTTAATTCTTATATGTTCAATTATGTAAATTTTTCAATGGTCAATGCTTTGCTAACTTTCATTTGACTTTTCTTCTTTAGTTTTGAGGGTAGCATGGTTTTTCAATGCACACATTATTTTTCTCAAAATTACTATTATGGTCCTACTTAATAGGTCTATATACAAAAAAACAGAGAACTTAAAGAGATGCACATTCTTATACCCAGATTAAGTTGGCTGCCTCACCCACCAGAATTAAGGAAGAATTTAATGTTCAAGGACACGTTTACTACAAATATATAATCAATACTTTTAAGAGCTTTCATTCAGAAATCCTGAATAGAATGGAAATGTTCAGAAAAAGGAGAAACTTATTTTAAAAAATAATTTTGGTTGTCTCTCCTTTCTCCTGATTTGCAGTAAATAAATGCCAAAAGGAAGCTTAATGCCCTTAACAGTTCAAGTAAGTCCCAGGGGAAGGAGGCAAAAGGGAAAGGCAAGACCAGTGACATTCAGACTAGAAACTTAAGGAGACAGGAAGGGAGCAAGGCTAATACCAGACCGTCCCGAAGCCCAGAAGATTCCATCCATACAGCTGCCAAACTGGGAGAGGCTGTGAGGCTGTCAGACAAAGGGTCATTAGGTGGGGATGGGGACCCCTCGTTTAGGTGCTATCCTAAATTCCTTGATGGTACAGCTTTGTAAAAATGACATTATGCTTTAAAACCAGTTGGCAAGCTAGTTGACAAGCTATAGCCCAAGGGCAAAATCCTGCCATAGCCTGTGAACTGAAAAAGATTTTTACATTTTTAAAGGGTTGTAAAACCAAACCAAACCAGAAAAACTGAACAGGAAACAAAGATGTCGTGTGGGCCTTCACAGGGAACGTTGGCCGACCCGCAGATCTCCCTTGTCAAGAGAGAACTGCGAAATGATTAAAACAATGCCGTTATTTTGAAAAATAGAATTCCACTTCAGTTTGGATGTACTCCACAACACCCTTTGAAGGTGGAAGAAGAGAGGGGTCGAGGCTGGGTCTCCAGAGAAATTCTTATTCTTTGGCAAGAGGAAGATGGTGGCTGGGGAAGAGAAGAAAGACAAGACATGAGTAGCCACTCCTGGGCCAGGTATGGACTTCGCGCACCCATACACCTGCATGGCAAACTTCCCCGCACTTTTGAACGAAACAGTTCCTGATGGAAAAGCTGCACGTTCTTCATTCTTGTGGGACCAGAGAGAAATGCACATAAAGCGCTGCACAGGAAGTGCCCTAAATGAATAACCGAACACAAGGCTGTATGAGAGCTATAGGAGTAGCATCTGACCCTCCTTAGAAAGATCCAAAGAGGATTTCCAAAGGACAAGTACCTCAGAAGAGACCTAAAGTTCATGGAGGTGCTGGGGAGAGGGTGTGCAAAGTGTGGCATGGTGGGGGTGGGGACGGGGTGGTCGTGGGTGGAGCACAGTGCGTGAGGATGTCAGTCGCCAGCGGGATGTGGGGCTGGAGAGCTGGGCAGGGGACAGATCAGAGAGGCTTTTGTAGGCTGTGCTAAGATGCCTGGACTTTATTCTGCAAGTGGGAGGGTGAATGACAAGATTCTTATCTCAGAATAATCATTCTGGATGCTGTACAAATGAACAGATTGAAGATGGCAACGCAGGAAGGCCCTAACAGTGATGGTAAGCCACATTTTGAAAATCAGTTCTGAAAAGATTGCTTCTGCTATAGTCCCAGGCTAATCTTTCCGACCCATTTCTTGACTCAGTATTAAGAAAATAATTATGAAATGCCCCAATTCAAAAGGGTCTCTTTATCTCTTAACTGTCAGACTAGCATCACAAAACTAAAATAATTATAGACAATAAAGATTGTCAATTTCTGGAATCACTAGGAATAAACCTATAGAAAACCTCTGAGCTGTCAGGGTTCCTATGAGTATCTGCAAGTAACAATATGAGTATCTACAAAGTGTGGCGCAGCAACCCCCAGGCATCAGACTGGATGACAGGGAGAATGCATTGCCAAGGTAACTGGCCCGGGAGTCTCCGTGGAGACCGAATGTGCTGGCTTTTCTGTGGGTTGCAGCAGTCTGGCAAAATGGGTGCTTATGACCTTGTATGAGTCATGTCAGTAGAGGAGCTGTTTGAAATGTAAGCACCATCCACACACGCTCCTCACCAAACACACAAAGGCACATACACAATGTGTGCGTGTGTGTTGCATGTTTGTCTGGCCATAGACAGACAAACATGGGATTTGCAAGGCAGAAAGGAGACTAGAAACCAGTCAACTCTTTCAAAGCACACTAGAGAAAAACCTGTCTGTTTAAAGGGAGTGTGAATTATGTTGCCTGGTCTTCTGTTTGAGTGATTCGTGGCTGGCAGGCTGAGTATCTGCTGGTCTCACTTTCTGCTCGTCTCTGAACTTCCTCCCAGGCACACGGTCCATGGAGAACAACTCTCACGAGTGGACCAGGGGACGTGAGGGCAGAGCAGTGGCCTCTCCTGGCAAGGCTTCTGCCAGGCAATCGGGTGGCACGCTCTGGATCTCTGGAGTTCTTAGAGCTTTGTCTCATCTTGAACCGTTTTGACTTGGCTTCCCTTAGAAAGAGTTCAGGTTGAGGTAGAAAGAGGAGAGAGGGAACAAAGTCACCGTGTGAGCAGAAGAGTGGAATGAGAACACATAGGCGAACACTTCACCTTGCCTCACCGATCCCAAGACCAGCAGGGTACAGACCCTCTTTGATGTTCTGTGCTGGGAGGAGTGGGTGGTGGGGGACGAACAGAGAGAGAATGAATAAATCTCTTCCTAAGCCCAATTATCCTTCCAAAAATTCTTGGATTTAAACCTTGTGCTACTCAACTTGCCTAATATAGAATTCTATTAGTACCGTATCTGTAAGGCATGGGAGTTATTCTGAGTACCTGAATGCAGTTTTCAGGATCCTCCTGACAGACTGAACATATTGTGAATACATTCCCCTGCAGAGCTAAAGCCCTGTGAGGAATCTGAGCTTCGATTTTAGAAGTGGTTGTTGAGGCAAAGTACTGACTGTAGCATGATTTCAGAGGAAGAAGATATTTAGGTGGTAAGAGACGTGTGAAGTTTAGCTGGTGGGAATACAAGGAGTTGAGGAAGTAGAAATCAGAAGAAATTGTACGAGGAGTGAAAACTTAATGAGGAGAGCTAACCAGCTGAGTGGCAGCAGCCAGGAACACGGTGCTACCTGGCCAGGCGGACTTAAAGGTCTCCCGTTTAAACTGTTCTAAGCGTGCTGCACCCGCAGCTTTTCTGGCAATAGGACCCCCATCTCAGGGTAATGGGATCGTGATGGAAAATACCAGACTCAAACAAGGCGAACAGTAGCCAGATGCAGAATTACTGGAGAAGTGCATTGGAAAACCAAGAAAGATGACGAGAACCCTGTAAAAACTATTACACTCTATATAACAATATGCATAAAGTCTCTGTGATCCAATGTCTCATCAGAGACCCTTGAAAAACACATACATGTCACATGAGTTATTTTCCCCATGTAAAGCCAATTCTCAAGTCACATGGTTCAGAAATGTTTTCTTTCTTTTTTCAGTAACCGATAGAAATCTATGACTTTTAATTTCTAATCGGTGTAAGTGTGTATTGCAATGTCTGTACAATGTGTTTTCCTAATGATCTACAGTCAAATTTATGGTGTGAGAAGCTCAGTGTTCCTAACTGCATCATGAACTAGAATTAGCACTGGCTATGCTGAAAGTAAACAAACCATTTTAGGGCAAATACTTACCAAGTCGTTATTACATGGTAGGCACTGTGCAGTGAAAAAAATCCCACTTACACCAACCAATACCTTTCAGAAAATATCAATGATAAATGTTTATAATAATTACAATAGGCATAGCCTTGGACTGTCCCAGGTAAACCAGGTCATGTGGTCACTGCACAGATGGGGGTCTCTGTAGCTGTTTTCAGCACCACCCAGGTTTTAAAGAATCATGAACTTAAAGCCCTTACTGGATCTGGCTGAAGACTTGTTCCTAAGCAATCAACAAAGATACATTTTAAATCTATCATTTGTAGACCTGTAGACTCATTCTGACTTAGTCTGATGGCTGGTTTTGAATTAATAATGGCATAGTCACCATGAGTTCCCCAACTTTTCTAGCACTTAAAAACGTTAAAGTTTTCCTTGAGTTTATTATGGAAAACAGTTTACATAGTTTTCCCTATGTTCACTACTCAGGAAAAATAAAATGTTTAGCTTATTGGTTTTCCCTCACCTGCAAAGTAGTGAACATAAACTTTATATTTTTCAAAGTTTTAGTGGTCTTTGTTCTATTCTCTCATAATGCTAAGACCTGAGAGGTGGGGCAGGGTGGGGAAGAAGCATCCTCAGCCACAGCCAACTGCCTGGGCTTCAGCCCGCTGTGGTGTTGCACTGGTGAGCGTAACCCATTTCGCAGAATGTTGCATCAAATGTTGCTGGCCACAATGGGGGTGGAACAAGATGAAAGCCAGTCACTAATCATGTCAGAACAGAGATTTAAAAAAATTCTTATGACCACAAAAATGTCCAAATGTCATTTTCCCCTGTGAGTGACTCCTGTTTCTTCCCCAGTGACAACTCTATCCCCCTTCTGTTCCTCCATCGGCCAGAGAAAACCTAAGATGCCCAGAGCTAGGACTGCCTCCCCTTTCTGACAGCAACCAATCCCTTCTGGGTGGCCAGACCCTCCCTTCTTTAACGGCCCCTACGTCACCTAACTCAGGTTCAAGTCCTACGACAAGCCCTCCCAGCTCTCTTTTACTGGGTGTCCCATGGCTCTCTGTGCTGCAAGGGTGCCATCACTGCGGGTTAATAAACCCGAGTCTGTCAGCCTCAGGGGTTCTCTGGCTGCTGGGATCATCAGTTATTCAAGTAAATTTTCTCATCCAATGCTTATAAAAACCCTAATATATTTTATATGACTATATTATATTACATAAAACATTATATAATAATTATACCAATGTGAATTACGTTATAGTGGACGTAAGTTTAGGGTAGTTGAGATCTTTGCCCAAGGTCAAGAACTAGTAAAGGGCAGAACAGGGCTCTTACCCAACTAATTCAACAAAGACAATTCAATTGAGCCAAGAGTCATTAACACCACACATGATTATATCTTAGGAGGAAATAAACCAATGAGAATACATTCCAGTTCTGGGGTAACAGCTGGCTCTGCTATGACAGAGAGGAACTGGGCAGGTGTGGGAAGGAGATAGCGTTAGAAGAGATCCAAACCCTGGTGACGGATGGGTAAAGTAAATAGACACCTATCCCAGCCAGGACACTGTTGAGAGTGAAGGAGAGTGATTATAATTGTGCACAACAGGCACAACTGAGACTGTCCGAAGAAAATCAGGTCACATCAGAACCCTATAGATGGGGTCGCTACAATTGGTGTTAGCACCTTCACATTAGGACAATAATCTGAGCCCCACCCTACTGCTCCAGCTCTCCATGGTCAGGAAAGATGGGTCAGAAAAGATGAGCAGGGTATGGGAGGATCCATTTACATCCCAGCCTCTGTTAGATGCATCCCTCCTGAGGTTAAACCTTGCCCAGACCCACGGCCTGCCTAGGATCCAGGGGTGGGAGCAACCTGTGGGCAGGGGAGTGGAAGAAGACAGTGCTATTTCTTTTTTTGTTTATACTACCTATGTATTAAATAGGCCTCTTCATTTTTTTAAGTGCCTGATATTAAGAGAGCTTGATTTGATTAAAATATACAGGTGACCCAGAGCAATGATAGATCAGCTGATGTAGAAACCATTTGGCAACAACTTTTAAGACTAATTTTAAACTAAGCTTAAAAATAATCCTGAGTTTATGAAGAAGACGAAACCAAAACCAAACATTAACAAAAGGAACTTTCTGCAATGTTTCCAGCAAAGTGAGAGACCTCACTCACTCACATTTGCAACCAGAGCACTTTTCCCATTACTGCAAATAAAATTCTGCAAGTAGAAGTTTTCTGAATTATCAACTGTTGTAGCTGACGGCAATCACTAGTTTAATGTCCTTCATACTGAAGGAGCACTTCATAATCTCACTGTGTTGTAGAATTTTGCAGTTAACTATGTATGTAGTTGGAAGTGACTTTTCATCTCATTTTGGAAAGTCTGGCCTTTTTATATTTGGCTTTACTGTAATGCACAGGTTATCTTATTAACATACTGCATGGAGATTTAGACCAGTGATATCATTGATTAAAGTGGCATAAAAAAGAGTAAGTACATAAAAGTCGAAATAACATGTCCTCTTTTAAAATACGTATGGGAGCTCAGAGGCTCAGGAAATGCAAAAGAAAAGAAAGGAAAGGAAGGAAAGAAAGGAAGGAAGGAAGGAAGGAAGGAAGGAAGGAAGGAAGGAAGGAAGGAAGGAAGGAAGGAAGAAAGAAAGAAAGAAAGAAAGAAAGAAAGAAGGAAGGAAAGAAGGAAATGAAGAGAAAGAAAGAAAGAGAAAAAGACCACCCAGTCCAACTCTGCTATTTAACAGAGGAGAAAGGTGCAACGCTCGGATGAGAAGACTCAGAGTCACAGCTGACATGTCCAGATTAGGACTAGCCTTCACACCAACTAGCCCTTAGCCAGCATTCATTCTACTCAGATCCATGCACGAAGGAATGAACTCTTCTTTGCAATGTATTGTTTTCCCATCTTCTCATCAGAAAATTATATCCATCAGGAAGAGTACTGGGTAATGTATGCTTGCCCAAGGTCACTGAATATTTTTCTCAGAAATGAAAACCAATGGGAGGAACCATTGTCCCTCTACTCTGCTATTTTACATGATGTCACAGATGTTACCGATGCTTTGGTAATTGATGGTCAGTGGACAGGAGCACAAACTCGGAAGGCTCTTACTTGATGGCGGCTTGTAGCTTCTCGCACAGAACAGTGAGCACAGACACAAGGTCATCACAGAGGGCCTCAACGGTCGACCCTTCGAACAGAGGAGGTCATAGGCATTAGACAGCAGCAGGGGACTGGGAGCTCCCCCAACAGCCCTTCCCATCCTCCACTGTGGGTGTTTTCAGGACTGAAAAGATGATTATCAGACACTGAGCCTTCCTTAGGGCACCAAAATGCAATGTATTATAAACATAATAATAATTCCTTTCCAAAATAAAATACTCAAAAGTCCAGAAAGAAAATAGATAGTTTCTTCTAAAAATTCATTTGCACATAATTAAAGGATATTTGGTTAAACACAATGCAATTGACAATGATTTTCTCAATATTTAGGCCAGTGGACTATACATGTATCCCTTATTCTGAATTCTTGATTTTCTGGGCATTCTGAGAATTGTATCCCAAAGAGATAAAATAGGGCAGCGTGGGAGAAAGGGAAGTTTTTCAAACCAGGAAGCTAGACAGAGGGCAAAACAATGTGGTCACCCTCTTTACCCGCTTCAGCTATCTGTCCAGCATCCTCAGAGCACACGGTCTTAATGGAGCAACAGCCAATGTCAGAAAGGAAAAACAATAACCAAACATGTTCATGTCCAGAAGCTAGCCGCGAAACTTCCACAAGAGCAGTGGAGTGGTGTACTAGAAAGAGGCTGAAATCTGGATTCTGCCTAAGTACCGGTCCACAGTTTGCGGGACTGCACAAGCTTGGGTAAGGATCAGTTTTCTTTTTGGCAAAATGAGGTAAACGATACCAATGACCCAGACTAATGGGTCAAGTGAGGTAACAAGTGGAGGCATTTGCTCTTCTGTTAATAAAAACCTATAAAGATCTATACAAATGTGGATAACTATTTGATGAATGTATAAACGAATGCACGAATGACCATGAAGTCACGGAAAAGGGAGGGAAAATGGCAAGAGTGTGAGAGAGGAAATAAAAGTAAAGTTGGAAGAGGGCAGATGAACAAGAAATGGCCGATCTTCAGCATTTATGATCTTAAATTGAGGGGAAAAAATGAGATATGGTAAGGTGCAATGATAAAATGTAGTTTAAAATAAATAAAACCCATAAAGAGTCCTGAAACTCAATTTTAGATAAATTTCAAATGAGCCCATCCATTTCCTACTAATACATTTTTTAAAGGCATATCTTTGACCAAGAGGATTTTGACCTCCCTTTTGGTTTATACAATCATTCTGTATCAATGAAGATTTTATGGGCACTGCAACTGACAGAAGAAAAGAGGGGCAGAAGAGGTTGGGACTTCTCATTGGGAGTATTACAAGGTGAAAGGTTCTGTAGCGCTTCTGGTCCACAGCCCAAGAATATAGCAAGATGTGACTAAAACTATACATTAAAGCAATGCTTTAAAAAATGACTTTAGATACTTTGCTTTCTCATATCTTTCATGTACTTTTTTCCTCCTAATTTTGGCTGCCTAGCTCTCTCACCTTTTCATCCCTTCTCTTTTTCATCTTCTCTCCACTCCACCCCTTCTCCCTGTTGTTAACTGGCAAAAATATCTAAAAAAAACCCAGTTTTTTCAATATTTTTTAAATGACTGAAGTCTGAAATAAAACTATATTATTAATTAGATGATTTGAATTTTTCATCTCTTTCAGAAAACAAATACTACCAAACATTTTTAAAAAATCAAACTGCTTATCAATTATATGTGGACTTTTTTTATTTTCCCGTGAATCAGAATGAAAGTTCCTTACCTTGATTTCTGTCTTTCTGCAAGATTCCTTGTGAGGTAACTCATTTTTCATATTCAAAAACTGGTACTTCACAAACATACTTCGAAAGCAATAGCACTTTGTACCAGTCAGTTTCTATAACCTTCCATCCATTCCATTTTAACGATTAATAAACCTGATTTCACTATGAACGAGGAAGGCCTGTGAAGAGTTCACTTCCCTCACACAGTTGGAGCAGGAACGGGTGTGGTTGTGGCGAACAGAAGGAAGAAGGCACCACTGGTTCAATTGTACCAAGTTGGTTCTTAGGTACCAATCATAAAGCAAAGCTAAGCAGAAGCACCAAGGGAGTGGTGAACTACCCTGAGAGCATCCTCCTCCCCACATCCCCAACACCAAGCACACAGGAGGCATTCCAATACCTGCTTTTTACACTGAACTAGCAAAAATCAAGTTCAATACCTGGATTCCTGAATTCCTGTGGGACGTCTGGGTTTTCAATTATCTAGTAAGGGAGACACACACAGGATGATTAGTAGATTCAGGCAAGAAGAATCCCGACTCTTAAACAACGGAAAATTCTCAGAAACAAAACATCATCTTGAGCGCTCAGAGCTCAGCTAGCTCACCTAAGCTCACCCTCCAGGTCCCGATAGCATTTCATTATTCCTGGTATTTATGAAAAGATATGTCTGGAACTGAGCTCATCAGTTGCAAAAATAATTCATTCAAGAGTTCAGAAACTTCCTGGGAATTTAAGCCCTGTGGGACACTTTATCGTTCCAGGGTGCTGAGCTGTGGCTGGGGGCAATAACCTAAATAGCTGAGTTATCTCTGCACAGAGAGGAGTATTTCCCAGGGTCACAGGCCACACTCTGATGGGCACCTAGAGAATACAAACTCTTAGTCACAGTGATCAGGTTTCTGGACTTCAAAATCCAGGTGCAAAGATGATGGCTGGTCAGAAGCACCAGCTTCGTGTTTAATAGGGGGAGAACATTAACTTTCGACTCTCTGACCAGACCAACCCCTCTAGTCTGCTGCTTGGTAGACCCAGAACTATCAAGGGAAAGACAGAACCTTGAAGGTAAGGGGAACAGGAAGGGAAAGGTATTTACCAACAGTTAGATGGACTTCCCATTGCGGGGAGAATTCAGTGACTACAGAGACTCCCACCTCTTAGCACTACCTTGGGAGGTAGTAAGAGGGCATTTTCATGCTAATTTCCTACCAGACACTTGGCACTGTTTTTTTTTTAATTTGTTTATAGGCACATATTTCTACTATTCTCTATTCATTAATCTGCAAGCTCAGCTGCTTCCACACATTCCTTGTGAAATGCTACGTCAGGGTCTACAGCTCAGTACATGCCAAAATACAAGTTAAAAACAACATTCTCTGGAAGAAACACATCTAAATCATTTTTCAGGACAGGAGAACCAACACCACCTACCCACCCCCACACCTGAGTAGCATTTTTTTCTTTTCAAAGTGAGTGAATTTCAATTTAACAATGGCTTTTGTATTTAAATAATTCAATGATAAAGCTTGGTAATAACTTGGGGCTTCTGAGGATGCAAAATCAAGTTGCATAATCTGTACTTGGAAGTAGGGTGGGACGTGAGTAGACAGTAGGTTGAAGGTACAGTTCATGCGCACGCTTTTGGCATTCTAGATTAATTTTCTTTCCATTATACTCAAGTGTCCCTGATGCTGAGATGGCCTGCAATGTCCTTCCAGCGATGGGTCATGCTACACACCTCACATGGTCCCCACTTAAAGGTAAGTGTCCCTATGGGAGAACACATAGTCCCTTTGGAGGGGACCTCACCATTCCTATGGACCATTTCCCTTTAATAGCTTTTTAAAAATAGTCATTCTTAGGTGGCAAAACTTCGTCTTTCTAGTAGACATCACAAGTACTCAAATATTAGCATACTGAGAACTGTGTCTTTCTGGGACATGGAAACATCTCCAGGGACTGCATGAGTAATAGAAAGGAAATAACAGGAAACACTAATTTTCCACGTAGCTTGGGATCTTGCCTCCAGCTGGGTGAGTCCAGATGGTCAGTGATGAGCAGGGCCGGAAGGCTGATTAGCCACACAGTACACAGGTCAGACGCAGGTAGCCCCGGGGTTTGATGCTGCCCTCTGCAACTACACCTGCTATCACTCTCACAAAAGGGCAGCGTGAGCTGAGAGGCTGAGCCATTTGAAACCTGACACTCTCCCACTTAAAAATTTAGACATAAGATTAAATGACTGATGTAATTGAAATCACTTTGAAACTACAAAGTTTTATTTCAATATTTCCTCTCAAAACATTAAGATATCATTACCATTACAGTATTTCATCATGTTGCCATTTAGCAAAGATTAAAGATGACTGTATATTAAACACGAAGATTCTCAACATCTGAGGTTCATTTTCATTAAGAACATTTTTTTCTCTTACATGTCTTCTACTTACAGATCTGAATATCTTTTAAACTAATATCGCCACACCACAATATTCAAATGCTGGCATAAATAATTTTAGCAAAGATTATGCTAATATAATAAAAATACCTAAAAAAATTAAATAATTACTTTTTAAATAGAAAGTTGGACTTTGGATATAGCAAACACAAAAGAAAATATCATTATTAATTTTCATATGATTAGTGTTGTCACTTTTTCAACACTAGCTTCCAGAACTCACATTAGTAACCTAGGCTGGGATTCAGGAGACCGGGGATTTAGTTCTGGCCAGTTCACTGATAAGCTCATTAGTTTCAGGTTTCAGATTCGCCTCTCTGGGCTTTGCCTTCCTTGTCTGTTTTTACAAGGAATAAAAGAATTTGACCAGATAATCTCAAAAGTTCCACTCAACTCCATGTTTTTCTAAAAATTACATAATTATTGAAGTTAAAAATTGGAAATATTCAAAGTTAAATATGGAATCTTAATTTCTGTAAAATTAATTTCTGAGTTATTTCAGACTGCCACTGAGATTTCCTATTCTAAAAAACAATATAGGGTTCACTCCAGAATATTTCTTGCAGATTTTAAAAGAGCTTTAAACTGAATTATTACAGAGGCTGATCTAAAAAAAAAATCAGTTTTGAAGAGGAATCATCTCCTCATTAACATTCCCAGGTGATAATTTATACAAGAAAACAATTACATTTACATTTTCCCAGGAACAATCTGTTCGAAAGCTCCCATAGGCTTTGATGCCAAAAAGGAGACCAGCCCAGCCTCACCCTGACAGCACCGTAAGGGGAAGGAGGCCTTCCCCTTCAGTCACAATCTTTTAGTTAGCAAAAAACCCCACATACACCAAACCTCAAAGCATGTAATTAATTTTGAATTTACTTCTGGTATTTGTTAATATGTCACAATGCTTTTATGTAATTTATTTAATCTGAGAATTTTAAAAAATGATTTCCAAAAAAATGTTTTACAAAGGCTTTTAAAATAACTGAAAAAATCACAGAAACTGTAAGGAAAACACAACTCTCAAAGCTTGGGAGTGAAACACATAAATATATATTTAAAGAGCTTAATTTATATAAATAAATGTTCTTCCAAACCAGCCCTTCCTATTGTTTCCGTAGGGAGCAGCCCTGGCAGGGGGTGGGGGAGGGGGACATGTGGCGTGGAGGGACATGTGGGATGTGGGACACGCAACATGCAGTGACACACAGGGACAATGGCAAGACTGTGATGAAAGTGTGGATATCGCAAGGCTCACCGTATTCTCCTGCCTTTGTCGCAACTGCAAAGTCAAGTCACTCAGCATTTGACTGAGAGTGGCCCGCACAGCAGTGTTTATACTACGCTGGTGACAGCTACATGTGTATGTCTCAATGCACACCTGGTAAAGAAATAAGATAGCAACATACACACTCCATAGACAGCAGTTTATTACCGACATGCTTTGGAATTGACCAGAGAGGATATGAAATCCCTCTTAAGTGGAAAGTCAGCCTGATTTAGAACGAGTTATCCACGAGTCCTACATGTATTTAAAATCCCCAGGCATTTATGTTTTGACCATGTAGGAAATGTATTATTTCCCTAAAGATTATCCCTCTTAGAAGCTTATTCTTCTGAGCACCAGAGGAGAATGCAACTTAGTAGTTTTTTGGTATGCCAAATAATTTATTAGCCCCTGAGTTCTCAGGTATGGGGAGAGGGTTAATGAAGTCCTGTTTTCTGCTCTATCAGCAGATTTGACCTCGGATTAACTCTCTCTCACTGTTCTCCTGTAAACTTGATAAAGGTGGATGTCAGCAGTGCTACTGGGCAGCATGGCTTCCGGGAAAACGTCCCCTGATTACTAAGCTGTATCTGAGCTGGGAAAGCTGTGAATGAACTTTAAAACCTGGTGAGGAGTCACAGGTCTGAGGTTCCCTGAGTGACTCTTGCCTTTGATCACGTCCTCTGAGGGAGCTCTGCAAGCTCTGCTTGTGGAGTCATAGAGATACTGGTTCCTATACACAGAGACCCTTGACTAACACAGGTTTGAATTTCTTGGGTACACTTCCATATGATTTTTTTTAAACTGACGGTATTGATAAATATAGTACAGTACTATCAATGTATTTTCTTTTCTTTATGATTTTTATTAACATTTTATTTGTCTGGCTTACTCTATTGTAAGAATATAGTATATAATACATATAACACAGAAAATATGTGTTCACCAATGTTTACCTTATTGGTAAGGCTTCCAGTCAAGAGTAAGCTATTAGTAGTTAAGGTTTGGGGGAGTCAAAAGTTTATACGTGGATTTCCTATCACATGAGGGGGCAGTGCCCTTAACTTGTGTGCTGTTCGAGGGTCAACTGTAGGTGAAATGTGATTCCTAAGCCAAGGTGACTGCCCTCATCTTCTTGCTCCTAAGCTGACATCTGAGAGCAAGAAACTACCCTCAGGACTGGTGTGAGGCCCCCTGGGAATGACAAACGCCTGCTGTTGACCTGTCTCTGCTTCCTGCCGAGGGAACATAATGCCAGTTGTGGTCTAGTTGGGTCTGAACGTCCGGTGGAACCTGAGGAGGCCCCCTGACGGCCACAGCCTGGAGAAATGCCAACCTGAAGGGGAAAGAGCCCTCAGCTGAAGACGGTGATGCTCAGTGACATGATTTCCCAGATTTTATTGCCTCTAACTTCTCTGAAAGGTGAGGGATGGGCCTGACAACACACACATGCTTTAGCCTGGCCCACTTTTTTCTCCAAAAGGAATGCTGCCTTCCCACATTACCAAGCATATTCAGATATACAAAAAGAAAAGAAGGGGTGCAGGTACCTATGTTATTTTCCTAGGAATAACTCCAAGATTATCTACGTTGAAAATACTGGTCCTCACCCAAATGGCAAATGGAATTTGATGACTGATAACTGAGATGGGAGACGGACTAAATGGTAACCTTTGTTGCTGCTAATGCTTAAGCTCGAGTTTCCACCATGCCTTGCTATAATCACCTTTTTGGTAAAATTAACTAGGTAAAAGTAAATATTTTCTAACAGTTTAATTTATCTCCCATTGAATGCTTACTATTCTAAAAGAGTATTTAAAACTTAAAAGTTTATTGGAAGTTGGTTTGGATGTATTCATTTTAAGTGAAAAAAGTCAGAGCAAGTTCCAAAATATTTATTTTTCAAACTACCATTTAGGGTATGTTAATTGCAAATTCATTTTCTCAAGTGATCATGGATTTTAATGTACTTGAAGGTACCATTTACACATACTTAGAAAAAAAGAGTTTTAATCCGGAAAGGCCTTTACTTTTTTGCATGTGATAAAACAGTTTAAAAGCCTTGAAAGTATGTCTAAATGAGTGCAGCGTCTCACTTTGATGAGACCAAATTCTCTACAGTTTAATTAGGCACTCTAATTATATCAAAATGCAAGTTTTCTTTAAATCTTACATTTTCCCAAGAAATCTTTATAACTGTTGATCTTTCAAGTGTCTGAGCTTAAATTTCAGGAGAAACGTGAAGTCTATAAGCATTAAGGATAAAAGAGTAGCTATCTTGAGAGCTGAACTACATACTTTATATTAATATAAACACAATTCTGCTGAACACTAAGGGCCATAGCTGCTACAAAACCTTCCTTTAAAAATCACATCAGTCACTTTCGACCCATGAAAGACAGCACACATGAGGGACTGGATTTTAAGTAGCACGAACAGTGTGCTGTATATGGACAACTTCCTGAGTACCAAATGGACTTCTTTAGCTTTGAATGTCCCCACCACTCTCAGTGGCTAGAGGTGTAACAGTGGAAATGACTTATTGCAGGAGGCATTTTACTTAGGGAAAGGGTAAACATGTTTACTCTGCTTTAAAAAAAAAAGGATTAATCTGAAAAGCTCATCCTGCCAAAGTTGGGAGTATAAATACTCCATGTAAAAAAAGGTATCTTTTTAAATATAAAAATGAGCATGTGTGTGATAATCTTGCTACCCAGAAGAAATGCTTTCAGCTATCCTGACATCTTCTAAAGAGAAGTTTCTTACACTTACTATAATAATTAAAAAAATGATAAAATGGTAAGGTTCATAGAACTAGGGATTTGATGATAAACCTGACCACTGTATTAAAGGCCAATGATTTTTTTACTTTGTGAATGTTCTTCTTTTGTTACTATGGGGCAGTGCTAAAATGAGCACATTGAATCAGAGAAGCCAAGAGAATACCAAGTCCAAATGCAGGCTGAGTTTCTGGAAAAGGGCTCATCAATTTCTTCTTTCCATATCTCCAAGGTCACTTCTACATCCCATGCCCTTTGCTTTCGTAGTGTAGAATTGACATTAAAAAGCCTCAGTCCTGGACCTCTGCCTGAGGCTCATAGGACCAAGTCCAATACCTTGTGAAAAGCCACAGGCCCCTGATCGTCAGGGAATGCACGAAGACACAGGGCAGTGAGGACTTTCGTAATGGACATTTTGATCATTTCATGCATTTGTGGACATCCAGCTTTACGGCATGCTAAACACAACTGAGAGCAAAAACAAACTGTTAGTGAAGCAAAACAAACCCAACGGCGGAATGAAAAGAACAAAAAAACCCAAGTCTGCAAGCCATTCATAGCAATAAAAGCTTTATGTCATCAAGGAAGTAGACTGATAAATAACAGTACTAGGTTATACCCAGGGTGGAATCACTATTATTACATATGAAGGAGCAAAGTGAAAGGTAGCAGATAGTCAATATTGGTCAAAGTGATAAATTTTAAAACAGCTTCCACAATAGCAATTTGCTTAACTTTGCAAAATGAGTATGAGCTTCACTTTGTTAAACTGTGCATTTCCCTTCTCTTTCCTATCTGAATGGGGTTAGTGGCACATCTGAATGATGCTGAGTAGTAAGTTCCATAAAGAGAAGAGTTAGCAGGTTTCCAGTTGGAACATTTTTATGGAGATAAAAAGAATTTATCTTCATAAAAAGAAAAAGGATTTGAGATTAAGTTACAAGAAAACAGAGCTGTCTTTTATACAGGGAAGACTATGAATGCTTATTGATCACATAAGAACCAAGGAAAATTTTGATTAACATTACAAGTCTAAACAAGATGTTGAATCACAACGAGCACTCAGTGACCGGGCTGATTCCAGGTGAGCAGCAGTAACAGGTGGGTGTGGAACAGCAGGCACTTCAGGAAACGGGTCCTGCTGATGCAAACACACAGGTGCATACACACAGGATGAGCTCAAAGTCTGAGCACCGTGCTCAGGTAAGGACATTTGCTGGTTTTCCTTTTGGATCTCACTTAAAATGAAATTTTTAAAACACTGGGGCATACATGGAAAACTCTGATCGTCACTTCCCTCTTTCTCGTCCAGGTTCTCCTTGTCTTCACTGACATTAAATTGGATTGAGACACCTCAACCCATCAACTCCTGCACCTTCTCAGGCACAGTCTTCTGCTGGGTCTACACAGGTTCTACTGAACTCCAGCGCCTGCCCTCTGAACCAGCCCAAAAGGAAGTAGAGAGGGCCTCTGCACTGCTCTGTGTGTCTTCTAATTCCAAATAAGTTCTTCAAGAGCCATGCAAGTCAGAGATTAAAGGGAAGTATAGACATTTCTTGCAAAACAACTAGGTTGCTCAAAGCCCATCTGCCAGTAAATAGCCAAACAAAAGAAATGGCAGAGGAGTCAAACCAGTCAGTAAAGAGACTGGTGCACAAAGAAGAAAAGAAAGGGTTTCCAGAAGGAAAAGTGGAGAAAGAAATGGGATTTCCTTACTCCAGTGGCCTCGGCTAGTTTGAGACCATGGCCTGGCCTCTTCTGGCCACTTCTCTTGCCAGGAGGTAGGGTGACTCCCCCAAGCCTTGCAGAGAACTTAACAAATAAGATGCTTCCAAGAAAAATGGTTCAAGCCATCCACACACTTTGTTTCTGGATTATATCTAGAGACCATCTGCTCCTAAACTGTAGAGTACTTTGTTTGAGGTATGTCTCAGAAATAATTGAACTAAAAAAAAGAAGGTGCCATTGAACATCTCAAGAGTTGTAAGACATCTCAATTTAAAAAATACTTTAATGACAATTAGAATTATTAATTGAAATCTTTGACAGCAGGTCTTGACCTCATTGTTTTTGAAGCTCTGTGGGGTAACAAGTGGAACGAAATGAAACTGAACTCCAGATCCCTTGATGGTAACATAACACTCGGAAAAGATAAACTCAGCATTGATATAGAAAAATACCCAAGAATGTGGAATATGCCTAATGGTCACTTGAATCTACGGTCACAAAAAAAGGTAAAATTCATCAGTACTTCTGCTTCATGTATAAAAACACCATAGAGCCATTATCAATTAAATGCCTTGGTAAAGGTCCCAGGTGGGTGAGACTCCTAAGAATTTTAGCCAGTCACCAACATTATTACAAGATTCTACTGACATTGTCTAAGATGGCAGTTGCCAGGGAGCAATAGAGCACCGTGGTCAACAGCACACATTTGAGATGTCAAGAGTCTGGATTTGAATGTCTAGCCACAGAACCTTGGATAAGCAAATCAACCTCACTTTCCTTGGGATTCTTTACCTAGTTCGGTTGTGGTAAAGATTAAAAGACGCTGTATGAAAAATGCTGCTACTGAGATGCCCTAAGGACTCAACTCTTAGTAGCTACTATTATTAACCAGTGTTTTGGAACTGAGCAGTGGGTGGATTGATGACATGCAAGAGGAAGGTCCCTGAAAGAGTCTTAAAGAATGAAAAATGGTCTTTGAGACAGACTTTGCTTAACCTGACAGCATGCCATGCAATCAACAAGTAGATCAAACCAGAACATACACATTTACAAAGTAGACTTCCTCACTTTGAGAAAAATCCCATAAAGGAATCTTTAGCAGGCATGAGAAGATGCCCCAAATCCTTCTAATGAAACAACATCATTAACCGCCTTCAAATCAGCTTCATAGAGCTTCTGGGTACAGTACCACCTCTTCCTTAACCCTAAGACCTGGGCAATTGTTATTCCCACAGCTCTTCCTCTATTAAGATAACTAACCTTGGAAAACTCAACATATCTGCCTATTTGGGCATTGTAGAAAGAGAAATCTTGGGCCCAGCTCTCAATCAATAAAGAGAAAAATTATGCATCCATAATGGAGTTTTAGAAATGACAATTCATAAAACTAGACAGAAACACATTGAATATTTCATAATTCTCCATTTCTAAATTTGGTGATATTTCTAATTAGTCCTGTATTACGGAAGACCCTGTACTGAAAAACTTTCATTATCGCAGTTTAATTAAGCAAGTTAAGTTAGACACACACAAATGAAGGCTGCTGCCCTCTTATTTACAATTTAAATGCTTAATGATCCTTGTTCAGTTTCAGCCGTACCTTGGGGAAAATAGCCTCATTTTTCAAACTTAAGTACACATCCCATTTCCTGATCAACAGATTTCAGGCTAAGCACTATTGCTGAGTAACAGGCAATGCAGACCAGAGCACGAGAGAAAAGGTGTGTTTGGATTCTTCCCTAATGTTTCCACAGCAGTTTTAAATGGTTTATTTTATGGTGTGTTTTTTTAAATAAATCATTTCCCTAGCTATATTAAAGGTGACAAGAGGAGAAAAGGTCATTTTTTTTAAGTGAAAGACTTATCTTTATGAAAAGTTTGGATACAACCAAGAAAGCTTCCTGGGCTAAGGGGTAGTTTGAGGCTGAGATGTCCTGCTTCAAACATCGAGATGCAGATTTCCAAAGGCTAACCTAGCAGGTGAAAAGCACCTCAGAGAGTGCAAAAATCACTGGGTGTCCGTAAGTCTACAGAACATGATTATTTTTTGTGGCAGTATAACTCTCTTTTGGTGACGAAAAAGCTTTCCTTAAGTGATTTCTGTGATGAAAACCCACAGGCGGTAAGTTATTTTGCAAATTCAGAAAGATACATAAAATGAAGGTCTGTATAAGAGAGATGTTCACTCCTACCTCCTGTATCTGATATAAACAATGATTTCAGATGATTCTACTATTATCCTTTTTAAACTACCTATACGTCAGTCATTTAATAATCTAATATTTATAACTGATCCATATACTTACATTTATAAGTTGTTGTTATGCTATTCATACAAATAGATCCACTCCATGGTCTTATGCCAGATTACATAAATATGGATTGAGTGGGGGGAGGGAATTTCCCCTCTTTTTTAAAGGCTGCAAACACATACTCAGAGGAACAGTGCAATAGCCCTGTAGCATAATCAGCTGTTAAAGCACTTGAGGAACACGTTTGATACGTATCAAGTACTGACAAATGGGAAGGAGAAAGTGTGAAAGCGATTTGGCAGGAGAAGAAGATGAAAGGCAAGGGGAATTAGAGGAATCAAAAGCTTATACTTATTGGGGGGTCGCCACCAAGAGGATGCTACTGCTAGGTGGGGAGTCCATACTTTCTGGGGAGGTCTGATTAGCCACAGCACAGGCAAGGCAGCCGTCACCCGGGTGTTGTTAGCCACACGTGATCTTTAGATCTCATTTTAATGAGATGCCATATTTGCTTGTGGCAGTGCTTCTAAAACTTTAATTTGCATATGACTCATAGGGGGAATGTGATAAGACAGATTGTTCTTCATCAGTCTGGGTTGGGGCCTGAGGGGCTGCTCATGCATTTGGTGGGTGGACTGCACTTGAGGTCTCAGGGCACAACAGTGGATTTCAACATGGCTTTACAATGAAAGTTGGCGGCACGGAACAGCAGCTACCAGAGCAGTGATTCTCAACTTGACTTTTACTGTATCATAGGGGGTAGGCGGGCTTTTACACAATTTGCATGCCTAGATCCCTCCAAGACCAAAAACTCAGAAATACTGGGGCAGCCCTAGGCTTCTTACCTGTGCTAACACTTCCTAGGTGATTCTAGTGTGCAGGCTTTGATGCGAACCACTGACTTAGAAGTAAGGACTCCGAAGCTTTGCCACTGTAAGTATCCCAGAGGTCAGGAGAGTAAAGAGGAAAGGTCAAAGTTTAATCAAGTAAATACTAAAAATAGTCAACCTTCTATAGGAACCTAGGCAACCTTTGGTTAAGCTTGTCTCCTGTTCTGATCTTCAATCACTGTCAGTTGTAAACTGAGGCATATTACTCTCTTAATAAAGAGATGTATTTTAAAGATGAAAGGCAAGATGAGTTTCATTTCAGCACTGCATCTGCAGGGTATACGTGCCTGAACATGGTCTGTGATGAGGGGAGGGTGGCCCCCAAGGGTGGGCCGTCCAGTCCAAGCGAGCTGATGACAGCACGTGCGGCAGGTGTCCTGACCGGAAGCTTGGTCACCCACTGCTCTGGCATCTGACTCGACCACTTCCTAAAGCCTGACTTCTGGAAAGTTAGTGAACCTCTCTTCGTGTCACCTTGCTTACCTGTAAAGTGTGGGTAACAATATTCCTGCTTCCTAGTGTTGTTATGTGGCTTACAGACTTAACATAGTTAACGTTCTTAGAACAGTGCCTGGCAGAGAGTGAATGCTAAGCACATATTAGGTGTAGCTAAAGGACACGGTCTCTGAGTGTAAATATCGTCTCTTGCCAGAAGAAGTGGTGTTGTATGTTGCTGAGGCTCCTCAGAGTTGCTGACCCTGAGAGGGAATGGCCGCAGAGAGCCCGGAGTGAGAGCTAAGCCTGGTAGAACTGTGTTGAGGTGCAGCCTTGTCTGGTGAATAAAGACTCTTTGTTCTCATCAGCAGGAGGAACACTCTCCAGGGTGTGTCTCTTGGTGGCTTCTTGATTGGTGCTGGGTAGAGTGACCTCCTGGCTGGGGCACCTCCAGTGCTCGTCATGCTCACGGGTCACTCGGCCTCCCCAGTCGACTGGCACGTGAATGTCCTTACCCACGGACTGGCCGGGCAGGAGAGCGGGCTTCTTCCTCTTTGGAAGGTGATGTCCATGCCAGGTCCAGAGGGGCCATTCTGCACATTGCCCTTTATCAAAATCACTTTGAAGTGATGACTCTTGTGCTCATTAAAAAGCAATCTCCCTATCCCCACTATACTGGAGAATCTTCCAGAACGTCCAGTCACCAGAGCAGAGTGGTGGATCTCAAAGAGGCTCAGGAGAGGGGCAGCCTAAGTCACAAGTCCTGCCACAGACAGGGAGGTGGAAGGATCTTCTTGTGAGCCTAAAAGTATCTTCTGGGAGCCTGCACAGTGCAAAGAAAAGGCCACCACTCTCAAACTTATATTTAAGATCTTTACCAAGTTCTTCTTCCTTCAGAGAAACAGAATCCCGGGTCTTTCTCGTGAACAGTAAGTCAAAGCTACCAGTGGAAGTAACAGATTTTCTTGTGATGGTCCGACCCCTGCTTTGTTACCTGCACGCGGACAAACTCTTTTCCAACCAGGAAATCTCAGAGGGCTCAGGCAGGATGAGAAGGGGGAGTGAGCTTGTTATTGTTCTCTCGGGAAGCTGGCCCATCGATGACCCATCGTTTCAGGGGCATTGCCATAACATTACTGCGTGGTAACTTGGATGCCACCATCAGCCTGGAGTTCCATAATAGCACTGACGAAGCATTTACTGTGTGGCCAGACCTTCATGGAAAGCTATTTACATGGTTTCTATTTTTCTTGTCCAATTGGCACAACCACGCTGTGGGATTGGCTCTGCTAGCACTGCTTTTACAGGGAACTGCCAGAAGCCAGGGAGGTATCCAAGGCAACATGCTGGGGGCGGCTGAGCTACACTTACACCTGAACATGGCACTCCAGAGTCCCTGCTACCTCCAAGCTGCAAGCCTTTATCTTTGCATCTCTCTTGGGCTGAGATTTTCTTCAAAAACAAAAAAGTTTTCTTTTTCCTTTCTAGGTTTTGGTAGAGATGACCATGCTTTGCTATTTCACTCTCTCCAGATAGGCCTGCTGAGTCCTTACTCTGGCACCCCAATACCCTCAGGGAACACCCTTGACTTGGGTGGTCCACGGCAGCACGTGTCCAGTGCTGGGGATTACATCCCCAATCTTTCAAATTCTTATTCAAACACTGGTTCCTGCGAGGATGATAAAGGCAACCGACTCCTCCTCTCCAGGGACAGTGAGGGCTTCCTGGTGGCCCTCCCCACGGCTTAGGTTCTGCAACAACCTGTGCCTTCTGCCCCCAGCCCCAGGGGCACCTGCCGGACAGTGGCATGCTGTGCTTCCCTTCTCGTCCTTCACACAGCAAAGGACTAAGGAGCCCGTCTCTTACACGTCATCCTTGTTTCTTGCTGTGATCAAAAACTACACTTGTCATTTTAAAAGCAATGGGGCACCTAAAATAGTCAAATTCTGAGAAACAGAGAGCAGAATGGTGACTGCCAAGGGCTGGATGGGTAAACAGAGAGATGCTACTATGCAATGGGTGTGCAGTTTCAGCTACATAAGACAAGTGAGTTCTAGAGATCTGCTAGGGTTCCAGAGTCAGGCCACAGCATTGTGCCTGCAGGCGGCATTACCGTATGGCACACTTACATTTTGTTAAGAAGGTAGATCTCATTCTAAGTGTTCTGACCACAAGAAAAAAAAGCGAACTTGCAAATAGTAAGTGTACTCATAGGTAGCGCTTAAAATTCAATTTAAAATATAGTGATAGCTACTCTCTTTCTTCACCTATACAGAGTAAAACATATAAGTGTATTAAAGAAAAGTGTCCTTTCCACATATATAAATACACATTTGAGAGTTGCTTTATCTTGTAGTGAGAGGTCAGCTAATTATCTGCTTTTACTTTTGACAAACACATAAAAACATTATACATGCTCAATAATTCTTTCTTAATTTTCACCTTTTAATGGCACACAATTCTGTAAAAGCCCATGAACTGGCCAATATAAACACTACCCATGTGAGGTGATGGGTATGTTAATTAGCTTGATTTTGGTGACTTTCACAGTATATACATATATCAAAACACTGAGTTGCACAGCTTAAATATACACATTTATTTGTCCATTATACTTCAATAATGATGAGGAAAAAGGATTAAAAAAGAAAACCTACCCAAAGTGCTTAGCATCGATCTGGTATCCTCAATAATAGTAATCATTCTCGTAAAAACAAAAAATCATGAGCACTAAGAGGCTTTCTGTTTCACCATAATTTCAGAATGCAGAATGCCACTGCCTTGGGAAGGTCTGAATGTGCACTCTTGTCAAAATATTCACACCCTAAAGACATTCTTTTAAAGAAATGGAAGAAAAGGTACTCTAAGTATATGAAAGTACAGTTTTGGAATGATGAGGTTTCCAGAAACCAGAAGTTTATGCCAGACAGTCAAGAGGCCAAGTTTTCTGTTAGACACACTCTTGGAGTGAAGGAAGGTACTGTTACCTGGGCTGCAGTACAGGTGGAAAGGGAAGGCTCTCCAGTGAGAGCTACGAAATGCATTCGTCGGGGCTTAGGAGACAGGAATGGAATTTAATCAGTAAACATCTCTCTAAATCCATACTTGGTTTTTTAGAAAAAACTTAAAAAAAAAAGAGTCAAATAGTTTTCAGTTAAACTTAGGGAAAACAGGCTAAGAATGTAATCTGAGATGCAATGTGGAAAAGTCTGGAGAACCAGTACTGTTATTTCCAGGGTTAAAGCCCAAAGTTAAGCAACACAAAGCATGCAGAGCACCATGACTCAGGACGATGGACCACACAGCCTGCTTCCCACAGATCCAGTCTGTAGTGGAAATTCCCCACAATCATGATCAGGGAAGGGCTCACCCCACTGCTGGGCTCTGCTCCACCCCAATATCTATGCCAGCTGGGATAAAGCAGCTGTAAGCAAGCAGCACAAACGCGGGTGCACTTAGGGCTGGGGGAGCCATGGACACTCACCTCTGCGATCTTCAGCACAGCACTGCCGTTCAGGTCAAATGTCGGGGTATAGGTTATGCAGAGTAAAACCTTTATAAACAAGGAGGTGAGGGAAGAAGGAAGAGAAAATGGGTTAAGAATTTAGAAAGGAATTTTTTATTCCACATGGCCTCTGTGCAGTCTTGTTTATGACTCCTTTGTTCATTGCTTTATTGAGTATGTTGCTATTCCACCCACTGCTCTCTAATTAGTGGTCACACATTGTCCAATAAAACAGACAGATACTTTAAAAGTAAAGGCTACTACCCTCACCCCAGAGACAGATCACTGCAAGACAGGCCAGAAATAGCATCCCTCAGCAACTCTAGGAGGTCTGCTTAATAATATCGAAAACCAAATGGCCAGTCTCAGTGCTGGGCACAATAGGGAATGACCTAGATTGCTTTTTAAATATGTGCCATCATTATTGTCCTTATTTTACTGATAAGGAAACTGATGCTCAGAACAGTTAAATCAGCCACCCGAGATCACTCAGGGAACAAGTTGTAGAGCTGAGCTTTGAACCAAGGAATCTGACTCCGTGCCTTGAACCCCTTTGCAATACTCTCTCTACTTCTTCCTAGACCCAAGCATTACTGTACGTTTCTGTTCCTGTCCTCTTCCCAAATCCACAGGGGATCAGAAATTCTTTAACGGGCACTGTCCTCTTCCCTCCCAGAATTTCCCTCAGGATGCTGCCCAGGATTCCCTTATTCTCCAAGATCTCTAGACAGCAACTCAGTGACATTTACAAGATCTTTAATGACCATTAAAAATCTCACTTTCTACTTGTAGAGCTATTAGAGAACAGATCAATGAAAGCCTGCATGTGGCATTTTAAGAATTGCTTCTAATTTCAGAGCTAAGACACCAGACTCTCCCCCATCCATTTGACTTCTGACGCTGCAACTTTGCTTGTTGGTAGCCTCACACATCAAAGTGCCGGTTTCTATTCCTTGGTCCCAAACACAACAGCCATGTCCTGCCTGCAACTTGGCTTGTTGGTGTAAGCCTTCAGAGAGTATCTTTCATCTGGTCCTGCCCAATTCATGCAAGAGCACTGAAGCCTACCAAATTTACCAAATGCAGGTATACACCTCATCAGCACATCAAGAAGTGCAATTGTGGATGGGACAAGGAATCTCTCCTACTATCTCTTTCTGAGTCACCAGCCAGGCCAGTCCTAGGAGAGCAAATACAAGGTCTGTCCAGAAGGTATCCAGCCATGTAACATGAAAAATAGAGACATTTATTGAAGAAGATATAAGATACAAGAAACATTGTACATAGTACAACGACACCTCGGTCCCCATCCAAGTAGGCACCTTGGGATCTCACACAGTTCTCCCAATCGCTATCAGCTGCCCCAACGTATTTTGCTGAATCTCATCAATGATCTGAAATCTCTTCCCTTTCAAAGGTGATTTTAGTTTTGGGAAAAGCCAGAAGTTGCAGGGTGCCAAAACTGGGCTGTAGGGGAGCTGAGTCACCTTGGGTGATTTGATGTTTTGCCAGAAAAACTCTGCCTGAGATGCGATGCATGAGTGGGTACATGGCATTATGATGAAGCTGCCAGTCACCAGTTGCCCATAGTGGAAGCCATTTTTGTTGTTTTGTATCTCTGCACTCATTGAATCATCCCCAAAAGACTTCTGAACCATCTGAATAGTTTCCATGAAGGAATAGTCAAGCTCAATGCAAAATTTAATGCAGATTCATTGCTGTACTTGCTCAGTCATTTTTTAATGTGATGGCCACACAGTCCACAGCTCACTCAATGGTGTCTACCACCCCCACTGACTAGCACAGTGAAGGCGTCATTGCTCACGCATGCGCATTCCAGTCCACTCTCCTTGGCTGCCAGGTTACATCAATGTTGGCAAACTGTTCTCATTATATTAACAATGGCTGGTGTCTTTCTGGCCAGACCTCATATGTACGTAATTAAAAAAGGAAATGAGGGGAAGGGTTTGCCAAGGTTAGATAAGTTAATTGTAGGTCTGCTCCTTAGTTCAAGGTGCCAATACCCAAGAATCAACACCTGGTAAAAATCACCCCAATGCCATGCGGGCTGGGAGAGAGGGGTAATGAGAGCAACTGCTCCATGGCCTCATGGGAAAAGGCTTTCTTCTGTTTAATGACTGTCTCTGCAGGGTTGGGGTTTGATATGCAAGAAAACTGTGGACAGCAGAGTCACCAGGAATGGCCTGGGGAGAATCACATCTTGTAATGCCGCTGTATTGTCCTTGACTCCTCCTACACTTGTTCCTCATGTCACTCATTTAGTTGGCTCCTTTCAGGTCTCAACTCAAATGTCACCCCCTCAGAGGCAAGCCACCTTCCCATCACCCTCTCTGACATGACCTCTATCACAGCTCTTTGTTTCATTTACTTCAGAGCATGTACCAGCCTCATAAACTCATAATTTGTTTACTTATTTATAATCTTCCCATTAGACTGTAACATCCATTGAGCATCTGAAAGGCCCTCAGCCTTTCTCATATGATGCTTTCTTACTATAGGTTTTTGCTGCTTCACACAGCTTCTCTCTCTTGAGTGGAATTTTTTCTCCCCCACCCCCATGTTTATGGCAGGCGGGTGGGAGGGAAGGAGAAAATGGCTGGTGGAGGTGGCGGTCTGTGGGCGTGGGGAGGTGCATGGGTCCCCTTGGGTTCTTGGCTTTATAGGTGTTCACAGGACTGACAACTGGCAATTCTTACAGTATGAAAATAATGACAGTTAATGATATTATAGGACTGACACCAACTTTCTGCCTTCCTTCCTGTGTACATTCACACCAAATGCACAAAAGTAGGTTTGAAATGAAACAATCAAAAACCCCACCCAGCTTTCAGTGAGCAAGAGCTGCTTTTTGACGGTGGCGGCTGGAGGAAGCAGGAGCAGTGCCCACGGTGAAGTCTTCGGGAAGGGTGCTGAGTGGGCAGCATTTGGTGATCAAGACTCTCAGGGAACAGGAGAGGCTCCCCTCCCTCTGCCACAGGGAAGCTGGGAAATGTACAGGGAGGCCTTGTGGCAAGAGTCCACAGCAAATGGGCTCCCTGCACCCACCCAATGCTGATTTTGTTCAAAAGATCTCTGAGGAAAGGCTTTCCACACCTGAGGCCTGGCCACCTAAAGACTCAAGTACCTGAAGACTCACTGAGCTCTATGCAAAAACTAAGCACAGCAAACAATGATGGAAGGAAAGTGAAGCACACTAATGAAGCCAGCTCCTTAGACCCACAGTGTGTTGTGTTGGAAGCACAGCAGGTTTTAATTACAGGCTGATGGTGCCCACGGCCCCCCAGGACTCACAGATATAAAAGGGCACAGAGTGTCTAGCAAGGATGATGCAGCGGACAGAAATGACTTACCAAAAATGCTAAACAGAAAACAGTTCATGTGCCTGGCACCTCACAAGCATTAATTCACTGGATTAAAACACAGCCTGGATGAAAGGAAACTTAGAGTGACAGCAAATTAATTTACAGTGTCTGACTTCCACTGCACATTGAGAGGGCAAAAATTATAAATTCACATTCTGAGCACGCTGGCCTCCAGGCAAACAGGAACACCTAAATATCAAGGGCAATTCTATTAAAAACACACTCCTCACGGGGTCCTGAAATCACACTGACTACATTATCACTGAACAGCAGGAACATGAGTGATGGATAGGCAGCATCTTGCAGGCTAGCTTGGCAGCACTGCCACTATAAATGAGCTACGAGGACAAGGGAGAAAAAGGCCCAACATCTTCGATTAAAGGGAAAAATCATTACAAAGGCTACACAATTCCCAATCGCTAAAAAACAATAATCGAAGAGCTACTGTGTGCAAGAAGCAACACCGCAATGTAAACTGTGTATACAAAACCTGGATAAAACAAATGAGATGGGAAAGGAGAAAATGAAGCTGATTTATTTTAAGAATTGGCACAAGTGGGAAGAATCTGGCAATTCAGCTATGCCAAAGAGAAGCCATAAAGTGCTTATTCTTAGCAAGAAGTTATTTACATGTAGGAAAAACAACATAGTCTATGTAGGGTTTGGTACTGTCCAAGGTTGCAGGCATCCCCCAGGGATGTGGGAACGTATTTCCCACGTGCAAGCGGTGGTGGGGCCTACTGTATGTAATAACTTTGAAGGTTCAAAGGCATCGTGACTGGAGAAGGGAGACTTTGCCGATGAGATGACCTGTGAGCAAGGCTAGAGAGTGGGCTGGAACCTTACTGCACATCAGTGTAAATGCCCTATGGTAAGTGTTTCGTGTGCACCATCTTAGGGCTGGTCAGGCCAACAGATCACAGCTAAAACTAATTGGCCTGAGGCACATTGGAAATCAAAGTGATAAAGCAGACACTTTGTGAGACTTCGATGCATTTGAAGACAGATTCCAGTCATTCCAGTGGAAATGGACTGGCTGGGGTGTGTTCAGCAAAGGGATGCAGGGAATTCCCTAAGCAGAAGGCAATGGCCACTGCACTTGAAACTGGGGTATCATCCTACCACGGCTCTCCCCACCTGCTCTCGCATGTTCTAGTCGGTCTGGCTAAAATCTCCCCTACTTCCTCCATCGCTGTGTTTCACAAAGCTTTATATTAGCTATTAATAAAGTAACATATTTTGAAGAACAATGCTATCCCTTGTTCAAAATGCATAGTACAGATAATTACTGCTACAGATGGGACAATCACAGAACGAGCAGAAAATGCAAAAGGCTTTTCCTACAGCATTTATTTGGAGCAGTTTAGATATAATACTTAAATCTGTGTGCCCTCTCCATCCCCTTTGGATTCACAAGCTCCTTAGTATTGTAGTTGGGTCCGACTTGTTGATGCACCGCATTTACAGTGCCTTGCTGGGCCCTGGGGAATCTGGTGAGTCCAGGCTCCATCCCTCCCCCTAAGCACTGCCCGCATGAGGAGTCAGCCTCAGGGAATGCCCACAGTCAGGGCTCAGTGGGACCGTGCTCCTATGTGCTTAGTTGTTATTGTAAAATGTGTAGACAATGTGATAAGTGCGCCCAGTTGAAACTGTCCTGGGAATCCG